ATAATAATAAGTTTATGTGATTACAAATATGTACATGAGTAAGACCTTGATCTGAAAGACCTTTAACATATAATTCAAATGAAGCAGGTGAGACTATTCAGCATTTCACTCTTGTTTTAACACAGCTTGTTAAATATTTACCGATATCCTATCACAGCACATAAATGCTGTATACAGAGGGAATTCTATGGAAAATGCACATTTTACATGTAAATTGAAATCTGATTTGAAACATCTGGTGAATTAAGATTTTGTTTCATGCGAAATGCAATCAGTATTTTGGAAGGTGATTTTTTTGTACAACTTTTTAAGTCTATATAACAGGCAAAAACTTGTTTGCAAAATAAAATAAATGATCTCATTTAAACCAGCTGTTTCTGAATTCATATATTACAAATACATTTGTACCTTCTACATGTAGATTAAAATGTTCAATTTGGATGCCTTAGATTAATAATCTCTCTCATTGATCAAATTAAATGACTCATTAGTTTCAATATTTATCCAGTTTGTTTCTTGAGCGATCACCATGACCATCTCAATATGAAATTACTTATTGTAACTTGAAAATTCTGATGCTTCTGCAGTTTGTACCTTGTATCATTAACCAAAACTTATGTAATCGCTATAGACTTTAGAGAATAACAATCAAGTCATCAAAGGTAATATTGTATAGTCTGTTTGATGTCTATAGATATTCAAAAATAAATGATTAAAACTCAAAATTTTATATTTAGTAATTGAATTTATATTCCATGTTTTTCTAATTGTCATACAAATGTTGTGTTTTTATCAGATTTTTTTGTCAATATATAAAAAGGTTGACTGTTAGGTCTCAAAATTTAAAATATACTTCACAATCCAACTTATACCAAGGGAAGTACTATTTGAGAACACAACAACCATTCATTTGTCCTTAGCAATAGTATCCACTCAAATACAAATGGCAGACCCTTGACCCAGATCATGTCTGTTTATATTTAAGATAGCAAATACAAATGACAGACTGTTGACCAAGATCATCTCCTTTCATATTTAAGATAGCACAGCAGTTTCTACATAAGAAAATGCCTGTACCAAGTCAGGAACATGACAGTTCTTATCCATTCGTTTGATGTGTTTGTTTTTTTGATTTTGCCATTTGATTGGGGACTTTCCTTTTTGAATTTTCCTCGGAGTTCAGTATTTTTGTGATTTTACTTTTTAGATACAACTGTTTATGTTTGAAATGCTATATCTTTGGCATCTGCTGAGATTTAAAGACCAATGATGTTCTAAAAGAATGAAGAAACATTGAGTACTTCTTAAACACACTCTTACTTATATTTGTCTTGCCTTAACAGAGTAAAAATTGGAGAATTAAGTATGCTGTTTCAGGCGGCAGTGGCATCAACAATTTGTTAAAGGTTGTGATTTGTTTAAAAATAAGGAGATGTGGCATAATTGCCAATGAGATCACTATCCACCAAAGTTCAAATGAAGTGTATATTAGCAATTATAGGCAGCCTTATGGCCTTCGGCAAAATGAGAAAAACCCATACCATATAGTCTGCTATAAAAGGCCGGATATGAAAAATATGAAACAATTCAATTGATAAAACTAACGCCCTCATTTATAGGCCAGTTTAATGGGAACCATTAATGGTAAATCAATGACATTTGGTTTGCAGTTGTATAAGCATTGTCACATCTCATTCCCATGGAGATAATTTGAACCCCGCCCCCTCTGTCATGGTCTAATGACTCTGAAAATGTACATAGTTTACCTGTTAAAGTTGTGATTAGGTCTGTTTAAGGGGAACCACTAACCATTATAATAAGTCAATGATATTTGGTTTGCAGTTGTATAAGCATTGGCACATCTCATTTTCATGGAGATTATTTTGCCCCTCCCCTAAGTCATGGTTTATTGACTTTGAAATTTTTGCATAGTTTACATGTTAAAGTATTGCTATTTTTAATTTCGACATCTGCATTTTACTATAAAATGTTCAACAGGCGAGAGATATCTCTATGTCAACAGAGAAAAAATAAAGAAATATTGAAAATATATCATAATGGCGAAAATTGAAACATTTTTTGTAACTTTTTATATTCCAATTATGCAGCAAAACAAGTAGTTTTATTAGTCCCCTACTGACGAAGTCGAAGGGGACTTTATGTTTGCACTCCGTCCTTCTGTCCGTCTGTCCATCCGTCAGTCTGGCAAATCAGCTTTCCACACTTTTTTTCTTCGTTCTTGAAGATATTGATTTGATATTTGGTATATAGTTTTATCATGACAAGTTATAGATCAAGTTCGAATTTTGTTCCAGTCTGATGATTTAGTCCAGAGTTATGGACCATATCTAATGTTAGAGTACTATGTTAAATCATATTTCTGTACAAAGGGAGATAACTCATTTTTTAAAAGACATTCTTTGTTAAATTATTTGAAGAATTTTTTGACAGGTTTGTTTGTTATTTAGTATAAACTAATTTTCTGAATGCTATATATATAAAAAAAAAATTATGAAGAGAAATCCTTTAATTAGATAATAATCTATTTTTATTAATGTATATATTTCAATACATTACATTGTGTAGATAAAAGTTGTTGACATTTTATAGATAAGTAACAAATCTATATAAGTTTGTGACAAATGAAAGAAAAAAATATTTGGAACTATTAATTATATCTGATTATAATTTGAAATAGACATACACTGTATTACATCATATCTAATTCTAGACAACTATTAATCATATCTAATGTTTTTTTTCATCATGCTTATAAGATATTGATTGATAATTGGTATATAGTTTTATCATGACAAGTTACAGATCAAGTTCAAATTTTTGTTTCGGTCTAATTATTTTGTGCAGAGTTATGGTCCTTGGACTTGAAAAATTCACTCATATAATCAGTTTTCAACACTGTTTTTAGTCATGCTTGAAGATATTGACATGATATTTACTTTTTGTTTACACCATGACAAGTTATAGAACAAGTTAGCATTTTGTTCCAGTATAATGAATTGTTACCCGGTAGGGGACTATGTATTGCCATGTAATACTCTCAGAATGCTTGTTTTGCACAAATTAGCACATGATACAAAATGTCCATTTGTCCAAATGACCTTATGAATTTCAAAATTGATTTATTTTTAACTGGACCATATATTTTTAAATAAAACATTTGTTATTGCCTATAGTAAGGTTTATATATAGTAATGTCCCCTGTGTGACCTACTACTTTGGGAACTTTTTAATAACAATTTTTTTTTAACTCTTTATCTCTTAAAGAGGATACTTTTGATCAGAAAATTTATCATTAAATCATTGAATCTATTTCTCAAGGGGGATCACTATGGGGTACTGCATTTACTGATTATTATTGTATTAGGGTGTAAAGGGTAGTACTATACTAGACACAAATATGAGAAGTATTTGTGTTTTACACAGAATATTTACTCATCATCTATTTCCATATGATGAGGTCTGTAGGGGTCATTTCATTATAGATTAGATAAATTATACATGTATGACCTATTTATTGCCCTTAGCTAATCTGTTTATCTCATCATTCAAAGAACTTACATAACACATCTGTTTTCATTGATTTGTAATAATATTTAATAATCAGCTGATGATAAATGTGTCTTGATGCAAAACTAATTAGTGGATATAAAAAATAAAGAATAAAAGTATACTTCAGTGTACATGTTTACTCTTCATTTTCAGCAATGAAACATGTAAGAAATAAAAAAAAAAATAACACTATTTCTGAAACAAAGTTTTTTGAATCTAAATTGCTAATATGAAACAGCTATGAGGTTTGAAGTCGGACTGTTTTACTTCATATTTGCTTGATCAATTTTAATTTCAGCGGAATTTTTTTTTAAATGTCTTGTTATACACGTAGTATTGACCATTTAAAAAAAAATGTTGACACATGAGTAGTTTATAATAGATTTTAAATAGCTTGACATAGTGTTTGGACACCTGTCTGCTGTTAAAGACTAGAATTTGCCCTCTAGATGTCTTTTGGTTCTTTCTTTCCTCAGTTTGATGTCTTATTGAGGTTTACCCATGTCTCTTGTTTGTCATATTTAAAAGATTTCTGTTATACCAAGGATTTATATAGTAAAATATATAAATCCTTGGTTATACAGAGATTGCTGGTTGTGATAAATCTAAGTTGTATTAATCCTTGTTATGGAAAACTGATATTTTGAAAGTTGCTTCATGTAAATTAGCAGATACCAAATGTAACAAAAGAATACAAATCTTATTGGGTTTTTTTCTCCATATTGTGCCCAAAAGCAGTGTTTTGAGAAGAATAATATAAATATATATCTTTTTATTACAATGTAAATAAAATGAAAAGTCCAATTTATATTTAAGTTCCAATTATTTATGCTTAGGAGTTGGTTGTTTAAAATAGAAAACACTCCTAATTAATTTGTGATGCTACTGTTTTATGTTTTGATCAGTTTTCACATGTTAATCAACACAATCTTTCTCCCCCATGAAGGACCTCAATCAGTATCAGCAATCAAATAATCTGTAGGATGTTAAAGGGGGTCATAATTACCAAAAATACTGTGCTACTGTAATGCAACTGAGTCATTCATGTTCCTGGAGATTTCTTACTTAACTGACAGATTTAACATGTTGCTTATTTTTACAAAATGGATACAATAAAAACATATGTGTGCAAATAGGAGAGTTAATTAACTTAATACCTTACTTGAGAAGCTATTGCATGTTGAAAACTGGAGAGATAAGAAATCAATTTTTTGGCAGTTCTGAACAAATTTTGTATGTGTGCTGCAGTGTTTATCATTCTTTTTGAAAAGATGCATTTGCATTGATAACATTTTCAACTTAAACTGGGATAGTATATATGTGAAAGTTTGCCATGGAGAATGATCGTGAGGAAAAAACACCAAGTACTGATCTGTCAGGAGATTTTGACATGATTGTTAATGAAATTAATGAATTTATTAATATTTTAGAAGTGAGGGGCCAAGAATTAGAACAACAACAAGCGGAAGAAAATCGTCAACAATCACAACAGCAAACAGAATCAGAAGACAGTGAAGAATGTGACACTACTCCTTTTCAGTCGGCTCGGAATACTATTATACTTGTTGAAAACAACGAGGAACCAATTTATGAAACTTGTCACAATGAGCAAGAAAACCCTTATGAAGCTATCCCAGCATTAGCTCATTTAGCAACAGTTACAGCATCAACAAGTCCTGCTGCTAAAAGTCAAAAGCCAGAGTTAAAACCAAAGCCTAAACATTTACTGAAAATGGTAGAGCCAAGCTCACAGAACCCTAAAAGGGTCAAGGCACTACATAACTTTTCGGGATCAAATAATGATGAGGTGAGTCAACTGATTTAGTATTGTCAGGTTTATAGTCTATTTAAGATACCTGGGCATATTTGTTAACCCTCATAAAGAAAATAATTCTTCAATTGCCCAGACTTTTTTCCATAGGATTTAGTTTCTCAATGATGAGTTCCAGATTCAATCAAAATGTCCTTACAGTAGCGGATCCAGAGGGAGGGGGGGTTAGAACCCCTCCTTTTTTGACAATCAATGCTTTTGAATGGGGATATATGGTTGAAACCCCCTCTTTATCCTGGATTTGAACCCCCCTTTTAGAAATGGCTGGATCCGCCCCTGCTTTATTTAATAGAATTATAACACCTGTACCTGGAAAACTAAATTTCACTTGTTCAGATTTGTTTTTATTGCCTTTGAATGTAGCGCCCAGATTTTTGTTTGTATTTAGTTTAATAATGAATGGTAACAAATCAAGTTTAATTCTCAGTTCCCATGAACATACCTTTTGAAGGAATGATCATGATGACCCTTAGAGAAATGTAAAGAAAATATGCTTGTTATGTGCTGATAATGACCTAGATTTTGCATGTGATGCACTTGATGTATGAAAAGATGACAAGTTATGAATAATGTTTGCCTTTCATTCCTGTTGTACTTGATGGAATTGTTACGGCTCTTGTGTTTACAAAAATTGCATGTGTGCATAATTGTTTATCAAAAAGATTTTGTATGTAGTTTCAGAAGAATGTGTTAAAAGTTTGCAATGTTTTGATCAAGTTTATTATGACACTTTTTCACATTTATTTGCTGAAGATTGAGGCATTTATAATCCTACATGTACATGTATATACATGTTATCTTACTAACATTGTGCCATTATTTTATTATGACAATTCGAATTTATTCTAATAAAAATGTGAATAACAATGGCTTTAAACAATGGATCAGGTTCTTGGTGAAAAACATTCAAAATTGGAAATTTTTTTGAATGACACAGCAAAGCAGTAATAAATTTGTAGAAGTTATATATAGAAAAGATTGCAGATGTTTGTTTTCTTAAATTTCTCAAGAGACCTGTCTCTGAAACGCTGCCAAAATGCTCTTTGCTAAAGAATTATTTGCAAAATATAATGTAAAATCTGTAAAGTCAATATAGATAGTAAATTTGGGAGAAAATAAAAATGTTTTATTTCTAAATAGAGATTGTAATAGTAGATTTCTGATGATGATGTATAAAAATTAAAACAGGTGAGAGGGTGTATCTGGAACTTCAAAGAATCACTTTAATGATGATTTCTGACATTAAATAGCTCTTAATATCCTGAAATAGTTCAGACAAATAGATTGTAATGAGAGGAAAAATATCAGTGCTTATGTTACAGTCTGATTCAACTTCTGGTTGTTAACTTCACATTCAGGAAGTTAGAATTTAAATTCACAACAAAGTTATGACAATTTGCCATCAAGTTGCTGAGTTAATCAAGAAGTCATCAAGTTGTTTATTAAACAGTGCATTGACCTTCTTTTTTGATAGTAACCACATTTCATGAAATCAAGAAAAACAAAACAATTTTTAGACTATTTGATAATGTTTTGGCCTCTTTTGGTTTTAGATTGAAAGTTTTTTTGTTGCACTAAATTTTACATGCTTCCCATACCTATTAATTTACTGAAAAGTGAATTCTATTCAATTGAAACTTTAAGAAATCAAATTTTCATAATCAAAAGAATCAATAAAGGGTTACTATATTGTATGCAGTTCAGAAAATTCTCTTAAGCCAATGTTTAATGCAAGGGGAGACCCCCCTTGTATTGCAGGTCCTGTTCAAATTTGGATTCATTTATTTTGGTGGATACCAATTTTTTGTGGATTGAGGAAAAATTGTATTTTCGTGGATTTGTCAAAGTCTATACAAGCCTTTACAAAATGTGTACTTCGTTGAACATTTGAATTTGTGGTTAACCTGTATCCATGAAATCCACGAAAATTGGTATTGAATCCACAGTAATACATATATATTGTACAAGTAAAGAATAAGTTATCATGGTTATTGAGTTTAATAAGACTTGGAACTGTAGGTACACTCATAATGGTTTTCTGCTGAACTATGTACCTCAGAGATACTTGTGATAAGTGTGTTTATCTGTATGCTGTTTATTTTATAGATATTTTTCAATAATCAATCATCATGCTATCTTTTTGAGATGAGGTTATTCACTTTTATCCAGTCCATCATCTAAGCAGCAGCTGATCTAAGTTTTGATTTTATCATTATATCTCTTGGTACTTCCTTGTATTATATTTCCTACATCTTCGCAGGGGGGATAGTTTTACAAAAACAAGTTTCTGTTAAAATCATGTCTTTACATGAATTAGAAAGAAATTTTCTTATTATCAACTTGCAGTGTAAAAACTCCTGAAAGATACTGAAACTGATGTATTTTTATGCAGTTTGCATCAAACAATTTACATGCATGTAATGAATGACAAGGCTGGTTGCAATTGATTTATATGTTACTAGGTAGCATTCCATTATCCAATTTTTTTGTCTGTGATGGTAAATATCAATGAATAATACATTCAACATGTATGTATACATGGATGTTTTAAAATATCTTGTCAGAAATATTAAAAATCCCCAAATTTATAGGTTTTAATTTTCACTTTAACTGTCAAATCTAAAATTACTGCATATTGACTTGGGACAAAATTAGATTTTTTCATACTTTTCTGGTTTGACAAATTAGTAGAACAGATTCAGAAAAAAATCAAACCTGCATTTCAATGACAAAAGTTTTATCTTTATGATGTAAAAACCCATCATCTTAAAACAAAGTTACCCTGTATAATAACAGATTTCAGAATTTAGGAATGGTATTTATATCAAAAAGTGCAAAACACATTTTAGCTTTACAAGCTGATAAGTTATCAAATTGGTTTGATCAGACTTTTCAATGTAGTTGCATGCAATAGTGCTGCTGAATATAAGACCCAGTATTGTTGTCATAATGTCATATGGCTTAGCATTTACCCCACATTATATTCAGGAGACAGCTAAGAAATAAAGACTTTAAAGTCAATATAAAAATCAGGAAATGTACAATTGCCATTAATGGCAATGAGACAACTATCCACTGGTGGCCATAGGACAATGATGTAAACAACTATGGGTCTCGTGCACAGTCTTCAGCTATGATAAAAACCGATACCCTATATTTAGCAATGTTTCTACAGTTACAAATGAATTTGGTGGTATTTTTGAAGTTGAAAGAGAAATATTGGCACATGAAATCACTTCTGTTTTAAGATGTTCAGAAAACTGTTTTGTTTGGTACTAAAACATTTTAATGTGTCTGTGCTGAAGTTATTAGATTTATGAGAAGTGGAAAACAAATTCCTTCAAAATTATAAAGCTTGCATTTATCATGTTAGTGAAGTAGACTTGATCAGTGTCAGTAATAAAGCTAAAATAGATCAAATTGTAGATGTGTTATATAAACTGAGATTGATAGAAATCTTATCTGCCTTCTGAATTTGTCTGATAAGTTAGTAAAGCCCACCCAGTATATACTGGACAGACTACAAAGCCCACCCAGTATATACTGGACAGACTACAAAGCCCACCCAGTATATACTGGACAGACTACAAAGCCCACCCAGTTTATACTGGACAGACTACAAAGCCCACCCAGTATATACTGGACAGACTACAAAGCCCACCCAGTATATACTGGACAGACTACAAAGCCCACCCAGTATATACTGGACAGACTACAAAGCCCACCCAGTATATACTGGACAGACTACAAAGCCCACCCAGTATATACTGGACAGACTACAAAGCCCACCCAGTATATACTGGACAGACTACAAAGCCCACCCAGTATATACTGGACAGACTACAAAGCCCACCCAGTATATACTGGACAGACTACAAAGCCCACCCAGTATATACTGGACAGACTACAAAGCCCACCCAGTATATACTGGACAGACTACAAAGCCCACCCAGTATATACTGGACAGACTACAAAGCCCACCCAGTATATACTGGACAGACTACAAAGCCCACCCAGTATATACTGGACAGACTACAAAGCCCACCCAGTATAAACTGGACAGACTACAAAGCCCACCCAGTATAAACTGAACAGACTACAAGATATGTCTGTCATGATGGAAATAGCTTTCTTAATATGTATTAGATACACCTTGATGGCTTTAGCCTGAACCGGTGTATCTAATTTACACCAAGATATTATTGTCAAAGCAGAATGATAGTTTTCAATGATTTAGGAGAGGGTCTTTTAGCAATTTGATGAAATGTTATTGAAAAGCATGATAAATGCAGGATATCCAATTTCATTTAACAACATCTTGGTGTAAATGCTTTTTGCAAATAAAAAGAAACTCTTTGAAACCATTGGGCTAATAAGAACCTAAAAAAAATAATTTCAAAATGTTTCTCAATGCTCATATATGATGCTGCTGACTAACCAAGATGGCCCTTGCTACTAGAAATGGAACATGTGAGAAAAAAAGAATAGTTTTATGTATATTCTTGATCCCCTGTACATTTTGGGTTGGTTGTTTGTCTCTCCTGTTACGAATGTTACAGAATGCTAGACATAGGGATGCTATCTAACTGTGGCAACTGCCTGAACTATTTATATAAAGCTTTATAGATTGGTAGACTTAACAGCTGGATAATCTATATCTTAGTCACTTACCCATTTTTTAAGGTCATATGATGACCTCTATATATTTATTTTAGTAAGGTTGTGTTGTTCGATGTCCTAGCTTATTGACATTTTAATCCAAATCTTCTGTTATTGTCTTTCATTATTTTGAGATGTTCATAAATAAGTATAGAGAAAAATTATCAATAAGCTGTAATATATTATTACCTATTCCTGCCCATTTTTTTATTAGAAAATAGAACTATTTCTCTTCAGATGTTAGAAAAAAATAGTGAAGCATTGGGTAAATTGGTCTGTGTAATAGCTTTAATCTGAGGACATAGATGATAGAGGCACAGTCCAATATGACTAAATATAAAATTGTATTAGAACCAAACACTTTTATACAGATGTGAATCTTGCCAAATAGTATGTGATATGTACATATAGTTGGCAGTGAAGTTGACATATGAAGAATCCACATAGTAAATTGACACATTATGGTAGGTTGCATCTTCATCTTGTCTTAATTAATAATTTTGTTTCATTAGGTTTCGAGAAGTTAAAAGTGTTTCATCATTTCGTTAATATTTGTTTTGTCTGTACAAACACATGTCAAAACAAACTATAAGGCTCTATTGTATCTTTTGAAAGACATTTATTTGTGTTTTGGATTTTGTGAGACTAATTTTCATTACTGTAGAAAAGGAGATTTGGGAATTGCCATGGTTAAGCTGTAGTGTTTTATCATAATTATTACAGTGATAGAAATGTGTTGTTGTTGTAATGACTATACTAGTGACACTAGTAGTATAAACAGTAGTCTAAATGGTTGTTCTGATAATCTTAAGGCAAGTATACATAGTTTCTCATGTTCTGCTATTTCTACATTTTGAATTGCTTTCCCAAATTTATTCTAGTGTAAATTGTATTTTAAAAGATAATAAAAATAGTTTATTAATGTAATATTTATTGTGGAAATGGAATTTTATTTAACAGTAAGCTCATTTGTTTAAAAGATTTAACTTTTGAAGTTGAGTCATCTCGAGTGAGTCATCTGCTAAATAAAACAAGAATTAGAATCTGAAGTTTTGATAGAAGAAAAAACTCCAGTTAGAAGTGGAACACACTTAAATATTTGTTCACATTTTAGAAAAAGTCTTATTTCTCAGACAAATTTTATTTCCAAACTCATACTTTTTGTTGATATCTTTGTTGATTTCTTGGTTTCTGAAAGGAATGATGCTAAATACTGTAAAATCAGAAATTATTGCGATGTTTTATTAATGCGAATAATGCAACTGGGTGAGTATCACAATAATAAGAATTTGCATTCTGATATCTGAAGCATATATCAGTATGCAGCTTTCCTGAAATCGTGATAATTAGTCTTGCATTTATGTCCATTCTTCAAAAATCGCAATAATAAATGCACGCAATAATTTCTGAATTTACAGTACTTGCTGGTTTGGAGTCAGAATAATGATTCCTGGTAGGGTAACACGTTAATGAATTAGCTAGCCCATTAAAGACCGTCTCAGCATGTAGGTCAAGTAAAAAGCAGGATATATTCATATTTCAGTAACATGACATTACATGAAATATTTGCTGTTGGACATTAAGCAGCCATCAATCAATCACTGGACTGGAATCAGGATGTCCTGATTTGTAGGTACATTTTTGTAATGATAGAGTAATTTCGTTAAATTTGTTATTTATGTTTATTTCATTTCAGTGATTTGATTGTTTTGAAAAGACAACTGTGAATTAAAATGGATTTAAGCCTAATCAACTAATGGTATCTATTTTTTATCTGTATATTTTCAGCTATGTTTCTCCAAAGGGGACATCATAACAGTAACACAGATGGTTGAAGGTGGTTGGTGGGAAGGTACACTGAATGGTAAAACTGGCTGGTTTCCTAACAACTATACCAAAGAAATTAAATCAGGTATGGGCAGATATATCAACTTATTTAAGTTTGCTTGAAAGAAAACTACTATAGGTCTGATAATGGGAAGATGTAGTGTTCTGTAGAATAAAGTATTGTAAGGTAAAATAGAGATAAATGGTGTCCAGTGGCATTGCATTTGTTGTGATGAAATGATGGAATGACTTGATAGTTTTCTAACTTCACAAGATAATGTCAAGAAAGATGAAATCATTCAGTGTCATTTTAATTGCAAAGTGTTGGTTGATGAGAAAAAAAATGTGAATTAATACTTGTATATGGTAAAAACGAAAAAAAAAACAAGACTAAGATTGATACTGTAAGCCTCAACTTTTGTGGTGCAGTACAAGTGTGACTCATACTAATATATGATTATATAAATGTAAATCTGTTTGCTCTAAAAAATTAACAGGCACTTGTCTATTATATTGGCAGTATTTGAGATATTGGATACCAAAAATTAGTATTAATTTCATTCTATATCAAAAACTGATGAAATTTACTTGAAATTTCACTCGATAATTAAGGAAATTATAAAAAACAAAATCATGGAAAGGAATAAAAAAGATTGCCAAAAAAATATCTTGTTATTTTCTGAAAGTTTTGTCATTAAGATGATAGCCATAACAAGAATCAGTTAATTGACTTCAGATGTAGAAATTTGTTCTGTAATTACCCTTTATTACAGAAGTCTTTAATGATAATTATAACGTTGTTAACCTGTATTTACAGATCACAAGTATAAAGAAATATCTGGTTTTGATAATCAAACACATTTTGTACAGATATCCTGTCAGACAATCCTACATTTGTTCCACCAACAGGTTCATAATACTTAATGTACAGGTGGGAAACATTCATGTTGCAAACACAGAATAAATTTTGCTTGAAAAATAAAATAGAAAGCTCACTAAAGAATTATTCCTACATTTAGATATCATTTTATGTTTAAAAATAATGTTTTTATTGAAGTTTATTCTTTCTTTTCCAGATATTGCCAACAGATCATCCATAACTAAAGGACCAGACATGGGAGTATATAAGAGAGAAAGTACACAGTTATATCACAATGTTGTAAGTATACACATGAATGAAATAAAAAGAGAAAATACAGTTTTATCAAAATGTTGTAAGTATACACATGACTGAAATAATTTTTTTTAAAGAGAGAAAGTATGTACACAGTTATATCACAATGTTGTAAGTATACACATGAATGAAATAAAGAGAGAAAATACAGTTTTATCAAAATGTAAGTATACACATGAATGAAATAAAGAGAGAAAATACACTGTTATATCACAATGTTGTAAGTATACACATTTTATAAATATTTTTTCATTATTTTGCTAAATAAAAAATTGTTTGAATTCCAAAGTTCTCTATTAAAAATTAAAAAAAAGAGATTGGAATATTTCTCTGTTAAGTTTATGTGATGTGAACATGCAGCAACAATGCTACAAACTACACAGAAATTAGAATACAACTGCATCATCTGTTAAATTTGAATGTTTTATATTTCTGGGGAAATAATCTAAAACTGATATGATATTGCAGGTTTTTCAAAATTTGATAGAAACAGAGAAAACCCATGTACAGGAAATGACAATGGTACTACAGAACTACATACATCCTTTACAGAATTCTGGCATGTAAGTCATACAGACTGGTCTGTAAAATAATACATTAAGTAGAAAATGAAACGCAGGGGTTTGATAGTGGCATGTATATGAAAATTAAAAATTTATTTAAAAATATCTAATTTTATGGTGTATATTGAAAGTAGATGTGGTGTGATTGCCAGTGAGACAACTATCAACTAGAGACCAAATGATGCAGAATTAAGGAACTATAGGTCATAGTTTGGCATTCGGCAGTGAGCAAAATCCATACTGACAAGTAAAGGTGCAAACAAGCAATCACAAGAAAGCAAACTTAGTGAAACAGATGGATCTAAAACAAATTAAACTGTCCTATTATTTAAAAAAAAGACACAAAATTCCAGAATGGACCAAAAAAATTCAGTTTTTATGTTTAAAATGAGTTTTAGATCAGACAGTGCCTTAAAAATAAAAACTAGACTTGATAGGGAAAATGTGGAGAAGCGGTATGATAAATATCCCCCTTTGTTTGAAGTGGGCAAAAACATGTCTACCATAGGGAAATCTTGCAGATGGTTGATCCGTTCTCAAATTTCTCCTCTGATGATGCCTCAAAACCAAATTATAGTTGTGCTTCTCTAACTTTATTTTTTATTAGATTGATATTGAGGCTCTCCCATAGGAAAAAATAGAAGTTTCCACATTCACTAAATCACTTGCAATTTAACTGGAAATGGATATAAACTTGACATAATTATTTCATATTATATGTAGTTGTGGGGTTTCTATCTTATTATACCCTTGCCCCAAAAGCGAAGGTAAACTGGTTCACCCCTGTCACAGTGTGCATCCATCTATAACACATTTCACATTTTTTTTCAGAAAATACAAGTGACATCACAAGTCATAGCTTCTAGATATATGACTTCGAGCTTCATCTGTTGATGCAATACTGTATTACACAAGCTTGGTTCCTTTGATGTTTTGCTTTTTGTTTGTTTAAAACTGGAGCAATAGCTCACAGTACAGTATATCTTCTTTTTGTTGGAATAATGTTGGGCATTTATTGTAGTAGATATGAACTTTACCATTTCTAAATGTGGGGAAAAATGTTTATGCAGAAGAACCTGCAAAACAGTAGTTTTAATGCAGAATAAAAAGACAGTAGCACACATAAACTTCATTACGTAATTATTAAAGTAAAATATATACAAATTTATGAGTTAAAATTTTATATCAATGCATGTTTTGTGTTGCAGATTGACTCCTGTGGAGTACACTAAACTAGTAGGAAATTTAGATGACATATTAGCATTCCAAAACAATTTTCTATCTTCAATAGAAGACTGTATGAAGTAAGTTTTATGAAGTAAAGAAAGCATTAGTGTTTAAATTCTTTTGTATTAAGCAATTAAGATTATTTTATATTTTGATATAAAGCAAACCATTTGAGATATGTCATAAAGGATTATATCTGTTATCAAGCAATGTAAGTGGTTATCAGTTCAATTAAATTTTATTGAAACAAAAGTTTGGACATTTTATCAACCCTTTTCTCCTGACATACTCTGATTCAAATAATGATAAGTGGCACGGGCATTAAGGTTTACCACTGTATGTCCTAAAAATGGTTTCCGTTCTCTAACTTTAGTTTGCCTCAACCAAATGTTATGAAACTTTTTCATAATGCTTATTACCACCAAAACACAGATCAAGTTCGAATTTGGATGGGGTCACTTTCACCGTTCTTGAGTTATGTTCCTTTATAAATGGAAAAATTGGCAAAGTTTCAACACTCTAACTTTACTTTGCCACAACCAAATGTTCTGAAACTAGTATACAATGCTTATTACCACCAAACACAGATCAAGTTGGGTGCTGTAACTATCACTGTTCTTGAGTTACACCTTTACTGTTTGTTATATTGAACAATAAGAACACTCAAACAACCATTTCTAGCAATATCTAATAACATACAGAATCAAATGTCATTAAGTTTCGATAAAAACAAAACATCAATAGGTATGAATTCTTTCATTGACTCTTGCATATTTACAAGCGGGGGCATCTGCGTCCCATGGACACATTCTTCTTTTAATCTAATGGGATTTTTCAAATGAAATATTTTCATATTTACATAAAATACTGCTTTTGCATTTTAGAATCATAACCTGTTAGACAACAATGTCAGATATATTTCAACAGATGTCTGTAACAAATGCATATTTTTAACATTTCTTAATAGTCCATTTATAAGATATTGACTTCCAGTGTAAAATTGTAATTAATTTTGTTTCTGGTTTTCCAGACAATTACCTCATTTAAGAAGAATTGGTGGTGTTTTTATGAAACATGCTCCAAGATTAAAAGAATTATATTTAGAATATTGTTCCAATCATCCTAGAGCTGTAGCTATTGTACAGAGTAAAAGGTAGGATATTTCTGTCAATGAAAACATTGTTAAATTTATTTATATATATTGAGAAAATTGACGCTAATATTTTTAATGGAAAATGGTTCGAGTCCTGTGACTATTACTTTATAATTTCTTTACCTATTCAATACATTTTACAGTATAGAAAGGATCAGAAGCATAAATATATGAATGAACAGGAAGTAAAGACTTACAAAAAAATAATTCAATTAATTACAATTTGTTAGGAATTATGTCTGTATATTTTCATATAGTTTATAGAATAACATGAACTATGAGGAACACTATAAACAGATTTAAGAAACAAAATACATAGGGACATATATAGCTCATTCATGGACATATAGCACATCAACAGTAAAATGCCACAGACTTCAACACGTTTTGATAAATTGTTGTAAAAGATTATGCACATATAAACTAAAACTATGCTATTTTTATTAGAAACTCAAAGTGCTAAATAGCAATACAGTTATGCAACTAACATTAATGTACTGTAATGATTAAAAAAAGAAAGAGAAAAAGAAATCCTTACAATGAATTGTAAACAGCTTTTACAAATGAAAAGGCTACTGATATGGGTTATGTTCTCCTCATATATTTTATAATGGTATGATACTAAACCCCTAAAAGGAGAGATTGTGCTTGATTTTAGATGATGAAGACATAATCTTTCAAACACTTTAATTGATACCTGGAGCTGGCATGTCTGTAACTGCTAGTAGTCTTTTGTTAATTTATGTTGACCATTATTTTCTTCTGTTACCTCATCTAACATCGGACTTCGTTTAAACTGAGTTTTACTGTGCATATTGCTGTGTGTTTGTTTATTCCACATTGGCTAGAGGTATAGGGGAGGGTTGAGATCTCACAAAATATGTGTAACCACGCCTCATTTTTGCACCTGTCCAAAGTCAGGAACCTCTGGTCTTTGTTAGTCTTGTACGATTTTTAGTCCCCTACCGATGAAGTCGAAGGGGACTTTAGGTTTGCACTCTGTCTGTCTGTCCGTCTGTCTGTCTGTCCTTCTGTCAGCTTTCCACACTTTTTTTCTTCGTTCTTGAAGATATTGATTTGATATTTGGTATATAGTTTTATCATGACAAGTTATAGATCAAGTTCAAATTTTGTTCCGGTCTGGGGATTTAATCCAGAGTTGTGGACCATAACTCTGGACCATATCTAATGTTAGAATACTATGTTAAACCATATTTCTGTACAAAGGGAGATAGCTAATTTTTTAAAAGACATTCTTTGTTCAATTATTTGAAGAATTTGTTGGCAGGTTTGTTAGTTATTTAGTATAAACTAATTTTCTGAATGCTATATATATAAAAAAAAAATTATGAAGAGAAATCCTTTAATTAGATAATAAGCTATTTTTATTGTGTATATATTTCAATACATTACATTGTGTAGATAAAATTTGTTGACATTTTATAGATAAGTTACAAATCTATATTAGTTTGTGACAAATGAAAGAAAAAATATTTGGAACTATTAATTATATTTGATTATACAGTGTAATTTGAAAATAGATATACACTGTATTACATCATATCTAATTTTAGAGAGCTATTAATCATATCTAATATTTTTTTCATCATGCTTATACGATATTGATTGATAATTGGTATATAGTTTTATCATGACAAGTTACAGATCAAGTTCAAATTTTTGTTTCGGTCTAATAATTTTGTGCAGAGTTATGGTCCTTGGACTTGAAAAATTCACTCATATAATCAGTTTTCCACACTGTTTTTAGTCATGCTTGAAGATATTGACATGATATTTACTTTTTGTTTACACCATGGCAAGTTATATAACAAGTTAGCATTTTGTTCCAGTATAATGAATTTTTACCCGGTAGTGGACTATGTATTGCCATGCAATACTCTCAGAATGCTTGTTTTAATTATGGTTCATTTATATGCTTAGTATGACTTCCGTTTTCATTGAACTAGTAAACATTATTGTTTAGGGGCCAGCTGAAGCCCGCCTCAGGGTGTGGGATTTTCTCGCTGAAGACCCATTGGTGGCCTTGGGCTGTTTTCTGCTCTTTGGTTGGGTTGTTGTCTCTTTGACTCATTCCCTGTTTCCATTCCCAGTTTTACTAGTACCAGAAAGTCTTGCACTTTAGGCATCTGCCTATTGTACAAAATTTTTAAGTAGTTAATAGAATTTAAAATAATTGTTCCAGCATACTTAAATAGTTTAAAACTAACCATTAATCATTCTTTAATCAAATGAAGAAGTCATAATTTGCATTACCAGGAAGTTATAAATGTAGGTTTAGATAAAAATCTACTTTGATGAGGTATTAAAATATCTGGTATTTGTAACTATTACAGAATAACTACTTCAGAAGTAAAACAGTGCAGTCATTTATTAATTATTGTTTCAATTCCATTCTAACTTTTGAGGTTTTTATGCCTTAGAAAAGGCTTCAGCTGTCTGAAACACAAAATTCTAACAATATATATATAAACAAATGAGAATTTTTAACTGAAGCATTGTGTTTGATGTTTTGAAGTAAGAATACTTGATGTTCAATTAGAATTGCATTAAAATATTCAATAAGCACATAATTTGATTGATTTGAGAATTTAAAAGAAATTAGGACATCCTCTACTACATGTATGTGAGTCAATACACCTTATCGCTATTTGTCCGCCATTACTGGACATCACACAAGTTCCCGTAAAATTTTGACGTCATAATAGAAAATATCTGACACCACAATGGAAAAGTGATTGTTGTGTGACGTCAAAAGTTCGAGCGGGACAGATTCTCATGTCAAGCGGGAATAGCGATAAGGTGTATTCAAATAATCATGTTTGAAATTGCTGTCTATTTCTTACTGGTAGTTGGAACATGAACACCCTTTCTGGCAACAAATCCTTGAGTAAGCTTGTAAATTTCTACAGTAATTGCATAATCTTGATCTTATATTTTCATGTTCCAATTATAAGTTTTTATACGCCCGTTTACGGGATGTATTATGGTATACCGTTGTCCGTCCGTCCGTCCGTCGCCAACATGTCGGACATTAATTCAAAAACTCTTCAACCAATATGCATGAAACTTTGGGGAATTGTTTATATCTATTGACGTGAGCTCCCTTTCGTTTTTTATAAATTTGGGATTTACTGTTTCTGAGTTTTGGGGTTTTATTCATTAAAAAAGGGGGGATTTTCCACTTTTCGGACAATAACTTAAAAACAATTTCACCAATTTGCATGAAACTTTTGTGAATTGTTTATATCTATTGTTGTGAGCTCCTTTTCGTTTTTTATAAATTTTGGTTTTACCGTTTTCGAGTTTTGGGTTTTATTCATTATAAAAGGGGGGATTTTCCAGTTTTCAGACAATAACTCAATAACAATATCACCAATTTGCAAGAAACTTTGATGAATTGTTTATTTCTATCGACATGAGCTCCCTTTTGATTTTTATAAATTTTAGACTATACGTTTCCGTTTTATGGGGTTTTATTCATTACAAAAAGGGGGATTTTCCAGTTTTTGGACAATAACTCAAAAATGCTTTCAGCATTTTTTACGAAAACTTTGGTAAATTGTTTATATCTTTTTTTGTAAGCTCCCTTTTGATTTTTATAAATTTTCGAATTTAGGTTTCCGAGTTATAAGATTTTATTTGTTTATAGTCTGACAACAGATTTACTAAGCATTGCGCAACAGCACAGTGCATTGCACAACAGCAAGAAATCTTAATTGAATATAAATTGAATTCATATAACCAATTTCAAGTTCTTTGACTACATTTATTCAGAAACCTATAACATGTCAAATATTTAATTACAATCCAAATTCAGAACTGTGTCAAGCTTGAATATTGTGTCCATTTTTGCCCCAACTGTTCAGGGTTGGACCTCTGCGGGCGTATCCAGCTGCGCTCAGCGAAGCAGTTTATTGTATAATGGTTGAATACTTTGTATCAGAATTAATTACTTGTACTTGAACATGTGCACCTTGCAGGTTTCTTTTAACCGTGACCAGAGTTTCAGAAATTATTGCCCTTTAAAATATTTCCAATATAACAGCAGGTGAGACAATTGCTAAGGTTCTCAACTCTGGCAATTGATATTCCTTGTAGATTAATTATAAATATTCTGTTCTTTTTTGTAATGATAAGGATGTCAAAAAACAATTTATGAGGTACAATGTATATGAATTAAAAGAGATATTGTGTATACATCAAGAAGACAGCTAACAATAACACAAAATAAATATATGAATTTAATAGATTAATTGATTGATTTTTGGTATTATAATGCCACTTTTAGCACTATTGGCTATTTTATTACAGACAGTTTTTATTGGTGGAGAAAGCCAGAGTGCAAGAAGATTTGTGTCAATGCAAATTGTAGTCTAGTGCACCTGCCACTTGCTGGGCTCAAACTCACAACTTCAATCTTTTTTTTTTTATTATGCCCCCGCCGTAGCGGTGGGGGCATTAAGTTTTACCCTTGTCCGTCTGTACGTACGTACATACGAACGTACGTCCCAAAATTGGTTTCCGTTCTCTAACTTGAGTTTGCCTCAACCAAATGTTATGAAACTTATACACAATGCTAACTACCACAAAACACAGATCAAGTTTAAATTTTGGTGGTGTCACTTTAACCGTTCTAGAGTTATGCCCCTTTATAAATGGAAAAATTGCAAATTTTTTATTTTCTTCTAAATATCAAGTAATTTTTATACGACCGCAAAAAAAATTTTGTGGTCGTATATTGGTATGATGTTGGCGTCGTCGTCGTCGTCGTCGTCCGGCGTCGTCGTCCGAATACATATTGGTTTTCGCACTCTAACTTTAGTTTAAGTGAATGGATCTTTTTGAAATTTGACCATAAGGTTAAATACCACAAAAGGAAGGTTGGGATTGATTTTGGGGGTTATGGTACCAACAGTTAAGGAATTAGGGGCCAAAAAGGGGCCAAAAATGAGCATTTTCTAGTTTCCAGACAATAACTGTGGAACGGTGTATGGATCTCTCTGAAATTATACTACAAGTTTCCATACCACAAAGGGATGGTTAGGATTTGCTTTGGGGGTTATGGCTCAAACCGTTTAGGAATTAGGGGCAAAAAAGGGGGAAAAACAAGGTTGTCCTGGTTAATGGACAAATACTTTAGTACAAAACATAATTTAAAGCAGTGTAAGGGAGATAAATCAAATACATCATTGAAATTATCTCCCTTACACTGCTTTTAAATTATGTATAAAGTAATGGTTAATGAACAATAAAGATAATTTAAAACAGTGTAAGGGAGGTAATCCAAATACAACGTTTTAGTTACTTCCCTTACACTGCTTTTAAATTATGTTTAAAGAAATGCATATTTATAAAGGAAGACCAGTAAAAATATCTGCAAATGTTGCATCTTTTTTTTTTACAAAAAAATCCATATGAAAGATTTGACACTATATTTTTAATTCTATTATAAAATAGATTAAGTTAGCACTATGGTAAATTTAAATGGGTAATTATGGTTGCCAACTCCATTGGAAATTTGAATTGAGATTATGACTATATCTTGAGGGAAAGAATTTTTTTGGGGGAAAAAGGTGGGAGGGGGGGATAAAAAGAAATTGTGGGGGGTCAATTTTTTCTCATTTCAGATTTCAGAAATTAAAAAGAAATATTCTTCAAATATTATTTTTTTTTCAAATTTCAAATATTGAAAAATTTCAAGAAGTAATCTTTAATTGCACAGTATGGCGCATTAGATTTGTAAAATCTTTGATCACATTTATTTATTTGTTATGCCGAATCTAACAGTGTATTTAGATTTTTAATTTTGGGTCCAGTTTTCAAATTGGTCTACATTAAGGTCCAAAGGGTCCAAAATTAAACTTTGTTAGATTTTAGCAAAAATTGAATATATGAGGTTCTTTGATATGCTGAATCTAAACATGTATTTAGATTGGCCCAGTTTTCAAGTTTGTCCAAATTGGGGTCCAAAATTAAACTTTGTTCGATTTCAACAAAAATTGAATATATGGGGTTCTTTGATATGCTGAATCTAACCATGTATTTAGATTTTTTATTTGTGGACCCCGTTATCAAATTGGTTCATATTGAGGTCGAAAGGGTCCAAATTTAAACTTTGTTTGATTTCATCTAAAATTGAATTATTGGGGTTCTTTGATATTCCAAATCTAACCGTGTATTTAGATTTTTAATTTTGGGTCCTGTTTTTTAATTTGGTCTACATTAAGGTCCAAAGGGTCCAAAATTAAGCTTAGTTTGATTTTAACAAAAATTGAATTCTTGGGGTTCTTTGATATGCTGAATCTAACCATGTATTTAGATTTTTTTATTTGTGGGCCCCCCTATCAAATTGGTTCATATTGAGGTCAAAAGGGTCCAAAATTAAACTTTGTTTGATTTCATCAAAAATTGAATTATTGGGGTTCTTTGATATTCCAAATCTAACCGTGTATTTAGATTTTTAATTTTAGGTCCCGTTTTTTAAATTGGTCTACATTAAGGTCCAAAGGGTCCAAAATTAAACTTAGTTTGATTTTAGCAAAAATTGTTTTCTTGGGGTTCTTTGATATGCTGAATCTAAACATGTGTTTAGATTTTTGATTATGGGCCCAGTTTTCAAGTTTGTCCAAGTTGGGGTCCAAAATTAAACTTTTTTTGATTTCAACAAAAATTGAATATATGGGGTTCTTTGATATGCTGAATCTAACCATGAATTTTGATTTTTTATTTGTGGGCCCCGCTATCAAATTGGTTCATATTGAGGTCAAAAGGGTCCAAAATTAAACTTTGTTTGATTTCATCAATAATTGAATTATTGGGGTTCTTTGATATTCCAAATCTAACCGTGTATTTAGATTTTTAATTTTAAGTCCCGTTTTTTAAATTGGTCTACATTAAGGTCCAAAGGGTCCAAAATTAAACTTAGTTTGATTTTAACAAAAATTGAATTCTTGGGGTTCTTTGATATGCTGAATCTAAACATGTGTTTAGATTTTTGATTATGGGCCCAGTTTTCAAGTTTGTCCAAGTTGGGGTCCAAAATTAAACTTTGTTTGATTTTAACAAAAATTGAATATATGGGGTTCTTTGATATGCTGAATCTAACCATGTATTTTGATTTTGGACATTGGACCATAATAGGTAAATTAAAAAAATTCAAGTTCTTAGACCACATTCTTTCTGTGTCAGAAACCTATGCTGTGTCAAATATTTAATAACAATCCAAATTCAGAGCTGTATCAAGCTTGAATGTTGTGTCCATACTTGCCCCAACTGTTCAGGGTTCGACCTCTGCGGTCGTATCAAGCTGCGCCCCAGCGAAGCATTTTATTAAAATTGGAGTTATCTTCCTTTGTCCATGATTATAGTTGAATCAACTACAATCAATGCTTTATACAATGCAATGTTTAGTTTTGACTTCCACTGATAAAACACAGATCAAGTTGAATTTGGGAAGTGTCACTTTAGCCATTATTGAGTTATGCCCCTTTATAAATTGAAAGATTGCAAAATTTTTAGTTTCCATTCTGTGACTTAAGTTTGCCCCAACAAAACATTATGAAACCTATACACAATATTCATTACCACAAAACTAAGATCAAGTACAAATTTTTTATTTCCGTTTTCTAACTTTAGATTGCCTCAACCAAATGTTATGAAACTTATACACAATGCTTATTACTACATAATACAGATTAAGTACGAAATTTGGTGGCGACACTTTTGCCATTCTTGAGTTATGTCCCTTTATAAACATAAAAATTTCCATCCTCTAACTTTAGTTTGTCTCAACCAAATGTTATAAAACTTATACACAACCATTCTAGAGTTATGCGTGTTTACAAATAGAAAAATTGCTGAATTTTTAGTTTCTGTTCTCTACTTAAGTTAGCCTCAACCAAATGTTTTGAGACTTACACACAATGCTTATTACCACAAAACTCAGATCAAGTTCAAATTTGGGTAGCGTCACTTTTACCGTTCTTCAGTTATGTCCCTTTATAACTATATGATATGCAAGCGGGGGCATCATCTGTGTCCACATGTGGACACTATCTACATTTATTCTTGACCTCATTTTCATGGTTCAGTGACTACTTAAAAACTATAGGTATTTTTATCACCTGATTTTCTCACTTATTATGAATAAAAGATAATTTAAGTTAATGCTTATGTACCACATAAATAGAGTAGAGTATTTTATCATTTATGAAAAAGGAAGAGGTTAAAATATCCTGTAAGGTTTCAGTACATAATAAATTGTGCTGTTGGATAAAATAATATATTCTGTTGGTTTTGACAATAAGTATTTGCAAAAATTTACTACTTCAGTGTTGACAGGCTAGTCGTGGTACAGTAGTAGAAATACTTAGACCATCGATCACTGAAGCCCTCTGAAGTGAATAGAAGTGAAAGCCCAAAGAAACCAATCTTTGTGTTTTACAGTTTGATAGCAGGTACCACTTAAGTTGGTACTTGGAAACATTTACTCTTATTTTGAGATATAAACGATTCTGTTTGTAGTTCACAACAGTCCAGCAACTGTAGTGCAACTGTTCCTTTGATATATTAGTTATGCATAGTATGAGAGAAAATTTTGCCTTATCTGCATTCACTCATTATTCCTTTTTTCCCCAACTTGAAGAATATATATCCTTTCTTCAACGAATATTTAAATTGAGTCGAAATGATTAAAGAAAAAGATTGAAGTGAAAATGTTTTTCATAACCATTTAACAATAAATTTTTGATTTCAGGGATGAATTAAACAAATATATGGAACAGGATGGTGCTCCTCCTGGTGCTATGATCTTAACCACAAATTTATATAAACCTTTCACACGACTAGATAAATATCCCAGCCTTCTCAAAGAATTAGAGAGACACATAGAGGTAGGTGGAAACTTGACATAAACCTTTCACACGACTACATAAATATCCCAGCCTTCTCAAAGAATTAGAGAGACACATAGAGGTAGGTAGACACTTGATATAAACCTTTCACACGACTAGATAAATATCACAGCCTTCTCAAAGAATTAGAGAGACACATAGAGGTAGGTAGACACTTGATATAAACCTTTCACACGACTAGATAAACATCCCAGCCTTCTCAAAGAACTAGAGAGACACATAGAGGTAGGTAGACACTTGATATAAACCTTTCACACGACTAGATAAATATCCTAGCCTTCTCAAAGAATTAGAGAGACACATAGAGATAGGTTGAAACTTGATATAAACCTTTCACATGACTAGATAAATATCCTAGCCTTCTCAAAGAATTAGAGAGACACATAGAGATAAGTGGAAACTTGATATAAACCTTTCTCACGACTAGATAAATATCCTAGCCTTCTCAAAGAATTAGAGAGACCCATAGAGGTAGGTAGACACATGATATAAACCTTTCACACGACTAGATAAATATCCTAACCTTCTCAAAGAATTAGAGAGACACAAAGAGGTAGGTAGACACTTGATATAAACCTTTCACATGGCTAGATAAATATCCTAGCCTTCTCAAGGAATTAGAGAGACACATAGAGGTAGGTAGACACTTGATATAAACCTTTCACACGACTAGATAAATATCCTAGTCTTCTCTAAGAATTAGAGAGGTAGGTACAAACTTTCTGAAGAAAGAAACTATAAATAGAGACATAGGTACTGTTTTTTAATTTACAAGACAATATAAGTATTATAGATATATTGCATATTAGATTTTTCTTAAATAATGATTATGAGAAAAAATAACATTTTGAAAACATCTGAGTATAATTAATCTTGATTTAGTAAGTGAAGATACCTCATCATTTATCTTTGAATCAGAACATGATCACCAAGAGAAAACATAGCACAAAACACCTCTGTGTCTTAGCAGGTTGGTTTTGATCGCATGCTAGATTATAAGATATAAGACATATGGTAAAAGTTGAAGAACATTAAGTAAAGGTCATTTATAGTCTCAATTTACACTTTCTACTGATATTCTATAACATCTGTAAACACATGTTTTTAATAGAGTCAACTATACTTGATGGTTATAGAGAAACTTAATGAAGGATTTATTTTATTGAATCAAGTGAAGGTGTATAAATTCATTGTCTGATGTAAGTTTTGTGTATTTTTTAGGAAAGTCATGTGGATAGAGGTGATACACAGAGAGCTATAGCTATATATAGAGATGTATCAGTAAGTAAATTGGTTAAGGGAAATTTTTTGTTATTAAAACTTTTACTGACAGCAGTTATATGAGTGACACTATGATAATGGCTTCCTTTTGATTGTGTACAACAGACAGTAATTCATTAAATATTCATAAAAAAAAATTTAGTTGCACTGATGATTTTATTAACACCATGGCTATATATATAGAGCTGTTGATATTATATTGTCCTCTTTCTTTGTCTGTCTGTCTGTAACACATCACATTTTTCAGCAACTCCCAGTCATAGCTTCTTGAAATATGGAACTAAGCTTCATCTGGCTATGCCATATAGTGTCATGGTCCCACGGCCAGTTCCTTCTATGTTTTACTTCCTGTTTGCAGAAAAACAGTGTTTTGAATTACCATGCACATATATATACTGTAAACCATCTTATTTTTTTTCGGATACTTTATTTCACATTTTACCCCTTATAGCCACATTGCGCCAATTTAATTTCACGATTTTTTAATTTATTTCAATTATTTAAATAAGGAAAGATCCAAGATTTACATATTCGCATTATTTTTCTTCTTGCAAAAGTCGCAAAAATAAATCGCTCGCAAAAATTAGTTGGGTTACAGTCAGGGGCGGATCCAGCCATTTAAAAAAGGGGGGGTTCCTAACCCAGGATAAAGGGGGGTTCCAACTGTATGTCCCCATTCAAATGCATTGATCGTCCAAAAAAAAGGGGGGTTCCAACCCCAGGAACCCCCCCCCCTCTGGATCCGCCACTGACAGTATATATAAATATTTGTCATATTTAGTTAACAACTGCAAGTCATAGCTTTTGATACACAGCACATGTTCCTCATCTGACTAGACTAAAGTAAGACAAATCGTTAGCTCCTTTGATTTTCTACAACTATTTTGGCAAAAACTATTATCTTTAAAATGTCATGTCCATGTATAAAATTTTTGTCACAATATTGATTTGGGTTGGGGGGAAAAGGGAAAAAAGGGGGGGGGGGGGTATCTTCTTACAGTAAATCTTGTACAAGTACTTTTACAACTTGTGTATATATTAAAAATCTGGATACCTGATATTTCCTCACTCATGCCCTAGCTTCTGGGACAATAAATCTCTGCATTGTAAGACATTTATCTGGTTGAAAATCATTTTATCAGATTCTTTACAGGTATTGATGTAAGTTTGAATTCTATCATAAATCATCATGACATCATAATTTCCTTGTCATTGAAAAAAGTTTGGTTTGCATCCGATGATATTACTCTTAGAAAAACAATTTAAATACAGAACACAATTACTTCCACAGTAAATGTTATGTACGTGTATACGCAAACAATACTTTACTTAATTATCCATGTCTTAGTTGTTGAACATCTAATTATGTTTGCTTATTATTTAATATTATATATTTTAGAATGCTTGTATGGAAATAAGAAAAGTGAAAGAAATGGAATATGAAATATTAACAAGTGCAATAAAAGGTTGGGAAGGGGAGGTAAGCCTGTTTTGAAGAATTAAAAAAAAAACACACAATTCATGACACATATTATTTGTTTGAAGTATAACATTATTTAATGTAATATGTCATTTACTTTAACCTGAGATATTAATCACTTTAAAGAAAGCACATTTTACTTGGCAGTTGCACAAAGATAAAAAAAAATAAATCTGAATAGCATTCTGATTTCAAAGGCTCATTAAGATGCTTTTAAACCTTGAAAAAGACCCAGAAAAACGGACCAAATAAAGCAAGCATCCTACTAGGAAATGTACAGGAAATGCATGAATATGAAAGTCATCTATAGTAAAACAAATGGATTAATCCAGAACTGGTGTTGCATTATGGGAGCAATAATGTTTTGAAATTCTAATTTGATGTGGACATCATTTCTGTAATTTGCAAAGACCAAAGTTATATTGCTGAATTTGTTTTTTTGTTGATTAAGGCATACCAGTTATAACTTTAAAACTGACAATGCAGATAAAAGAAAGCTTTTGAAATAAACTCACAGCAGAAAGTTTTCTATACTGTATAGTGGGTGCACTTACCTTGTTTTCCTTATATGTAATAGTTTACAGTTCCTGAATATGATAGTAGTTAATATGTCTCTATAATTCTGACATTTTTTTAGGAGATGTCAAAGTTCGGTGAAGTACTACATTTATCACAGGTTCATGTATTCACATCTTCTGGAGAAAAGTATGACAGAATTTTTGTTTTATTTCCTAACATGCTGGTCATGTTATCAATGAGTCCTAGATTAAGTGGTTATACTTATGAGGTAATATGCTTATTCATTATTATTATAAATATCTCATTTTAATTAAATGTAATGTTTATTTAAAGAAATGAAATGTTTCTCATGAAAATTAAAGTAAATAACATATCTTCATATAAACATCTCTTCTTAAAACCATTACTTAATGTAAACTTAACAATAAAGTGTCATTCCTAAATTATGTATTTAGAACTACTTAGTGTTATAACTAATACCAGATAATTATTCTTATTTTGTATAAGTTCTTTTACAGAACCAGACTATAACCTGTCATTATATCACCACTCTAGAAGTGGGGGCTATCTTGCAATCACCTTGTCCGTTCTAAGACCTGTCAAGAAATATTTTCACATTTTTCGAAAAAAACTACCAAACTAAATGATTTCATAGTAGGTCAGCAGCTCAACATTGATGAGTTGTAACGTGTCTGTGGTTTTTTCTATGGATCTTTCAGACTCCTACTTCCTGGTCTGATTTAAACAATACAACTTACCTTAATGTACATTAAATGCTCTTAATTTTACGAAAACTAGACAGAAATATCATGAAAATGTTGCAACATCCTTTTAGATGAACTGAAAAAAGCATTACAATTATCTGTAAGTAATGAAGTGCCAAACAATATTTTTCATATTGAGTTTTAACTGGATATTTGTTAACAAGTGTTTTATCTACATTTTATTTGCAGGGACAAATTCCACTAAGTGGTCTAAATGTAAGCACATGTGATGATGAGGAAAATTTTCCAAATAGTTTTGAAATTTCAGGTATGATCAATACAACTATATAATTCTTTGAACAACTCTACTAGCAAAAAAATAATTGCCATCCCACCTGATATGCCTGAATAAATTATATTTAAATTCTCACATTTTTTTCATTTGTTAATTAATTGAAATTTAATTTATCAAAAGAGTTGTTTATTTTTCTGAAATCTTGGTAGATAAATAAGTGACAGTTTGTAATTCTGAAGATTATATACAATTCTTACTATATTTTATACCTTATTTCAGGGAACATGATAGAGAAAATTACAGTAACATGTGGAACTAATTCTGAAGTAAAAGCATGGTTAGACCATTTAAAACAGCAGGCTAACTATACCTCAGGGACAACCAAACCACAAAGTCTTCAAGTATGTCTAAACACCTTACAGGAACAGATGAAGCTCTTAAAAAATGGGGGATCAATGGAAACCAGTAGTGGTCAAAATAAACCTGAAAATCAAAAAGTGAGGTCAAAATCTGGTGTAGCATGGAAACCTCAGCCTTTATACGCATCTAAAATATACTCTTTCGTAGCATGTAGAAGGCATATTGTAACAATGTTCACAATCTGTTAACATTGGTAAAGCATGATTTTGGCTAATTACAACTATTTTATTTCCTATAAAAGAACTAAAAAGATGGCCTACCCAACAATTTCTTTAAAGTTTAGGAACAAACACACATAGATATCAAGATAGAAATTGCACACCTATCTCTTAATTTGATACAATAAACTTTAGTTCTAGAAATTATTCCAGAAAGGCTTTGAAAATAAGGGAAAAATTAACACCATGCCTACTTTTTATGGACCATTTGTTTGGTTAACTAAGGAGGAAAAGGAAAATAGTCATTCAATTTGAATCAAAGACTAAATTAAAAAAAATTTAGAGAAAAAACTGAGAGAAAATATGATCAATAAAAGCTGCTATGAATCATTATGACATATAAAAAAAATATTCTTTCTTGGGATGATTTAAAAGAAAAAAGGAAACTGCATGGAAAACTTTCATAATTCTATATATATATATATACATTCATTCTTAAAATCATACAAAACTTAATTTAAGCATGCTTGATCTTATTAACCAAAACACTGTAAAAGAGTCCTATACATACTATTACAATATTAAATGTATACTTACATAAAGGAACTGGTATGTGGACGTTTGTAGGATAACACACTAATGGTTAGAGGTATTCTAGGATCTTTAGTTTGGTTTTAGGAGAATTACTTTTGTATAATTAAAACCCTTTATCGAATTAAGGATGACTTAACACACTAATGGTTAGAGGTATTTTAGGATCTTTGGTTTGGTTTTAGGAGAACTACGTTTGTATAATTAAAACCCTTTATTAGTTCCCTACCGATGAAGTCGAAGGGGACTTTAGGTTTGCACTCCGTCGGTCTGTCTGCCCTGCAAATCAGTTTTCCGCACTTTTTTCTTCATGCTTGAAGATATTGATTTGATATTTGGTGCATTGTTTTATCATGACAAGTTACAGATCAAGTTCGAATTTTGTTCCGGTCTGAAGATTTTGTGCAGAGTTATGGTCCTTGGACTTAGAAAATTCACTCAAATAATCAGTTTTCCGCACTTTTTATTGTCATGCTTAAAGATATTAATTTGATAATTGGTAGATAGTTTTATCATGACAAGTTACAGATCAAGTTCAAATTTTTTTACGGTCTTATGGTTTTGTGCAGAGTTATGGTCCTTGGAATTATAAATTCACTTAAATAATCAGTTTTCCACACTTTTTTTCGGCATGCTTGAAGATATTGACTTGATATTTGTTATATAGTTTACACCATGACAAGTTATAGATCAAGTTAGCATTTTGTTCCAGTACAATGAATTTTTAACCAGTAGGGGACTATGTATTGCCATGCAATACTCTCAGAATGCTTGTTGAAATAAGTGTGATGACAAGAGAACTTTTGTCACTAAATATTAAGAAGTTTGAATTTCAAAAATTCACAAAATAAATATGAATTTTTATAAGTGTTTACATACATTGATAGATATTTGTAAGACATGTAGTTAAAACATTGTATATTAATATGGTATCAGTATGGGGGGGAGGGAAATGTCTTTAATAGATACCTTTGCACTTTTGATGTAAACCTTCACTTCCCCTTTTATTTTATAGATCTCAACTTCACAACCTAGTATTAGTTTGTTAACGAAGGCAAAAACTGCCATGGTAACACATTCCACATGGTCAATGTCATGTCTACGACCTTCACCACCTCTCAGACAGATTCCATATAATAAAGAAGATGGCATCAGAAGTCCAAGAATGGGCAGAAAACCAGTGAGACGAAAACCAGGTGAGTGGAAAATGCAAAGATTTCTACAAAAGTATCTATATAATCTTGATATTCTAAATACTACTAAGTTCATTGCAGTAAGGTTTGGACTGTAAATTAAAAATAAGCTTGATGTATTAAGAATCTAACTGTAGTTTTATGAAGAAAAATTTATCATGTTTAAGTTTTCATGACTTTTTTGTGTTATAAAACTATGGCACGGTTTCTTGTATTTAATATATGTAGCTGGGTCAACTATACTAAATGATATATTGTGTATAACTTTCATAATTATTAAAAATATATGATTATTATCATCAAATCCAAACATCAATAAACTGTGATATTTTTCTACACCCAGTGAGAACACATTCTCAGGATGAGTATGACTTTAAATCCAGATGGCGACAGTGTTAGTATATGAATGTTGTATTCCCATATAATTTGTTATTCCTGCTTTTGGTGTTGTTCATTTTGCATTGATGATATGTATGCATGATTCAAGAATCAAGAATGAAGCTTTTTATTAAACTAAAATTTATTTTTAGCTCACCTGGCCCAGAGGGCCAAGTGGGCTTTTCTCATCACTTGGCATCCGTCGTCCGCCGTTAAATTTATTAAAATCTTCTCCTCTGAAAGTACTGGGCCAAATTTAACCAAACTTGGCTACAATCATCATTGGGGTATCTCGTTTAAAAAATATGTCCGATGACCCTGCCTACCATCCAAGATGGCCGACATGGCTAAAAATAGAACATAGAGGTAAAATGCAAGTTTTGTCTATTATTTTGAAAACCGTTATGAATAGAGAAAATCTGACGGGAGCAAAATTGTTCAGAATGTTGAGCACTACCAATTGTCCATAAATGTCAAAACTGTCAGACGACTACTTATAGGCATTATTGCCCTTAAATGATAAATTTTACAATTTTTTTTCATTTTTGCCTTCTATCTTGAAAACAATAATAGGTAATGGGAAACTTTAAATTGCAAGAATGATCAGGAAGACAAATAAATGAGAATATTTTTTTTACCCTGTTTTGTGTTTTGAGCAAAAACTAAAGAAGATAGAGAGAAACTAAACAGACTAAATGATAAGCAATACAAGATAAAAAAAAACAGATTTTTTTCATGAATTCTATTCTTGTCGAGAATGTTGGAGAGTGTTCTTTGGTGAATATGCACTTAGACCAAGGTGAGCGACACAGCCTCTTTAGAACCTCTAGTTGATTTTTATGAATTCTATTGTTTATTTATTGTTGTGTAAAGTTGTATGTTAAGTTTTATATTATATTATTTCTTGCGGTTGTGGACTATTGGTTACATGGTTCCTTAATCAAAGTTTATTTGCTACTTGAATAGAAATGTTTTTCATTGTTACATATATACTGACTATAAATTGTAACAAAGCACTTCCACTGTGACATGAGATATAAAATAACCAACTTCCCATATAACACTTCCTGTAAACCATGAACCTTAGAAAAATATGTCCATTTAGGTATTTATTTTAAGTTAAATGATAACAAAACCAAACTACTTTATTCAAATTTGGAAATAAAAATAAAAGAAAATACAGTAGGTTTTATTGAAACTGTTAACCAATTGTGAGTTAACTTAACACAAGTTCATCTGTAAAAGCATTTCAACAAAATTAAAATGAAACTTCTTCTGATCTTTTTTCAATAAATAGAAACCTAATATGTATTTGCCACCAAAGGAAGTATATTTTATTTAGTGAAATAATGTTAATTATTTTAAAATGACATGAGAAAGAGAGTATGAACAAGTAGCATTACATTTGGTTGCACTGAGGCTGACAGTCTTAATGTTCTACCAGTACATTTTCCTGTTTCCCTCCCCCTAATGTAGATGTTGTCACCTTGGAGACTTAGTTCATTCAATGATAAATGTAGTTTTGTGTTGCAACATTAGTTTAAGACTCACACAATAAGTGTCAGGTAACCATTTAAAATCTTTTATTAGTCCTGTGTGTTTAATGCAGAGAAAATATAAACAATATCCCAGTGGTTTTGAATGTTTGAGAAATGCATGGACATTATTTGGTTACATAAGCATGCCACATACATAACCTCACACAATATCAACACTATAAATTCCATGTCTGAACAATGTGAATTAGTTAGAACAAGTCAAAATCTATTATATTAGAAAATTTTCAGATTTTATATTGCTTGTATGCTTTTTATACGACCTCAAAAAAATTTTTGTGGTCGTATATTGGTATGACGTTGGCGTCGTCGTCGTCTGGCGTCGGCCGGCGTCGTCCGAAGACACATTGGTTTTCGCACTCTAACTTTAGTTTAAGTGAATGGATCTCTATGAAATTTTACCACAAGGTTCAATACCATAAAAGGAAGGTTGGGATTGATTTTGGGGGTTATGGTACCAACAGTAAAGGAATTAGGGGCCAAAAAGGGGCCAAAAATAAGCATTTTTGTAACTTCCAGACATAACTTGTGTGTTAGTGTATGGATCTCTCTGACATTGTACCACAAGGTTCCATATCACAAAAGGAATGCTAGGATTGATTTTGGGGGTAATTGCCTCAAAATTTTAGGAATAAGGGGCAAAAAAAGGGGCAAAAAACAAGCATTTTTCTAGTTTCATGACAATAACTTGTGTGTAAGTGTATGGATCTTTCTGAAATTGTACTACAAGGTTCCATATCACAAAGGGAAAGCTGGAATTGAGTTTGGGGGTAATTGTCGAAACGTTTAGGAATTGGGGGCCAAAAAGGGGCCAAAAATAAGCATTTTTCTAGTTTCAGGACAATAACTTGTGTGTTAGTGTATGGATCTTTCTGAAATTGTACTACAAGGTTCCATATCACAAAGGGAAAGCTGGGTTTGAGTTTGGGGGTAATTGCCCTAAACGTTTAGGAATTTGGGGCCAGAAAGGGGCAAAAAAACACATTTTTCTAGTTTCCAGACAATAACTTGTGTTCAAGTGTATGGATCTCTCTGAAATTGTACTGCAAGATACCATACCACAAAGGGAAGGCTGGGATTGAGTTTGGGTGTGATGAATCATAAGGGGGTTCAAAAAATTTGGGGGGGGGATTTTTTTTTTTTTTCTTTTTTTCCTTTTTTTTTCTTTTAAAATTTTCCATTTTAAGTTGGTTATTTCTGATTTATATTTAAAAGCAAATAATAATGATATGGTAGGAGATGCACACCAAACAGGATGTGTAAATTATTATATAACAAGTATTGTGCAATAGCAAGAAATTTTCAATTGCACAGTATTGCACAATAGCAAGAAATCTTCAATTGCACAGTATTGCGCAATAGCAAGAAATCTTCAAGTGCACAGTATTGCGCAATAGCAAGAAATATCCAATAGCATTATATTGAGCAATAGCAAGAAATTGTCAATTGTACAATATTGCGCAATAGCCACAAATATTTAATTGCACAGTATTGTGCAAAAGAAGATACTTCGTATAAATTGCTTATTTCTTGACCAATTTCAATGGGGTTTTATTCTTGAATTCTTGAATTCTTGGGGTTCTTTATGATGCTGAATCTAACCGTGTATTTAGTTTTTGAATTTTGGGCCCCGTTTTTAAATTGGTCCACATTGAGGTCCAAAGGGTCCAAAATTAAACTTTGTTTGATTTCATCAAAAATTGAATTATTGGGGTTCTTTGATATGCCGAATCTAACCGTGTATTTAGATTCTTAATTTTTGGTCCAAAGGGTTCAAAATTAAACTTAGTTTGATTTTAACAAAAATTGAATTCTTAGGGTTCTTTGATATGCTGAATCTAAACATGTATTTAGATTTTTGATTATGGGCCCAGTTTTCAAGTTGGTCCAAATGGGGGTCCAAAATTAAACTTTGTTTGATTTCAACAAAAATTGAATATATGGGGTTCTTTGATATGCTGAATCTAACCATGTATTTAGATTTTTGATTTTTGGGCCCCGTTATCAACTTTGTCCACATTGAGGTCGAAAGGGTCCAAAATTAAACTTTGTTTGATTTCATCAAAAATTGAATATATGGGGTTCTTTGATATGCTGAATCTAACCATGTATTTAGATTTTGGATATTGGACCATAATAGGTGAATGTCCAATTTAAAATTTTTAAGTTCTTAGACCACATTCATTCTGTGTCAGAAACCTATGCTGTGTCAAATATTTAATCACAATCCAAATGCAAAGCTGTATCAAGCTTGAATGTTGTGTCCATACTTGCCCCAACTGTTCAGGGTTCAACTTCTGCGGTCGTATCAAGCTGCGCTCTGCGGAGCATTTTATTGTACATTTTCATGGCACAGTGATTTGAAAGTTGAATTTTACAATGAAATTAATGAAAACAAGACTGTTAATTCAAAAATTAGTGTGTAAATATTATTGAAATTATTGATAAGCAGACAAAAAATGTTTACCATACTGATAACTGTTAGGGAATGCTGCATACCTATGGGATCAAAATGTACAATGTTAGTTTTAAATTTATCAATACTGATATTGTTGAATTTTTTTTAATGATAAAGATATCGCTTAAATTTCTGAATAAAAATATAGCTGCAACTATTTTCCAGTAAATATACCGTATGTAAAATAGTAAGCATGAAAATTGTAAGTTGCAAAACCAGCATGCCTGAAAGACTTGATGATGAAAGTTTTATATTAAAATCATGAGAATGATGCACCAACCAATGTAATTGAAATACAGATAGCTGTATACACATTTTTTTTTCACCATATTAATGTTGTCGAGTTCTTGAGTCAGCCATGCTGGCTCTATGTCACAACTCAAGATTTTAAGATGGACCAAAATTCAGAATAAAAAGCATATAATCTAACTACAGGAGATGGATAAATAACTTGCAAAAAGTATAAACACCATTTAAATTATTTATCACCAACTGTTCACATTAACTATCAATTAGTTTTGAAGTGAAGCCAATTTATTCAGTTTGAATTTAATATACTTGCATATAGTTCCTATGGAAATCAAAATTTTATAAGAAATTACTCTTTTATTATTTGAAGAAGGAAAAGAAAGTTAAAATTTTTAGGCAATTGATAAGAATTTATGCTTGTTTTTAACAGTATCTTACAAGCTTTTAGAAGTACAAGCTGTGTGTTTATATTTATAACTTGATTGCCTCACACCTTTTTCAAATATTTGAAGGGAGACAATTCTCTTAAATTATGAGCATTTAACATTTTTATAAGTTAACTTTACTGTTGATTATTCTTTCTTTAAATAACAAAATTCCACCAGTCTAAGATTGAGATCTTAATAAGTTAAGACTTTTTAAGCAAGTAACAGGTATATTATAAGTTATCTACGTTCATATCCGTAGATATGGATATTTTAACACCCTGAAGTATCCAAGTACACCCTGAGGCGCAGTCGAAGGGTGTACAGGGTACTGAAGGGTGTTAAAATATCCATATCTATGGATATGAACGTAGATAACGAATTTATCCCCGGTCTTAGTCTAAATCTGGCGATTTTTAGAGAAATTCGACCACAAAGTTTAACGTGAAAGCAACGTTTTTTTCATTTTTTAAAATATCTTTTATTGAAATTTGGGAATTTGACATATTTTTAACGGGGTGTAGGGTACTACCTTTGGTAGAACCCTACAGGTAGACAAATATAAGACGTTTTTAAACTAGAGACAGAGAAACTGAAATGGGTCGAATTTGGCGCGCAATGTTGTGAGAGTTACATCATAAACGGTGTGACGTCAACGTGGGTCATTTGCATAGCTAGGTCAGTAGTACCATTCATTGACAATGTGGCTGCATAGTGATGCATTTACTAAAATGAGTGCAAATAATCGATATAATAAGATAAAATCGTTAGTGGATTAAATCTTTAATTACAGACATCTTGAATAATCTACAGAATTCGATATTTCACAAGGAACAACCATGGAACTAAGGAAAACGCGCCTGATGTTCCCTGTTGTAATGGGTAGCAACATCCGGGTATATGGGTTAGCAACACCCAGGGGATATGGGTTTTGTAACGACGTGCGTTAACCAATCAAAATCCTAGAAATATACTAAGCCGGGGATAAACTTTTCTATCTTATATATAAAGTTATTATATCTTTAAAAAGGGGCCTCCAACAACTGCTTAGAATAAAACATTTGTTAAGAAATGATTAACTGTAATAATTTACATGTATGGTTATGCTGCTTTTTTGAGCTCATGTCAGATCGGCTGATTCACAGCATAAACAGTGCTTAGATTTTATGTATTATTACAAATACTTTATGAGATATGCCTTTGGTGACCATCTTGATAGTTAATTGAGAAAGTTTAATTTTTGCTTTCCTGTAAGTTATAGAAATGGTTGTTGGTGCCATTACAATTAAAATAACAATGTTTGTTCAATCTGACAAGTAGCTAGAATATGATAACAACATTACATTTGTTTGCTACATATAGAAAGAGTAACCATTGTTATTATTATCCAATCCAATCATAGAATGGGTAATAAAAGAGTATCTGAAAACCTGTTTGACTGTTACGAAAGCTTATAAAGAATTCATGGTTCAACTAACATACAAAGCAAATGTATGTTTAAATGTGAAGATTAGGTATGATTGCCAATGAGACATCTTTCCTTCAGAGACAAACAACGTAAAAGTTATCACCGTACAGCCTTCAACAATGAGCAAAACCCATACTGCATAGCAGGCTATAAAAGGTCCCGTAATAACAAATGTAAAACAATTCAAACGAGAAAACTAACGGCCTGATTTTTTGCAAAAAACAATGAACTATAAACAAATATGATATACAACAACAAAGGACAGCCATTGAATTACGGGCTCCTGACTTGGGACAGACACATACAGAATATAGGGGGGTTAAACACGTTTGCACATTTGTTTGTATGTACATGTTTGCTAAAATAGTTTTAAGTGTAAGAAGTTTTCTTGCCTAAATATATAGGTATGATTACATTAATGTTTTATCTGATGAAAATTTCAGATGATCCTAGAACAATGGAAGAAGATTCCTTAATTTTACGTGTGATAGAAGCTTACTGTACCAGTGCAAAGACAAGGAATACAGTTAATTCATGTGAGTATATCAATGTTAGCTCTGTTTTATGTCGTTTGGTAAAGATTCTTTGCAGTGTTGTAAAATTGTAAACATATGCTTTTTGATAGTCAAGTACTAGAAGTAAAAATAATGAATATGGTAAATTGAAAATAATGCTGCTGAACAAATTCTTAACCTGAACTTTCCGTAAGTGTTAATTTGTGCTATGGTAGGGAATGCAAAAATTAACAAACTCCTTATACAATTTTATTTTACAAAGCTTATATTGCCATGAAAAATCTGGATACCTATTGAATAAGTTATCTGTGGTAAATGGAAAATTCATTTCGATGCAGTTGAGCAAAACCATCCTCTCACTTTATAAATATTTGGTTTTATGAGAAAACATTAAGTTCAAAAGCTTCATTGTTTTGTAAGGAAAACTTATCACCATTAATTATCTGTTAAATCATCTTATATAAATTAAATAGAAACTGTAGGAAAAGGATCAATTACATGGAAGATTTTTGTAGATTAAAAATAATTATGAAGAGATTTTTTCTTTGTTTTTATGTTGCATGTATTCTGAATGAATGTCTGTAATTCTGTTTGCTTTGTTAAAAGATGTCTCTAGATTGTTTTAAGATGTAAAACAAAGATTGCTGCTAATATATTTTTTTTTGTGTGCACCTTTTTATGTATGTGTCACTTTTCATCATGGATTTTTATTTGTATTGCAATTTTATGAATGTATTTTTTTTATTTAGTATATCAAAATCAAAGCAAATACTAAAAGCATGCAATTTTCAGTATTACTGCTTATCATTAAATATATTTATAAGAAGAATTTTAGTGAGGGTGAAAAGTTCATGTTATAGAAAAAACACTTCTTACAAACTTTAGACCTTATTGATTTTTATACGACCGCAAACATTTTTGCGGTCGTATATTGGTATGACGTTGGCGTCGTTGTCGTCGTCGTCGTCCGAAGACACATTGGTTTTCGCACTCTAACTTTAGTTAAAGTGGATGGATCTCTATGAAATTTTACCATAAGGTTCAATACCACAAAAGGAAGGTTGGGATTGATTTTGGGGGTTATGGTACCAACAGTTAAGGAATTAGGGGCCAAAAATAAGCATTTTTGTAACTTCCAGACATAACTTGTGTGTTAGAGTATGGATCTCTCTGACATTGTACCACAAGGTTCCATATCACAAAGGGAATGCTGGGATTGATTTTGGGGGTAATTGCCTCAACATATTAGGAATTAGGGGCCAAAAAAGGGGCAAAAAACAAGCATTTTTCTAGTTTCATGACAATAACTTGTGTGTAAGTGTATGGATCTTTCTGAAATTGTACTACAAGGTTCCATATCACAAAGGGAAAGCTGGAATTGAGTTTGGGGGTAATTGCCCGAAACGTTTAGTAATAAGGTAGCACTCCACAGTTAGGTGTTTAGTTTCGCATTTTGGCCCCTGTGGATTTTTCAAATATGAGAGCTAGTGTGCAATAAAATTCATTTTTGAATAGCTGAGGATTAAAATAGCCTTCCTATTGGGTTTATATGAACATCAAGATTATGTAATGTATGTAATATAGTCTGTTTTCTGTATGACAGTCCGTATTAGCATGTCCATACCATACATTGGTCCGACAATTATTGTAATGTTTTTTTCCAACTTTTTGTCGCACGAACTTTGTAATTAAATTTTACGAAAAAATGAGGCGAAAGACACCCATTTTTTATTTGATTATTAGGAAGATTAATGTCAACAGTTTCTAAAAAGGTATCACTCATTGGCATTGAAATTCTAGTTTGATCCAAATTTTGGGGGGTTATGTGACATTTTCACCCCCCTTTTTGCAATATTTTATGGTAAATAAATGCAGAATGTTGCCATGGATACACATAGAAGGAATTATATTTCACCCTTTTTACTTTTGAAAATCAAATCTATGGAAGATACTGATTACATACATATGCACATGTACAACACAAACAGTTAGGTTAATGTATTAGAAATCCAGGAATAGGAGATGATAAAATCTTTTGTGGTTCATTTTTAATTTTATTTTCTAACTGTGGAGTGCTACCTTATGGCACACCAGAAAGCACAGAAATGCCTTTTTAAAGATAAATTTGACCACAAATCTTTAGTCTTTTAGGTTCTTGTTTTAGTTCTGAAGGTAAAAAATCTGCTAGGATTGCAATTCATGTTTATTTTATTGTTTACTGTCCTTAGCAACCAAAGATACACATTTTGACACTTAGACATGTTGCGGTCTTAAATTTGTACTCCATTAGCTTCGCCCTTGTAACAAAAGATTGCGCTTTATATGATATCCTCAGAATGTATCGCTTTATATTTTTGAATGCGAATAAGTCAAATAAACATTTTTAGCAGGATTTTATATTATAATTTGGCATTAGTTAAATTTAATGATGCCAGTACTGTTAGAAATTTATACCCTGCTTGAGAGCTTCTAAACCAAGGTTTGGTATGCTATTTACAGCAAAATTGACCTATGAGTGCTTTCAAATACCTAAAAATTGTACAAGTTTTCCTCTTTTATGGTAATTTTAAGATTTTAAACAGAAAAAAGGGAAAAGTTTTAGAAATTTACCCCAAAAATGAGACAGACTTGAGGTTTTTATACGACCGCAAAAAAATTTTTGTGGTCGTATATTGGTATGACGTTGGCGTCGTCGTCGTCGTCGTCGTCGTCGTCGTCGTCCGAAGACACATTAGTTTTCGCACTCTAACTTTAGTTTAAGTGAATGGATCTCAATGAAATTTTACCACAAGGTTCAATACCACAAAAGGAAGGTGGGGATTGATTTTGGGGGTTATGGTACTAACAGTTAAGGAATAAGGGGCCAAAAAGGGGCCAAAAATAAGCATTTTTGTAACTTCCAGACATAACTTGTGTGTAAGTATATGGATCTCTCTGACATTGTACCACAAGGTTCCTTTTACACAAAGGGAATGCCCGGATTGATTTTGGGGGTAATTGCCTCCAAATTTTAGGAATTGGGGGCCAAAAAGGGGCAAAAAAACAAGCATTTTTCTAGTTTCATGACAATAACTTGTGTGTAAGTGTATGGATCTCTCTGACATTGTATCACAAGGTTCCATATCACAAAGGGAATACTGGGATTGATTTTTGGGGGTAATTTCCTCCAAATTTTGGGAATTAGGGGCCAAAAAGGGGCAAAAAAACAAGCATTTTTCTAGTTTCATGACAATAACTTGTTTGTAAGTGTATGGATCTTTATGAAATTGTACTACAAGGTTCCATATCACAAAGGGAAAGCTGGAATTGAGTTTGGGGGTAATTTCCCAAAAGGTTAGGAAAAAGGGGCAAAAAATAAGCATTTTTCTAGTTTCCAGACAATAACTTGTGTTCAAGTGTATGAATCTTTCTGAAATTGTACTGCAAGATACCATACCACAAAGGGAAGGCTGGGATTAATTTTGGGGGTAATTCCCTCAAAATTTTAGTAATTAGGGGCTATAAAAGGGCAAAAAAACAAGCATTTTTCTAGTTTCAGGACAATAACTTGTGTGTAAGTGTATGGATCTTTATGAAATTGTACTGCAAGGTTCCATATCACAAAGGGAAAGCTGGGTTAGAGTTTGGGTGTAATTGCTTTAAACGTTTAGGAATTAGGGGCCAAAAAGGGACCAAAAAACAAGCATTTTTCTAGTTTCCAGACAATAACTTGTGTTCAAGTGAATGGATCTCTCTAAAATTGTACTGCAAGGTACCATACCACAAAGGGAAAGCTGGGATTGAGTGTGGGGGTGATGAATCGTAAGGGGGTTCAAAAAATTTGGTGGGGGGATTTTTTTTTTTTCCTTTTTTTTCTTTAAAATTTTCCATTTTAAAAAGGTTATTTCTGATTTATATATAAAAACAAATAATAATGATATGGTTTGAATAGCATACATGTGAACCTCCCGACAGGAGTACAATAATCCCGTTTTCAGGAGTCTCCTCCCGACCTCCCGTTGAAGAGGAAATAATCCCGTGTATGAAATTTTTCATGAATGAAAAATTTCTGCCCAACATATCATCTCAGGCATCTGGTGTAACTCACATTACCTGAAGTTATATTTTACCTGTAAATCAATTAACATGCATAATTATATGGCTTCACTTGTCAGCTTGGGTGTCAAACATACTGGTAATCAACAATTTTTTACCTCAGGCTAACTGCCGTTGTGTAACAATAACTGTGTATTTATTGGGTTACTTCCCTTGATTTATCCTGTTTTAAGTTACTTTCCTTTTAATAATGAAAATTTTTAAAAGAATATAAATAAAATATAAATTGAACAAATAATCATAAAAGGATGGTAAATAAATGATTTTAAATGTCTTAGGACAAATAAAAAAATAATAATTTGAAAATTATTTGAGGATTCTATACTTCCTTTCAAGGCTTAAATTGAAATTTATATAATAACTATGACCCTTCTTTTACTGATAGAATGATTTTCTGAGTATGCAAACAAAAGCTATTTGCAGATAGTTAAACAAATGTTCTGGTTGCAATGATTGTTTTATAGAATATGAAGTACAATATAAAGATGGAGAAACTTTATAAGTACAAGGGTACTATAAACATAATAAATTGGATGGAAAGTTGAAGAAAACACACTTTAAAAGACCATTTTTACAGCACACGGTTACATTTACGACAAAATTTATTTCGATTAAAAACCTCCTGATCTGAGTCCTAATCTCCTGACCAAAATTTCCCAATCTCCTGATCTGAGTTTCACAGTCCATCACATGTATGAATAGGTAAATTAAAAAATTATAAGTTCTTAGACCACTTTCATTCTGTGTCAGAAACCTATGCTGTGTCAAATATTTAATTACAATCCAAATTCAGTGCTGTATCAAGCTTGAATGTTGTGTCCATACTTGCCCCAACTGTTCAGGGTTTGACCTCTGCGGTCGTATCAAGCTGCGCCCCAGCGGAGCATTTTATTCACTATGATCTAGCATTCATTTTTAAATCACTTTTTGTCGCGTTTGAACATCAACTGCTAACCTTCATAAAATCTTTATTACTGGACCAATTTTAAAAACTAAGGTACCATTTTAATCGTAACAGCTAGTAGAACACAGAAAATATACTAAAAATTGAGGCAGGAGGGGGAAAATTTCATCTTAAGGTAGCACTCCACAGTTAGGTGTTTAGTTTCGCATTTTGGCCCCTGTGGATTTTTCAAATATGAGAGCTAGTGTGCAATAAAATTCATTTTTGAATAGCTGAGGATTAAAATAGCCTTCCTATTGGGTTTATATGAACATCAAGATTATGTAATGTATGTAATATAGGCTGTTTTCTGTATGACAGTCCGTATTTGCATGTCCATACCATACATTGGTCCGACAATTATTGTAATGTTTTTTTCCAACTTTTTGTCGCACGAACTTTGTAATTAAATTTTACGAAAAAATGAGGCGAAAGACACCCATTTTTTATTTGATTATTAGGAAGATTAATGTCAACAGTTTCTAAAAAGGTATCACTCATTGGCATTGAAATTCTAGTTTGATCCAAATTTTGGGGGGATATGTGACATTTTCACCCCCCTTTTTGCAATATTTTATGGTAAATAAATGCAGAATGTTGCCATGGATACACATAGAAGGAATTATATTTCACCCTTTTTACTTTTGAAAATCAAATCTATGGAAGATACTGATTACATACATATGCACATGTACAACACAAACAGTTAGGTTAATGTATTAGAAATCCAGGAATAGGAGATGATAAAATATTTTGTGGTTCATTTTTAATTTTATTTTCTAACTGTGGAGTGCTACCTAACGGGCCAAAAATAAGCATTTTTCTAGTTTCCAGACAATAACTTGTGTTCAAGTGTATGGATCTCTCTGAAATTGTACCACAAGGTTCCATATCACACAGGGAATGCTGGGATTGATTTTGGGGGTAATTGCCTCAAAATTTTAGGAATTAGGGCCAAAAAAGGGGCAAAAAACAAGCATTTTTCTAGTTTCATGACAATAACTTGTGTGTAAGTGTTTGGATATTTCTGAAATTGTACTACAAGGTTCCATATCACAAAGTGAAAGCTGGAATTGAGTTTGGGGGTAATTACCCGAAACGTTTAGGGATTTGGGGCCAAAAAACACATTTTTCTAGTTTCCAGACAATAACTTGTGTTCAAGTGTATGGATCTCTCTGAAATTGTACTGCAAGATACCATACCACAAAGGGAAGGCTAGGATTGAGTTTGGGGGTGATGAATCATAAGGGGGTTCAAAAAATTTGGGGGGGGGGGGGGGACTTTTTTTTTTTTTTTTCCTTTTTTTTTTCTTTTAATATTTTCCATTTTAAGTTGGTTATTTCTGATTTATATTTAAAAGCAAATAATAATGATATGATAGGAGATACACACCAAACAGGATGTGTAAATTATTATATAATAAGTATTGTGCAATAGCAAGAAATTTTCAATTGCACAGTATTGCACAATAGCAAGAAATCTTCAATTGCACAGTATTGCGCTATAGCAAGAAATCTTCAATTGCACAGTATTGCGCAATAGCAAGAAATATCCAATAGCACAATATTGCGCAATAGCAAGAAATTGTCAATTGTGCAGTATTGCGCAATAGCAAGAAATATTCAATTGCACAGTATTGTGCAAAAGAAGATACTTCGTATAAATTGCTTATTTCTTGACCAATTTCAATGGGGTTTTATTCTTGAATTCTTGGGGTTCTTTAATATGCTGAATCTAACCGTGTATTAAGTTTTTGGATTTTTGGCCCCGTTTTTAAATTGGTCCACATTGAGGTCCAAAGGGTCCAAAATTAAACTTTGTTTGATTTCATCAAAAATTGAATTATTGGGGTTCTTTGATATGCCGAATCTACCCGTGTATTTAGATTCTTAATTTTTGGTTCCGTTTTCAAATTGGTCTACATTAAGGTCCAAAGGGTCCAAAATTAAACTAAGTTTGATTTTAACAAAAATTGAATTCTTAGGGTTCTTTGATATGCTGAATCTAAACATGTATTTAGATTTTTGATTATGGGCCCAGTTTTCAAGTTGGTCCAAATGGGGGTCCAAAATTAAACTTTGTTTGATTTCAACAAAAATTGATTATATGGGGTTCTTTGATATGCTGAATCTAACCATGTATTTAGATTTTTGATTTTTTGGGCCCCGTTATCAACTTTGTCCACATTGAGGTCAAAAGGGTCCAAAATTAAACTTTGTTTGATTTCATCAAAAAATGAATTCTTGGGGTTCTTTGATATGCTGAATCTAACCATGTATTTAGATTTTGGATGTTGGACCATAATAGGTGAATGTCCAATTTAAAATTTTTAAGTTCTTAGACCACATTCATTCTGTGTCAAAAACCTATGCTGTGTCAAATATTTAATCACAATCCAAATTCAGAGCTGTATCAAGCTTGAATGTTGTGTCCATACTTGCCCCAACTGTTCAGGGTTCGACCTCTGCGGTCGTATCAAGCTGAGCCCTGCGGAGCATTTTATTGGGAATTAGTCGAGTAATGGCAAACAAATAACAATAAAGTCTATCAGATAGTTCTTTGTGAATAAAGTCATTACATTGTCACCTCTAGTGCATACTAACAATAAAGTCGATTAGATAGTTCTTCGTGAATAAAGTCATTACATTGTAACCTCCAGTGCATAATAACAATAAAGTCTATTAGATAGTTCTTTGTGAATAAAGTCATTACATTGTAACCTCCAGTGCATAATAAATTTTATTTTTTGTAAAGCAGAGGCAGTTCTTATGTTTAAATTTTGTGCTGAGATATTTCTAGTTTGAAATATTACGGATAGGTCACTGATGTTGAAAGCTGTTAGTGAATAATAGTGTTATAAAGAGCACTGTAGGTTTCAACTATGTTGACAGCATGTATATGTTTTTGTATGATTTTAGATTAATTTTACTGATGCATATGTATTGATAATTTACTTGAGTTAAGTTGATAAACTTGAAACAGCCAATGTTTGTTTTAAAAGATAAGTTGTTTTCTTTATTTTGAAATATGACCTTCATTGTTATTAAACAGAAGAACTATTTTCACGTTACAGCTGATATATATTTTTTTCCATAAAAGTTTATGCATACTAAAAGTCAATGTTTTATTAAGTCTCCCAAACGAAGTTTGGGAAGACTTATTGTTTTTGCTCAGTTCTTATTATTATTATTATTCTTCTTCTTCTTCTTCTTCTTCTTCTTCTTCTTCTTCTTCTTCCGCCGCTTTTAAATTTGAACTTGTCCGCACCCGTTCTCCAAAACCGCTTGTCAGATTAACTTAGGGTTTCACAATATGTTAGACTAACATGTCTAGTGGTGCAATCAGGGTTTTGTTTGTGCAATGGGGTTTATAAAGGGGTACTTTGAGGGGCAAAAAGAAAAGAGGGTTTTACTATAGAACCCTATGGGATTTTATTTTTTTAAATTTTCAAATGATTATAAATTGAAAACCGTTTGTGATAGACACAATCTTTTTAATTGAAAATGTTCTAAATGATAAAGCCCATTAAATGAAATACAGGGTTAGTCCCCAGGGGTCACCCCCACCCCCTGCCATTTAAGAAAGTTCTAATACCTTGTAAGTGGTCAAGATCCCCACCCCTAAACCATATATATTCTGGTTTGTCATGCTAAGATGGTTTGAATGATATACAGGGTTAGTCCCCAGGGGTCATCCCGACCCCCTGCCATTTGAGAAAGTTCTTATATCTTGTAAATGGTGGAGATCCCCACCCCTAAACCATATATATTCTGGTTTGTCATGATAAAGCACATCAAATGAAATACAGGGTTAGTCCCCAGGGGTCACCCCCATCCCCTGCAATTTAAGAAAGTTCTAATATCTTGTAAGTGGTCAAGATCCCCACCCCTAAACCATATATATTCTGGTTTGTCATGCTAAGATGGTTTGAATGATATACAGGGTTAGTCCCCAGGGGTCATCCCGACCCCCTGCCATTTGAGAAAGTTCTAATATCTTGTAAATGGTCGAGATCCCCACCCCTAAACCATATATATTCTGGTTTGTCATGATGAAGCACATCAAATGTTATACAGGGTTAGTCCCCAGGGGTCACCCCCACCCCCTGCCATTTAAGAAAGTTCTAATATCTTGTAAGTGGTCAAGATCCCCACCCCTAAACCATATATATTCTGGTTTGTCATGCTAAGATGGTTTGAATGATATACAGGGTTAGTCCCCAGGGGTCATCCCGACCCCCTGCCATTTGAGAAAGTTTCTAATATCTTGTAAATGGTTGAGATCCCCACCCCTAAACCATATATATTCTGGTTTGTCATGATAAAGCACATCAAATGAAATACAGGGTTAGTCCCCAGGGGTCACCCCTACCCCCTGCCATTTAAGAAAGTTTTAATATCTTGTAAGTGGTCAAAATCCCCACCCCTAAACCATATATATTCTGGTTTGTCATGCTAAGATGGTTTGAATGATATACAGGGTTAGTCCCCAGGGGTCATCCAGACCCCCTGCCATTTGAAAAAGTTCTTATATCTTGTAAATGGTAGAGATCCCCACCCCTAAACCATATATATTCTGGTTTGTCATGATAAAGCACATCAAATGAAATACAGGGTTAGTCCCCAGGGGTCACCCCCTGCCCCTGCCATTTAAGAAAGTTCTAATATCTTCTAAGTGGTCAAGATCCCCACCCCTAAACCATATATATTCTGGTTTGTCATGCGAAGATGGTTTGAATGATATACAGGGTTAGTCCCCAGGGGTCATCCCGACCCCCTGCCATTTGAGAAAGTTCTAATATCTTGTAAATGGTTGAGATCCCCACCCCTAAACCATATATATTCCTATTTTTCATGTCTCAAACATTTGAATGACGTATACGGTCAGTCCCCAGGGGTTCCCCCCACCCCCAATGTTCTAATATCTTGTAAATGGTTGAGATCCCCACCCCTAAACCATGTATATTCCTGTTCGTCATGTAATGAACATTTGAATGATGTATAGGGCCGGTCCCCAGGGGTTCCTCCCCACCCCCAATGTTCTAGTATCTTGTAAATGGTCGAGATCCCCACCCCTAAACCATATATATTCTGTTTTGTCATGCCAAGATGATTTGAATGATATACAAGGTTAGTCCCCAGGCATCACTAATGCATATAACTTTACTGGACCAAACCAATTTTCACTGGACGTTGCCCGATGTCAGGCGACCCTGGGAATTACGAATTATGGGAGCTTCGTTTGGGAGACTTCGTAACAGCATCCTGTTACAATCATTTCTTGTTTTCAAATGATCTTTCTCTTATATAAATATGTATAAGATACATGTCATGACATTTACAGTTGTTGCAGTTAAGCTGTAGTTTTTTTACGTTTCTAATTCACTAAATATTACTCTTTTGAGCAGTTGAAATCCAAGAACAACAGTTTAATTGGCTCAAAATTTTGTAGGTATAAAGAATTACCCTGATTTCAAATGTTTTGTAGCATTCTCTAAGAGCAGAAATAAAAAAAAAAGCTGGGATCTTTAAACAAAAAAAACATTAAAAGTTAATTAATGATATACTGCCTTCTGTATTTTATTATTGCTAAAATTTGTGACAGGATGTTTCACAAAAATAAAAACTTGTATTTTAAATTTTGTTAGTAATATTAGTAAGGAACATTTTCTGAAAATGGCAATTATAAATCTTGCATTTTTGTCAATTGTTCAACAGTCACAATGATAAATGCATGCACACATTTTTATATTTGAAGTTATACATATTTGTGTCACATGATTGTTTTGTTTGGTATTGCAGTATTTGTTTTTAGTTGCCTTTGCTTGAATTCACTATTAAAACTTAATCAAGACAAATGCTAGCAAACATGTGCTAGGGAAATTATCCAAGATTGATGAATCAAATGATAACCAGAATTTCAACCAGAAATTTATCTGCATGCTAGCATCAAATTCCAGTGCTGCAATTTAAAATGTTGTCATTGTTCTGTGTGAGTTATGTTATATATAGTATCCATTAACTTTCTTTTGGTAGATTATAATAATTCTTGTCTTTGCTTAGTACTTAGAATTATCAGTTTTAACAAAATCATGATTCCTAAATTTGTTAAAGGAGAAGGTCCGGTAAGGGCTAGTTTTGGCCTAATAACTCGAAGTACATCTAATGAAAGATTTTTGACATTTTTTAATCACTTCAGTGTCTACTTCGGTCGATTCAATTAGTTTATTTAAAAGATCTGAACTGATTTGGTAATCAGAGAAGCTCAAATTCACGCTTAAATATGCAAAATCTATCAAAAATGCCATGAAACGTCATTTTTCAGATGTTATTTGTATAAAATTGAAGTGGCCGCATTAAGTGTTCAGTCTCAACCTTTATGTATGTCATCAAATACAACATATATTTAAATATTAAGAATGAACACAAATGCAGCCACTTCTATTTTATACAAAAACCGTCTTAAAATTAGCACAAATGCTAAAATTGTGAAGATTTCAGTAATATTGCACAAGTTGTATGATGCTATTACCTGCTGCATGTGCATTTTATTGTCAAAAACAGCCCATATTTATGGAACAGATATATTCTACTTTCCAATAAATAGCTAAAAGTTTACATTTTGATATATTTGTAGATATGCTCTAATTTGGGCCAAAAAGGGGTCTTACCGGGCCTACTCCTTTATGAACTGAATTGTAAATGTAATGAGAGTGTAAAATTTTTGAATAATATTAACTTTTAATGCTTTTTGTATTGCCACATGACAGCTAACCATTAGAAATATAATTTATTTTTACTGCTGCTTTGGATATTTTTTACAACAATGAAAAACAGTGGATTTGAAAAAATTAAGATTAAATGAAGATGGTTCAATTCAAGGATATGGAGACAATAACATTTCACCAGAAATGGAAGATTTCCAACATGTACTTGGACAACGAATTCCAGGTTTTTGCTGTGCTACATTTCCTATAGCTAAAGGAATAGCCAGGACAATCAAAAGATTATGAACCAGAGGAACTGACAAAAACTAATTGTTAATAACATATGCAAATCAGAAAATAATCTGAAATTGTAGAAGAGCTGTAATCCTACTACTCTGGTTAAAGGGTCAAAGTTTTGAAAATAGATAATGACTATTCTAATACTCTTTTTCAATGCCTTTACAAGTATGAAATGAAATGGCTTGAGTAAATACAAATTAAAGGGAAAAAAAATTAGGTACAGTTTAATTTAAATTTTATGAAGAGTTATTTGAAAGATTGTCACTTGTAGAGATTAAGATTTGTCCTTTGTAAAAGTTTGATTCAGTAAACTTATATGAGCCAAGTTTTGATTTCAATAACAACAATCCTTTTTTAAACAAAGCTTTTGACAGAATGGAAATTAAATTAAAAAAAAACATCTGAAAGGTTAGGCATTACTACTTTCCACTAATGAATTATTTGCACACTTGTTATGGAAATTGTGATGTTTAACTAGAGAACTATCAGCTTGCTGGGTGCTGTTCCATATCAATGTTAGATAGCTGCTATATTATATACAGTGCAAGTTTAATGTGTCACCTAGTCACTTCTGTCAACTTGCATTATCATTCAAATAACTTGTTAATCCACAACTTTTTAAAGGTCTAGACAGAATTCAAATAAATGTGTAGATTCTACTACAGGCATACGAAGATGTGCACCAGCTCTATTAAATATTATCTGAAAGATTTTTGGGGATTCCTATACCAAAACCTGGACTTTGCCATTTGTGATTTTATTATTTTGAGACAACAGGCAACACACATCTTCCTTGGAAGACTCACACATTTTGAATGTATTTAGCATTATTTTTTTTTATATGAATTTTCATGATGATTGTATAGATGATTGATTTGTTAGAATTAACAATTCAGTGTTAACAGTATTGGCCTTTTTAAACCATGTATGTTGTTTGCTGTGTTATTAATTTTTTGTTGTTTTTTTGTGGTTTTTAGCTGTAACTAAAGAAAGGTTCACTCTTGTGAGGCCATTGCCTAAACCAAATCTAACTCCTATCAAAGAGACAGGTACACAAGACACTGGGATGCAAGGTACTTCGTGTTGCATGATCTAGGAGATTTTTCTCCATAGCAACATGATGTAGAAGTCCAGCAATATTTTTATTTAAAGACAATAGTAAAGCATGCCCAGTTTGTAGTTTTTATCTCACCCAAAAAGAATGTCACTGGAGACGAGACATATGTATGCTTATATGGCCACAATGGCATTAACATAAAACTTTATATTACAGAAGGTAGAAAAGCTAGAGATGAGGTTTTTTACTGCCCTTTGTCCAATGGCCTTTTTTATTTCAAATGGCTACCCGTAATAAATTGACCATCAAATTTTTGTTGTTAAAATATTATTTATAGTTACTATAAGTAATAAGTCTACTAATTACAAGGTGTGCATGTCCATCTAATGGGGTCACCTGACTTTCACTAACCTTATGTTCATGGTTCATATTCGTTGTCAATTTTTGTGATTAGCTTAAACCTAATTTCTCTTAAATTAAAAAGTCAAAGTCTACTCCATTTATTCAATAGAATCATTGTAAACTGAATATTTCTGTTTGACAGGAGATCTCAGAACTTTGATCATACTTTTCAGTAGTCAATGCTAAGTGTTGGTGATAAGGCGATCTTTTCAGTTACAAGAAGTAATAGGTCACATACATTTTGAATAAAAAGTAATTGAAAGGGACACATTACATATGCCCGTATTTGGGGATTGCATATAGAAAATTTTTAATAGATAAATTGAAAATTTCTTTTTTGAATATTGAGTAAAATCAGTTCAGTATTTTCATATCATTTGGTCAATAAAATTATGTGATCCTAAGAAATCCTTAAGTTTTACCTATGAATAATATTATTCTGCTCAAACACCACTATCATCTCCTTGTTGTTGAGCAAAGGACTTATGTGTCTTTTCATCCACTTGAAACATTCTTCATCTTCAAACCATGGACTTTATATTTGGGGCCAAATATAGCCCTTACCAACCTACTCCTTTTAGATTTTCATGATTAGGTCCATTAACTTATGCTTCATTTATAGGTTTTAAATTATGATAGCCAGTTACGCAGGCAAGACATTTGAGCATGTCCACTCTAAACTGACTACTAAATATTTGAAATAGATACATTTAGAAATTTGTTCTTGATATCACCATACTAATTGAAACCAAGTGTGATATGAAAATACCCTGTAAGGCATGCTATTCTGGCTAGGCACAAATTTTGGAATTCCATCTTTCATTTTGCCAAGTGTTCAGATCATAACTTCTTTCATCATTTACATTATAGTATCAAAATTACACACAGGTAAGAGTTATTCCTGTGTGGAAGTTAATTATAAGTAAAGGGACTATATTAGGTATAGAGAATCATTGCAAAGTATATTTGGTATAGAAAATCATTGCAAAGTATATTTGGTATAGAGAATCATTGCAAAGTATATTTGGTATATTTGTCCTTCGGACTATTGGATTACTAATTATTCAGACATTCTTCATTGGTTTAAATATCTACAACCCCTTAAACCACAAAAAAATGACAGGTATGTCAGTATAAATTATGCACATACATGTATGTGGTTTTGACAAAGTTCTGCTCACCTTTAGTCCTAAATTATGCAAATCAAAAACAAACCCTAGCTAATGACTCCTATTCTTGAAAATGCAAAATCCTTCAATAAGTTGCATTGAAAAGCATTTTCAAAGATATGTAATAATCTTAGTAATATTTTTTTATGTTTATATATCTTTTTTCTCTCATTTGATGGAATGCTTTACTAATGACAATGGAAGCCACTAATGTCCATTTATATGCTAAAATGAATGATGGTATTTATGTTATAGAAGTAGGTGCTAATTTTACTTGGTAATTTTAGTCCAAGTGTACAAAATAACAATTGTATTAAGATGTTTTATGAGTATTTATGCATTTTATATAGATGCTAAAATTACGATTTTAATTGTTCTTGAATATTTCTGTATAGTGTGGTATGAAGTTTGCTGATAGTTTTTTGTTCTTGAAATTTTTAATTCAAAACTGTTATGCAAAATGTTCATCTAGTGCAGTAAAATTGGTACTGTTAAAAGTTAGATAATGTTTAAAAGGACCTCGGGTGTATATTAATGAGACAGAATAATGTTGCACAAAAAGCTAGACCCATCATTCAATCTTCAACAGACCATTGTCCTTACAATGTGGGTCTCATTTGGGTCTAAGCCTGATGCGGGATTGGCTGATTTTTTGTAAGCGTGACACATGAAAGTCAAATTATTGTGCGTGAAAATAGGAAATGAAGTCGGTCGGGACACATGAAATTACAAGCGTTATTATTACATTGATAAGGGGGATACAGGAATCTGACAAAACAATAAGCGGGATCCAGGATCAGACCCCCCCCCAATGAAACCCCCTACAATATGTCATGCTGCATGATGCTGTAAATTAATCCAAATCTAGAAAAGGATGAATAATTTTACAGACTCAAAAATCTTCCATAAAGACCCTACTCCCTAAAGGATAAACATATTAATTAGATAAAACTAAAAACAACTGCTGACAAGTTCTTTCATGTTGCAGGATTAAAAATTTCTTTTTGATCACTCAACCCTGAGGTTCCTGAGTTCATTGATGGACATGTACATGTGTCAGAACATTGTATACACAATATATAGTGCCTACTAAGCCACTTGACATGTTGCTGTAGCTAATAGTCTATAATCCAATTATGGACTTTTGTCTCCAGTTTTAGATTTTGGGTGCAAAGGGAAACAACTTCTAGGTATAACAAACTGTATCCCAGCATATAAAAAGCAAGTGAAACAAGCATAGTGTATTGTGTTAGATCTGACAATAATATTGAATTTATAAGTGCATTATGCAATTGTGTTAAAAATTGGATTGCCATTTTGGTGATTATGCAGTTAAAATTCATAAAAGCTTATCATAGATTGCCCTAGCTATGTTTAATCATAGTTATTTTAGAAAACATACATACTGTGGTTTCATTATTATTTTTGGGACACCAATTTCTATGAATTTGTTTGTTTAGGTAATCCAAGAATTTTAATATTTAATGAAGTGCAAATTTCTATGGACTTGTGCAGAATGGCAAAACCAGGAAATCAAATATCAACGAAAATTTAATTTCTCCCCATCTAAGAAAGTTTAGGTTTAATTACTTTACTTGTAAATTGAAAAGTACTAATATGAAAAATTATCATATTGAAAATTCAGTGTGATAAAAATAATCCTAGTCATGTCAATGACTGTTCTGATAATTTTTGTAGTTGTAAACCTTATTGAATCTAATTTGTTGTCATCCATATAGTGCCTTTGAAGGAAGTTATCAACATAGTTAAGCCTATGCCAACAGATAGATATATTCGACGAGATGTTGGTACTCAAGGTACAGTTTGCATTGCATGGTGATCCTCAAGTTTCTTGGAATGTTTAAGTAGATAGATTTTGTATTGAGCAGTTTTAAACAAAAAAATAATGAGTTTGCACTGAGAGATTTAATGAAATAAAGCTGAAATTTATATTCCAAAATCTGTGAGCATATATTTTCATGAAGAACAGAAGTAATAAGAAAAGCAAGTTTTGCTTTTTTATTATTGATGAAGACCCAATAGTAAAATATACTATAAAGAAAAGAAATTAACAACAGCAATAAATTTATGAATTCAATTATAGACAGACAGATGTGTCAATCTCTCAATGTAAATATTTTTCAAGGAAATTAATTGACGTTTTGTTTAGCTCAGCACATTTGGTTAACTTCTGGCTTGTGGACATAATTCAATTTTATTTATGTTTGACTTCGGTTGAGGGCAGTTTGTTTAATTTTGCACTTTTTAAGATGTTTTCAGAGTGGACACTGATTTCAATTGCACGAGTTTACAAATGTTTATGGATTCCCTGATTATATTCTATAGTCTTTGAAACATGACAGTACAGTCTTCAAATGCAAAAATTTTATTACTGAAACTTAAGATTAACACTGGGTGTATCTGATAGTAAAGATATATTTAAAAGAAACTGTAAAAATCTGTTTTTGTATTGTACAATTAAAAGTATTCCTTAACTTTTTGTTACTATCCCCCCCCCCCCCCCTTTTTTTTTTAAATACTGCTTCTATAAAGCATGCTGTGAAATGTGTGTGTGAAAGTGATATAACTTCTGGTTGTGCATAGAATGTAAATAATTCTATTAAAGCAATGCAATATCTTAAACATGTTGTAATGAAATGAACATATATTAAACATATACTAATTTTCCTATCTTTCTGCTTATTTCAAACACTAAAAAAAGTTATAAAATGAAGGTGTAGTGAATGTCTTGTCAATCAGCACAAAAGTAAGCTCTTCGGTTTATTTACAATGAAATCTGTTCTACCATCTGAATATCCAAGTTGAGAAAATAACACGTTCAATTGGACAGGACAAGAGGGTTAAGGATATTTGATGTGATGTAAGATTTACTTCTTATCCAAAAACCTAGTCTATACTTCTGCTATGATAAACAAATCAGAATCAAGCAATGGTTTTTTGGTCAACATTTTGTTGACTGAACCGGTAAAATTGTTTGTTATCTAGACATTGTTTTTTGTATATGGACAATCACAATTCACAATCAATCAGAATTTATATATCAGGACAGGACAAACATTTGGACAGTTCAACAGACCACATCAACCCAACTACTAAAAAAAAATATGTACAAACAACAACAAAAACACAAAGTCCATTAGCCTGACTTAGTACAAGCATAAAATATAGTATGGATAAATTGGTTGTATGTGCACACAAAACTCTCTCTTTGTCTACATAGATTGTAGGTCAAAGTTAAATGCACAATAAAAAACCTGCACAGCACAGACTAGCTAAGGAAAAAGTCTCACACAGTTCAGACGTATTGCATGACACACATGAGTCAAACTATATGCTCCAGCAGCTTTATTTTAAGTTTCATAGAACAGTCATTAGATATTGAAGTTGTTATAAACTCGTGTGAATGTTTGTAACTCTAAAAGGCATGGTATGCAAAAACATTTCTTTTATGGTTTTATTGTTGTGTTGTATTTCTGTCTTTTTTATGTATACCCCAAATCTCCCTTATTTCAATTGCAAAAAGTTCACTTTGTTATATAATTGGAAAGGGTAAAGCATTTTATGAACTAAGAATATTTTTATAAATTTTATAATTGATTTACCAAATGAATATATATGTTGTTAGTTTTATTAATGTTTTGTTATCTGGAGATTAAAAGTAATTCATTGCTGAATTACCTAGAAATTTACTGAGAAATTTGTCTTCTGTTAAAGAAGATAATTACATTTTATAGTTGTTAGGTATACATGTATGTGATGATCATTTGGGATAAATGAACCAAGCTTAAAACAGTAGATAAATTGTTTACCTTCTGCATTTAGAACTATTCTTTTTATATGAATAAGTGAAAAGCATGGACCAGTTTTCCTTTTCATAAATCAGAACTCTTATTGAATGCTGTCTTGGTTTTGTTAAAAAGATCGTTGTTGTAATTTTGTTGTATTATGTTCTGTAAAATATATGTGTATGATATAAAAAACAACAAAATGAAAATGTGTGATAAATTTCTTTGCTTTTTGTCGAGCCTTCAACTTTAGTCGAAAAAGCGAGACATAGCGATCCTACATTCCGTCGTCATCGGTGGCAATGTCGTCGGCGGCGTCCACAAATATTCACTCTGTGGTTAAAGTTTTTGAAATTTTAATAACTTTCTTAAACTATCCTGGATTTCTACCAAACTTGGACAGAAGCTTGTTAATGATCATAAGATAGTATCCAGAAGTAAATTTTGTAAAAATAAAATTCCATTTTTTCCGTATTTTACTTATATATGGACTTAGTTTTTCTGCCAGGAAATATTACATTCACTCTGTGGTTAAAGTTTTTAAAATTTTAATAACTTTCTTATACTATTTTGGATTTGTACCAAATTTGGACAGAAGCTTGTTTATGATCAAAAGCTAGTACCTAGAAGGAAATTTTGTAAAAAAATAAATCCATTTTTTTCGTATTTTACTTTTAAATGGACTTAGATTTTCTGCCAGGAAACAACATATTCACTCTGTGGTTAAAGTTTTAAAAATTTTAAAAACTTTCTTATACTATTTTGGATTTTTACCAAACTTAGACAGAAGCTTGTTTATGATCAAATGCTAGTATCTAGAAGGAAATTTTGTTTTCTTCCAGTTAACATTACATTCAGTCTGCAGTTAAAGTTTTTAAACATTTATTAGATTCATAAACTATCCTGGATTTTTACCAAACTTGGACAGAAGCTTCTTACAATCAAAAGATAGTATCAAGAGGAACATTGTATTGATTTACTTCCTCATTTTTGTTGAGCCTGCGATTAACAGAAAAAGTAGGCGAGACACTGGGTTCCGCGGAACCCTTACAAATTTTTCATATTTTCAATTCTATTTTTTTCTTAGTAATATGTTTATTTTCATGAACTTTTGAATAAGTACTTTTGGACTTTTAAATAGGTTAATTAAAATTTGCATTTTGCAAGGTGATAAAATTGTGTTCTGTTTAAAATTGGTGCCACACAAAAAAAATATTTACTTTTTTGTTTGAGTTCTTACACATACTTATATTCAATTTCACTTTTACCTATATGCCATTCTGGGTCTAAATAAAAAAGGAATTAGGCTTATCCACAAAAATATACCAGCTGTTATATGAGTAAGCCTTGTAATTCACGATTCATCAATTATAGTTTACTAAATGTTGATTTACATTGGTTTTCCTATTTTCATTTATTTATAAAGTCTGATAAATATTTTTATTGATCAATGATAACATGTGAAAATTTTCACCTAGAATATTAAAATTTTAACATGCTATTTACTATACTAGTAATTAAGAAAACTTTGGTTTTTGTTGGGCTTTTTAGATTGATATGAGTCATAATGCTAATCCTGTTCTGTCACATTTAGAGTATTTAACATATAGGTTATTTTGCTCATTTTATTTCATTCTTTATTTATTTTCCTTTCATTTTGCTTATATGAATGGTCAACAAATTATGTATTCCATATTTTTTATTCATACATAACTCACAGTATGAAAATTCCTGGTTGTTCACTGAATTTACTATCTTTATACCTTTGGATTGATGGCTATATTGAATACCAGTATAATTCTATTCTCTTTTAGTTTATTTCTAACCATTTTGCTTCATTTTAATTTGAATGGCTGTTGCATGTCTGCATGTTGTAATTTTAGCTATACTGATGAATCCTCATGTGTTGATAGCTGAAGAAGAAAAGATAATAGTGGATGATGGAGGTGACCCAACCATGCTACAAGAAAAGTAAGCTATTATTGTATAGTTAACATGATAGAATTTTGAAATGTCAGCTTGCCTTTTTATTTGAAACTGGTAGTTTTGGGGCTTTTTGTATTTCCAGAATTGCTTTCTGATATATTTCTATCACAAGGCAAATCCCATCACTATCACTTACTTGTGTTCCTTTGGGGAACCAAATGTGGGTGAAAAATTCTTTCTGATATATTTCTATTTACAAGGCAAATTCCATCACCATCACTAACTCTTGTTCCTTTGTGGAATCAAATGTGGGTGAAACATTCTTTCTGATATATTTCTATTTACAAGGCAAATCCCATCACCATCACTTACTCTTGTTCCTTTGTGGAACCAAATGTGGGTGAAAAATTCTTTCTGATATATTTCTATTTACAAGGCAAATTCCATCACCATCACTAACTCATGTTCCTTTGTGGAACCAAATGTGGGTGAAAAATTCTTTCTGATATATTTCTATTTACAAGGCAAATTCCATCACCATCACTAACTCTTGTTCCTTTGTGGAACCAAATGTGGGTGAAACATTCTTTCTGATATATTTCTATTTACAAGGCAAATTCCATCACCATCACTAACTCTTGTTCCTTTGTGGAACCAAATGTGGGTGAAACATTCTTTCTGATATATTTCTATTTACAAGGCAAATTCCATCACCATCACTAACTATTGTTCCTTTGTGGAACCAAATGTGGGTGAAACATTCTTTCTGATATATTTCTATTTACAAGGCAAATTCCATCACCATCACTAACTCATGTTCCTTTGTGGAACCAAATGTGGGTGAAAAATTCTTTCTGATATATTTCTATTTACAAGACAAATTCCATCACCATCACTAACTCGTGTTCCTTTGTGGAACCAAATGTGGGTGAAAAATTCTTTCTGATATATTTCTATTTACAAGGCAAATTCCATCACCATCACTAACTCATGTTCCTTTGTGGAATCAAATGTGGGTGAAAAATTCTTTCTGATATATTTCTATTTACAAGGCAAATTCCATCACCATCACTAACTCATGTTCCTTTGTGGAATCAAGTGTGGGGGAAACATTCTTTCTGATATATTTCTATTTACAAGGCAAATTCCATCACCATCACTAACTCATGTTCCTTTGTGGAACCAAATGTGGGTGAAACATTCCTATAATTCAGACATTGACAGTTATAAGTTTGTGACTTGGTACATAATGCCTGATGTTCAAAGTTCTTATTCTGCCTTGATAACTGGAAATAATGTCTAGAAATGCCAAAGTTATTTACAACCTTGCCCTACGTATAGTCTTTGGTTGATACTTGACTCATTGATATTCATACCACATTCTTTTCTGAATTTTATGCTGACAGGCGAGACATACCTCTGTGTCAACAGTTTATTTATTTAATGGAAAGATTTGATGTTGTTGATTTTAAATTTGTGTTAATAGATCTTTTACTAATATAAAAGTAGCAGTTTAAGGTTGTTTAAATAAGTCGTTAATTGCATTTTTTATAAGCCAAGCCTCTGGAAAAGAAAATGTGAAAAACTGCCACATTCTGTAATCTAAAAATAAATAGTTGCCTGTAATCTCTTTGTATTTATTTTAGGTCACTTGTGGATACAGTTTACTCATTAAAAGATCAGGTCAAAGCTTTAGAACAAGTAAGTAGACATTAATACTGATTGTCCAGACATCAAATATTTTGGTTTGATATGTGCTATTTATTTTTTTCTCAAATATTTTATGTACAAAAAATGTTTTTGCATCAGATATGTCTAAATGGTCAATATGTAGCATTCAACATGAAACAATTACCCTCACAATAAATCTTCAAATTACTATAAAAAAGAGATAGTTTCTAACATTCAATCTTTTGAATCTAAGTAAAAGAGAAACATCTGAATTTTTGTTGACATTTTTCATTTATTGTGAGAATGATGGAATATAAAGGATATAGTGTATCAATTCATGACACAAATTCACTGAACACATATAATGGAAAAACCAAAATGCAAAGGAACAACACTTCTTCATCTCGATGCCTTCGACATGTAATTAAACTCACCTCATTGAAAGTTGGTCCCTAGCACTGGTTTGAGCAGAATTCTGAGCATTGATGAACAAAGCTGCTGAGTTATATCAACAAATTCTAAATTATACAAACAAATACTGACAAACTCACTGTATAATATAGAAACTATACAAACATTAAGACAATCACAGGTCACATCAAGATGTATTTTTTTTAGAAAACATGAAAGGGAATTACTGGTATGTATGAATAGGGAAAATAATTTAGGTGAAAAGTGAGAAAAAGTAATCCACATGAAGTTATCTAAATAATGAATTGTGATAACTGTAAAAATATGAGCGCCTACACCTCAAGTTTTTTATTTATTTTCAGATGTGGGGTAAACTTTACAACCCCAAATTAATAGTGTTAGCCCTTATATGGGCAATTGGTCCCCTTAATTAAATGAAAGTTATTATCCATGCTAGTAAAATATTTTTATGCTGAATTTGTATTTGTATTTTATAGGAACATAAGAGAATGAAGAGAGATCTAGAAGAAGAGACAAAAGCTAGAAAAAGACTAGAGACTAACATGAAAAAGTTCATTAAAACAAGAACAGATATGATGGATGAAAATCTAATGTGATCTCACTTGAATAATAAATTTCATTTGTCTCAGTATGTTAAAATTTAAAAGGGGCCAGGATTTTTATTTATATTTTATAAAATTTTCAGAATAAAGAAATCAATTGATATTTTATAAATACTTAACCATATGAAAGAAAATAATTTTTGTAAACTTGTCTATAGAAATAGTTGCCACAACTGAAAATGTTCAGCGAAGAAAAAAAGTATTAAAACTGCTTACGAATATAAATGATATCTATAGCAAAAGTTGTCTGCAAAAATAATTTCCAGTGTTACAGAAAAAAGAGCTTACATTCAAGAACTGGCCTTGAAAATGCTTATACAGATAATAGAATGATCTGTCATGTTACCTGGAATCTCATCTAGAAAGAAGCTATACTTATTCTTAATCCATTATTTAGATCGCTTGAAGTTCAGGTATAATTATCTTGACCAGGAGGAAAATTTATTAGGGAGACCAAGAAATACAATTTTTGTTATAAAACCTTATTACTAATATGAAAAAGTCTTTGTCCAACCTAATAGTTTATGTTATTTGTTAAGTTTGTTTTTCTGTGCTATTTGTATATATATGATCTTGTCCTGCATAATATTTTGTTATATTGTTTATCATATAGATAAGGTTGGAATATAGTGATACAGCTAAATCAAAACAGCTATCTAGTCCTCTATACACAATACTGGCTTGCTTAGGCAGATACATATTTGCTTTAGACAAACATGCTTTGAGAGAGCTGTCTTCGTTTACAATTATGGTCTCTGGTGGATAGTTGTCTCATTGGCAATCACAACACATCTCTTTATTTTATATCAGTGAATTTGCTATCACAAAATATAAAAAGAGTTACCTATAATTCATAGGTATTTTAAACATTGAATAACAAGCTTTATTTCATTGAAAACCCCCTTTTTTAAACAGACCAACAAAAAAAAGTCTTAGCCTCTCAGAGTAAACAGCTAAATAAAAAACTTGTACATTAGCCATGTTTATTGTGCAAAAAATCTGTAAAAATAATTGTTTGCTTTAGTAGATTCTAACAGTTTAAGAAGTTTTATTGCTAAACATTTAAATTGCTCTCAGGTCAGATTCAGTCTTTTGATAAAGCATTGATGCATTATTTTAAAAATAATTAAACGAAAGGCTGACCTACCAAAATTAGTATTTCAAAGATTTTCCTGAGAATGTAATTATTTATCTTATATATGACTGGTAATATATGATATCTTTGCCAAGATTTATAACATTGTGATACTTGGATTTATATTATAAAAATAAAAACTAATCACTTGTTTATTTTGTTTATACATTACATGATACTAGATGTTTGTTTTCTAATCATAGCCCACTGGATGTTAAGCAACCAACAATCAATCAATCAATCCTACTACATTCAGTTGAATTGTCCTTCTTGTATTGCGTAGTTAAAAACGTTTATAATATGTCAATAATTTCTCCTGATAAACTACCTTTTAACACAGTGGTAATGTTTGTTACTTTATGGGCATTTTCAATTTTGTTGTGTGGGAGCTAAACATTCAACTTATTTCCATATTTTCCTTGGCACTTTTTTCATTTACAAGGTAAGATCAGAGAAAAATAACATAGCTAACAATCTGATTAAAAGAAAACATTTAACAATAAAAAACCCTTGCGAGGAATGTCTGGGAAAGTATTTTGCAGTACCAATCACTTTAAAGGTCGATAACTTGTTCTTTGCAATGCAATAAAAGTATTGCCAAATCCACCTAAGTTAACATTGTCTGTGGGAGGTGGAACCTTTTTTTATTAATATTTTAAATTTATCAACAAAGAATTTGAGAAAGGTATGCTATAAATTATGTCCGTGCCAAAAAACAGACTACTGAGCTGATGATTCACTCGGGGACTAACAGTCCACCAGCAATTGTATTGACCCAGTGCTAGAAAATGAAAATATCTTTCTAAATTGTGCATCTGAAGCACTTTTCTAGACTTAGATATAGGAAGATATGGTATGAGTGCCAATGAGACAACTCTCCATCCAAGTAACAATTTATAAAAGTAAACCATTATAGGTCAAGGTACGGCCTTCAACACAGAGCCTTGGCTCACACCGAACAGCAAGCTATAAAGTGCCCCAAAAATAACTAGTGTAAAACCATTCAAACGGGAAAACCAGCAGTCTAATCTATATAAAAACGAGAAACGAGAAACACGTATGAACTGCAAAAACAGACGACAACTACTGTACATCAGATTCCTGACTAAGGACAGGTGCAAAGTTGCAAACATTTGCAGCGGGATTAAACATTTTAATGGTACCAAACCTTCTCCCTTTTCTGAAACAATAGTATAACATCACAACATAGAAAGACATACTATAAAATATCAATTAGTTTTATCAGGAATGCTCAAACCAATATTTTGTAGGGGATGTATCAATACTTGAATAGTTGAGGAGCTATATGATTAAGCATAAAGGTTACCTAAAAGTTTTGTGGAAAAATCTTGTACTACACAGCTTTTCTTTTATATCCCATATTCACCAAACTTGGAGTAATGGTAAGATAATGAATAGTAATTAATTGATGTTAATGTCATGGGTCTACTGACAACATTATAAAACTGACAAAGATCATACTCTCACTGGAATTATTGACATTGATGTTGAAGGACAAGAGACAATTTTGTATTTTCAGACACATTTTATGCCCCTGCAATAATTGTACACCTATTATTTATGTACAAACACTAGCGTAAATAAAAGTTCTAGCCTGAAAACCATACAAACCATGTAGCCAGCATGTCAAATTTTCAACAAAAATGTCAAAAGCTCAACCTTTCATTTGTGGAAAATTTAAAGATAATAAAATCCCAATATTATGCACACCGTAACAACCTACATAATGTCAAAGTTCTAGCTTGAAAACCATAGGAATTAGCTGGACAAACCGTGAAACCTATGTGGGAAGGACAGACATGGGTTAAAAAAAATGTCTCCCCTCCCCCCTTCATTTTGTCATGAAGATCATTACCAGTCATTACAATTGAAGGGCAAATGTTAAGGTCACAACATTGAAATAAAAGAATTTGAGATTATGTTGGATTGCATAGGGATATTCTGCTTTTTAATTGACTAGTTAATTATAAGAGGCAGATATAAATTACTTAATTACTGATAAAATTCAGGAGTTGAGGGAGGAAAAAGGGTTACAAATGTGTACTATTATATAGAGTGTGGATATAACCAAGTCCATATCATTCCCAATTTAACCCAAAACATCATTTAGATCATGAAATAAAATAGGTGGTGCAGAAGTATATTTTGTAAAATCTGGACCAAATTAAAAAATCTTTACCTGACCAATGATGCTTGAAAATGAGGTCAAGGTCAGATGAACCCTGCGAGACCGTCATATACACCTGACAATCATTCCATCATCTAAAATAGTTAGCTTATTGTTTAAAATAGCCGAGAAACGGACCTAACCATGAAAATTGGCAACAAAAATGATAGTCTTCATACACCAAGTATAGTTGACCTTATGCTTAGTATCGTGGAATAAGACTCTGTATTGAAATTACTCTCATCTTTGTATAAATGAGTTGTGTCATAATGTGTAATTGTGGTACGATAGTCAAAATATGGTGAAAGTCTAATTACTCCCATAAAAAAAGTCTGATCAAAATGACAGTATAATATGGTCTACAACACATGATGGCAAACAATCCTACCAAGTATGAGAGCTTTTTATAATACAGTCTCGTAGGAGTTGAGTTCACAAGGGGTAGTGTCACAATTCTAAAAACAAATGGTCAAAGTCCCATAACTCCTGTAAAAATGGTCAAATTAAATGGTGGTGTAATAAGGTCAACTACACATGATAACAAACAATCCTACCAAGTATAAGAGCTTTTCTGTTCTACAGCTCAGAGGAGTTGTATTCACAAGGTGTTAATGTTACAATACTAAAAATAATTGGTCAAATCCCACAACTCTCATAATTGGAACTGAAAGTTACATCCAATCTCCTTTGTTCTAACAGGGGTGATCTGAGTCGGATCACCCTACCTTGAATTTCTTTGTTCTGCATGTTTTCTTTTGTTCTGTAACATTTTGGCGGGAATGTCAAACACACAAAACTTAGAAATATTTAATCGGAATAAAGACTAACTTTCAAAATTATGTAGAAAAACTCCACTTAATTTCCAGTGTCTAAGCGGGGAATCGAACTCAAGACCTTTAGCATATGAAGCCACATTTCATACCCCTACACCAGGACGACTGGATACAAACTCTATGTTAATTTAACTTATTTAAACGTTGTATCTGGGGCTCATAAAGGGTATTTACTATATAATAATATATAAGGTATATCATAATAATTGTATGGCATTCTGAACTAGATGTTATGAAGCGTAAATGTTTTTTCATATAGTCTAGAAGAGCTGGGATGTAAAATAGATATCCCACTCGGACTTGGTGTGTCAGTGTAAGATCACCCTCTGGCCGTCATGGGATAACTATTACACCCTTTACCATATCCTAAGGCACAACACGCTTGGTATAACAACAGAAACATACCTTGACAAATGAACCATGAAAATGAAGTTATAAAAATATGGAGATGTGGTAAGATTACCAACGAGACAACTATCCACAAGAGTTCAAATAAAGTAAATGTAAGCAATTATAGGCCACCTTATGGCAAAGGTCAGTTGAACACTGCCAGATAAACATGTACACCTTACATTCATTCTATACACCAAATATAGTTGCTTCATATTACAGTTGTATCTGAAAAGCAGATCTAATCAAGAAAAATTAATGGTGACCAAGGAACCATGAAAATGAGGTCAATGTCAGTTAAGCCCTAACAGTTGGAAATGTAAACCTTATAATCATTCTATACACCAAACAAATTCAACCTATATATATTGATTATACATTGCAATTTCTAAGAAGCAATCCTTAAGAAAATTTTCAGTGGACCTAAAATAAACCATGAAAATAAGGTCAAGGTCAGATGAACCATACCAGATTGACATGAAGACCTAACAATCTTTCCATTCATAAAAGATTGTCATCTTTAACTCATAATAAGTGAGAAAATCAGGTGATAAAAAAACCTAGTTTTTAAGTAGTCACTGAACCATGAAAATGAGGTCAAGAATAACTGACATATGCATGACAGGAACTTCAGAATAAAAGGCATCTGCATATAAGAATTAAATTATCCTTATCTTCTACTTTCTGAAATATAAAGCTTAATACCAATAGTTTAGGCCACAGGATGAGCATACAATACTGTGACATTTGTTGCAGGTTGTACAAAAATGGTGGAGTCTTCCAAAGAAGACCTATGTTGGCTACAGTCTCCAAATAATTTAACCAGAAATGGCGGAGTACATGTTTTCGTGTGGGAAACCCCTCAGATCAAAAGTTGAAATAGTACATGTACAATTTCTACCGCAGAAAAATCTGAGCAAGTTTGGTTGAAATCTGTCAAATCTTTTCAAGAAGTTCAAGATTCACAAACTGTTATAAGTAGAAATGGTTAAGTCTAATGTTTTGGCATTACTCTTACTGTAACTGTTTTAGAAACATCACTTTTTTACAAAGTTTGGTTCAGTTAGGGTTGATAGCCCTTTGATCAACCTCGTACATGGATGGTCAGGTTTTTCTGTCAGGATTTTTCTTTCCGTAGACAATTGTGTAATCTGACCTTACAAGGTCAGGATTTTTTCCATAAGTCTTAGACTATTCCAGAGTTGAGTCATCCACAAGGCAGTGGAGCTATTTAAACAATAACTTGGAAATGTTTTGGCATCAGGGACCAAAAAATCATACATATAAACAAGAATGTGTCCATAGTACACGGATGCCCCACTCGCACTATCATTTTCTATGTTCAGTGGACCGTGAAATTGGGGTCAAATCTCTAATTTGGCATTAAAATTAGAAAGATCATATCATAGGGAATATGTGTACTAAGTTTCAAGTTGATTATTAAACTTCAACTTCATCAAAAACTCTACCTTGACCGAAAACTTTAACCTGAAGCAAAACAGAAAGACAAACGAACCAAAGAAAGGATGAATGAACAAACGGATGCACAGACCGAAAAACATAATGCCCCTAAGTGGGGCATAAAAATAAATAGCCATCGGACAACTTAATGTTTTGTAGATGAATCTGTTGAAGTTTAGTTGAATTCTCTTAATTTGTTTTCAAGGAGTTGCTGATTAACAAAGTGTAGACAACACAGACTCTGACAGAATTACTGTAAATTCAGAAATAATTGCAAGGTTTTTATTAATGCAAATAATGCACAACTAGGTGAGAATCGCAATGATAGAACTCGCATTCAGATATCTTATAACTAAATCTGTATGCAAATTTTCCTAAAATCACAATAATTAATCTTGCATTTTTGTCCATTCTTAAAAAATTGCAATAATAAATGCATGCAATAATTTCAGAAGTTACAGTAATCCCTACATATATGTGTCAAATTAGCTGGATGCTGTCAGGCAACATGGCTACATCTCTGCCTGCTTTTCTTCATGTAAAGGCATATATATGTAAATATTATTATAGATATTAGCATCATACTTTTATTTAATTTTCATTTATAATATTATAATTCATTCAAAAATACAGTAATAAATTAAGAGATCTCACAGTAATATCAATAACATACTAGTAGCTAATTTCTATATGTAAACACCAGATGATTTCAAATTTGTGAAACGCAATATTTCAAATAAACTTTTAAATAGTGTAGATATCTGATATTCAAAATGTATCTGCTTTAATAGTTTGTATAAATCCACCTTAATGTTCCTCAAGAAATAGCGAATTTAAATTCATCAAGAAATAGCACTTTGTAAAACAACATTCTATAAATTACACTGTAATCTCAAACTTATTTCTTTTTAAAGAAATTAGTCAATGCTGCTTGCTTCCTACTTCCTGCAGATGGTGGTGATTTTTTCTTTGGTGAGGCTTTCTTTTTCTGTAAAAATAAGAGTAAATGTTCTTGTTATAACTACCAAGCAAATCATAAAACACTTTTATTTCAAGTAAAAATTTGCAAGAGCATAAAGTTGTTGCTTTGTCCATCTCAATAAATGGTTAATGGATAATTTACATTTGCATGACTAATATCTTACTTTCAATAAATTTAATTCTTATTTATGGGAGAATTATCTATCTAATCAACAATACAATATAATGTTTTATTGTTTATTATTGTGGGATTGATATGATAGAAAAATAAATCAACAGATTTTGTTCTAAAATATTGTATTGGCTTTGAAATTGTGATCCCAAAAATATTGAGTGGCTGCAAAACTTATGGATCTCTGTTGAGTGAACTTATGTAAAGCTGTGAAAACACTGCAGACTTTAGATCTAATGACCTTTCTAAGATATGGATTGAGCTTATTGCAACTTAAATAACTTTAAAATACTTAACAAGAAGTAAACAAGTGGTGTGTTTGAAGGCTTAATTTATGATAGAGTAATGCATCTTGGGATGACAATTTCTATATGCCCAATTTCCAGGTGCCTAATTTTTTTAAAAGATTCATTCTATTCACAAGATTGTACTTAACCTAATTCAAATTGTCCATTATGATAGATTCAAGATGTCACATAATTTTTTGTGAAATACTTTATTTTATCCCAACTTATAACTGGTACAACCTTTAACAACTGTCAAATACGATTTCAACTCTTAAACCTGGTTTAGCATATTGTCTTCACATGGAAAAAAGTTTGTACAAATCTATCATTAGCCATCTGTTCCATCAGTTTTTTTATATTTATTTTCCAGTTTTTGACTTCAGACTTTTAATTACTGTAATGAAGTTAAGGGCATACGATAGTTACAGGGGAGGTAATGACGTCGCTAACGTAAAATGATACTTTTCGCATTGTCAAACTGTGACATATCGAGAAAAGATGCATTTTTCGACTGATTTTTACAATTCAGATTGATTTAACTTGAAAAGGAGTTCATGGACCCCTCTTTTAACAAGAATGCACACGCTGAAATGTCTCTCCTTCTTTACTAACCATTTATATTATGTTGATAGTCCTAGATATAAAGCTTTACTACAACTATCACATAAACTTAACATGATTCAAGAAAATGAGGTCAAAGTCAGATAAAGCAAACGAGAAATACATGTACACCTGACAATCATTCAATACACTAAATATAGTTGACATATAGCTATTTGCCAAAGTATCAAAGATACAGACTTAACAAAGAAACCTAAACATTGACCAATGAACCATGAAAATGAGGTCAAGGTCAGATGAACCATGCCAGACAGACATGTACACCTTACATATAATCTATGCATTAAATATAGTTGACCTTTTGCTTATAGAATCTAAGAAACAAACTTAACCATGAAAACTTAACATTGAGCAATGAACCACCAAAATGAGGTCAAGGTCAGATGATATCTGCCAGACAGACATATACAGCTTACAATCCTTCAATACAACAAATATAGTTGACCTATTGCTTATAGTTTAAGAAAAAAGAACAAAACACAAAAACTTAACACTGAGCAATGAACCATGAAAATGAGGTAAAAGTCAAATAAAACCTGCGAGACTGACATGCACATCATAAAATATTTCCATACACCAAATATAGTTAACCTATTGCATATAGTATTAGAAAATAAATTGGGAATGTGTCCATGGGACACAGACGATGCCCCCTGCTAGCATATCATATAAAGTTATAAAGGGACATAACTGAAGAGCGGTATAAGTGACACTACCCAAATTTGTACTTGATCTGAGTTTTGTGGTAATAAGCATTGTGTATAAGTTTCATAAAATTTGGTTGAGGCAAACTTAAGCTAGAGAACGGAAACAATAAATTCAGCAATTTTTCCATTTTGTAAACGGGCATCACTCTAGAACAATAAAAATGACACCCCCAAAATTCAAACTTGATCTCTTTTTTGTGGTAATAAGCATTGTGTATAAGTTTCATAACATTTGGTTGAGGCTAACTTAAGTTGGAGAACAGTATACTTCCTGTAGCGATTATTGTTTTGTTTAGTATTTTATACAGTATACTACCTGTGGCGACTGTTGTTTTGTTTGGTATTTTATACAGTATACTACCTGTGTCCACTGTTGTTGTGTTTGGTATTTTATACAGTATAACTCTACCTGTAGCGACTTGTTTTGTTTAGTATTTTATAGAGTATACTACCTGTAGCGACTGTTTTTTTGTTTATAATTACACCTTATGTAAGAATCCTGGGTTTTGATTGGTTGATAGCCAGTGTATTTTTCACCAATTTACTTTTATCAAATGAATATCGTTCATTTTTAAACAGCGCCGGGGTATATGCAAAAAGGATATGCCTTTTTTACCCTCTCTGCCATGGTATTTGCCAAAAAATACTCTATCCGACTGGATGCTTGTAGTGTCACGATCATCAATGCGTTTTATGTCACGATCATCAATGCGTTTTGTACGTTAACATTCGGTGTAATTAAACAGATATAGCATGTTCTTGAGGGGTATTTGCGAAAAATACCAGTCTTGAGAATGAATTTCCCTCGCCTTACGGCTCGCGAAATTTAACATTCTCTCGACTGGTATTTTTCACTAAATACCCCTCCTTAACATGATATATCTGTTCATTATTTTATACAGAATACTATCTGTGTCCACTGTTGTTTTGTTTTATATTTTATACAGTACCTGTGGCGACTGTTGCTTTGTTAGTTTTTCTTGAGGTTTCTTAGGAGGTGGAGGCTCTGTCTCTGATGCATCTGTTGATTCACTTTCCCAAACCTTTTCTGTCACTGTTGAACACAAACATAATCTATACATGTGCATTATGCATACATGCCTATTTTCTAAATTAATCTTATTCAAGTTTTCAAAAATTTGACATGAGAAAATTCGCAATTTTATTTATCTAATGGACAAGAAAGGGAAAAATTACTTGCATGATACAATTCTACATCAAAATGTTCAAGACAAAGCATCGCAGTGTCATACAAGCATACATTTTAAATTTTTTTATCAGTTATAACTTATCTAAAAAAAAATTCTGAAGATCTATATATCTTGTTTTATTTACCCATATATCCATCATCATCCATAAATGTTTTAGGGACTAATTTTCTCCTCCTTTTCCTCTTTCTCTCGCCAATATTTGTGGATGTTGTTTTCTCTGGTGAATCTTTTTCAGGGCTTTCTTTCTCCACTTCCTTTGGCACAGGGGACTCTGGAGCAGGTGATGGTTCCCTAACTGGACTAGGTATGGGACTTTCATAATCCATTTCTGTAATCATGTAAAGTTTATAAGAAAATCTTTTATCATAATTACATATATTAAATTTTGGAAAAATATAAAAATTAGGTGATGTGGTATGATTGCCAATGAGACAACTATCCATAAAAACTAAATTATGAAGATGTGAACAATTACCTGTCAGCATACAGCCTTCACGAATGGACAAAACTTATATTTTATAGTAAGCTATATATAAAAGGCCCAAGTCTGAAAAAAGTAAAACAATTAAAAAAAGAAAACCAAAAATCACTTTTTGAATAAAAATGAATTTCTGAAACATGGTTTATATTTTAGTCTGAACCAGAAAAAATAGAAGCACAACTCACAAATTAATATTCTGCTCCCCACATTTACATAGATGTAGCACAGCCCAAAAATGAATTGGCTTAAATGAATGAACAGACTATTACAAATACCACTATACACATCCTGTCTCACTTAGGCCAGTATAGTAGGTAAGTGGACAGAAAGTCACAAATTTGATAGGACAAAAAAGTCACAAATAATTTAGTTATAATTGTTTGAGTATATAAGAGAAAGTTCTTGAAATAATTTCTTTTTGTAACATATATTTATTTTACAGTTTAGGAAATTGTTCATAAGCCTTGATAGATGATAAATGAATATCTATTAAAAGAATATATTTCTTGGCACCATAATGCCATTTAAGTACCAAGCTACTTTGACAAATTGTTTTTTTAACAATTATTTGATCAAAATTGATATTTGTGTCCCCTGCGTAATGCGTTAACGGTGCCGATCAATTATTCTAAAAAGAGTAATGCCCCTTTGAAAGATTAATTATTTTGAGAATTGCATTGTTAGTGCTCTCATATGTACAATTCTTGCCAGAATTTTATGAAAGTCAAATCATAGGTTTATATTAGCAACCAATGTCTAGGACGAATTTGAAAATTAGTGCTAATCAATAATTTTTAAAAGAGTTATGCCCCTTGGAAATATTAATTATATGGAAAATTGCCTTATGAGCACTCTAATGAGTACAATTCTTGCCAGATTTTTTTGAAATTTATATTCTAGGTTTATATCATCAATGTTCTTGAAGAGCTCAAAAATCAGTGCTGATCAATTATTTTTAAGAGTCACGCCCCTTGAAAATATTGATTATATGGAAATTTGCAATGTTATCGCCTTCATGAAACTTATATCATAGGTTTGTATCAGCAATGTCTTTGACACTTTCGAAAGTAAGTTCTGATCAAATATTTTTAACGACCCTTGGAAATATAAATTATAATGGAAATCACATTGCATTTGCTCTGAAGCCTTCATTTCTTTTAAGATATTAAAGGGGCATTAGCTACAAGATATAAAAAAAATAAAAATAGGACTTTTTTTTTGTTCAATCATTAATGAAAGTGAAATAGTGAAATAATAATTCGCTTTTAGCAGCCAGTTTAGTTTAATTTTGTCAAAATAAGCTAAGAAACATTGCTGATGAATTATTCAATTGCAAGTGAATAATTAAACTTTACTGAATCCGTATTCATATGACCATCAATTTAACTCATTAGCTAGAGATTGGTTACACATGTATTAGTTGTGTTCAGCCATTAAAAGGAAAAGAATGTCAACATTGAAAGTGAAACAAAGGTGAACCATTTCGTTGACTGATTTGATCCACAATAAATCATTCTTATACAGGTAAAAACAATGATTAACTTATTTTTTTAACCTATAACATGAATTCAAACAGACCTAGAAAAGTCCAATTGCACGAGGTCGCTATCTTTTTATATTTATGTTTATATCAGGTTATGTGACTGTTGGCAGTCTTCGGAGGTCATCTCGATGGTTAATTAGATGGCGTCTAGACTAAAATACACACGAAATACTGATATATATATTATTGAGTCCATACATTGTTAGTTGTTTATTTCAGACTTATTGTAATTTGATATATGCTTTACTATGTTATAAATCAAATATGAGAATTTGAGTCAAATCAGTGAACATGAATTTGACAGCTAATGCCCCTTTAATAAAATGTTTTAAAGAACAAAAAAAAAGTTTTTTTTTTTAAGTTATTGCCCTTGTACCATGGATAGATAAAATATGTGCAACACAGGGGACATTTGAACTCTGTTCTTTTATTTAGAATAAATTTTGTTTACGAAGTTGCTTTATATATTCTAGTTTAAGAAAAATACAAAAATGTTTTTAAAAATAAGTGCTTCCTTATTCAAATAAAAATAATCTCAAAACTGAATTGTGACTTTTTGTCCTGTGACTTTTTTTCCTGTGTTTCTATCCTACATTCGTATAGTAACATGCAACTATCTTAAATCAGAAAATATTCTATTATGGACAGGATCAATAAAATGATGATCACCTTAACTCATGACTATGGTTTATTAATGATCATTATAAACAGGATCAATAAATCATAAGAATTTTGAAGGTGGTATACCTGTAGTTTTTAATAAACAGGATAAAATAAACAATGTTATTGTATACCTTCTTCACAACTACTGTCTATTAACAAGGTTATTGTACACCTTCTTCACAACTACTGTCTATTAACAAGGTTATTATTGTATACCTTCTTCACTACTACTGTCTATTAACAATGTTATTGTATACCTTCTTCACTACTACTGTCTATTAACAATGTTATTGTATACCTTCTTCACTACTACTGTCTATTAACAATGTTATTGTATACCTTCTTCACAACTACTGTCTATTAACAAGGTTATTGTATACCTTCTTCACAACTACTGTCTATTAACAAGGTTATTGTATACCTTCTTCACTACTACTGTCTATAAACAAGGTTATTGTATACCTTCTTCACTACTACTGTCTATTAACAAGGTTATTGTACACCTTCTTCACAACTACTGTCTATTAACAAGGTAATGGTATACCTTCTTCACTACTACTGTCTATTAACAAGGTTATTGTATACCTTCTTTACTACTACTGTCTATTAACAATGTTATTGTATACCTTCTTCACTACTACTGTCTATAAACAATGTTATTGTATACCTTCTTCACAACTACTGTCTATTAACAAGGTTATTGTATACCTTCTTCACAACTACTGTCTATTAACAAGGTTATTGTATACCTTCTTCACTACTACTGTCTATAAACAAGGTTATTGTATACCTTCTTCACTACTACTGTCTATTAACAAGGTTATTGTACACCTTCTTCACAACTACTGTCTATTAACAAGGTAATGGTATACCTTCTTCACTACTACTGTCTATTAACAAGGTTATTGTATACCTTCTTCATTACTACTGTCTATTAACAATGTTATTGTATACCTTCTTCACTACTACTGTCTATTAACAAGGTTATTATTGTATACCTTCTTCACTACTACTGTCTATTAACAATGTTATTGTATACCTTCTTCACTACTACTGTCTATTAACAATGTTATTGTATACCTTCTTCATTACTACTGTCTATTAACAATGTTATTGTATACCTTCTTCACTACTACTGTCTATTAACAATGTTATTGTATACCTTCTTCATTACTACTGTCTATTAACAAGGTTATTGTATACCTTCTTCACTACTACTGTCTATTAACAAGGTTATTATTGTATACCTTCTTCACTACTACTGTCTATTAACAATGTTATTGTATACCTTCTTCACTACTACTGTCTATTAACAATGTTATTGTATACCTTCTTCACTACTACTGTCTATTAACAAGGTTATTGTATACCTTCTTCACTACTACTGTCTATTAACAAGGTTATTGTATACCTTCTTCACTACTACTGTCTATTAACAAGGTTATTATTGTATACCTTCTTCACTACTACTGTCTATTAACAATGTTATTGTATACCTTCTTCACTACTACTGTCTATTAACAAGGTTATTGTATACCTTCTTCACTACTACTGTCTATTAACAAGGTTGTTATTGTATACCTTCTTCACTACTACTGTCTATTAACAATGTTATTGTATACCTTCTTCACTACTACTGTCTATTAACAAGGTTATTGTATACCTTCTTCACTACTACTGTCTATTAACACAGCTTTTATTCTTCTTCTTTTCTTTTGACTATCATCATCTAATAAATAAAAACAAAACTGAAATAATTATATATCTCAGACATAGAAGAACTTAGGGTCTATATAAATGACAATAAGGACTTCAGACTACATCTTGTTTTTATAAGCATACCTACAAAAACTTTTGAAGAATGCAAAGAATTTGAGTCACTAAACCGTGATGGAGGGGTGGGATATATTTTCCTGCTGGCAACAAAGTTAATTAAAAAGTTCCTATAAATTCAAAGCATACAAAAGATCAATGATCTTTGTTCTGACAGTACCTGTACTTTTTCATTTACACATTGTATCAGAAAACATTAAATTTTAACAAGGTAAAATTTGTTTTTTATCATTAAATCATGAATAAGGTGGCAAGGGTCTTATTTTCTGCCTGAAATTAAAAGTGCATTGATGGTTATGAAACAGGATATCTAATATTCAAGTCTATTATGAGTACTTTCTCATAAATACGTCCATTTGAAACCTGAAATATTTGCTAATGCAGATCATATTTTATATAAATAGCCTAGCTTAAAAACATCTTAATAAATATCCCTTGTGTATACTTGTCACTTGAACATAACAATTTCAGTCCTTCATGAAAGGCGAGGATCTCAAATCATTTATACAATTTAACTTAATTACTTTAATATGCAATTGTTAATTGATATCAAAAGTTAGTCATTAAGAAGAAAACTTAACATTACCGTTAAAAGGCTTGTATAGTCCGCGGTTTTATTCTCCACAATTGAACCTGCCAGAAGGGGTGCGGACTATAGAGTACAATAAGCAAGAAATAAGAGAAACAAATTCGCGAGGTGGTTTGTTTACGTTCCGCCATGTTTGTTATTGATATTGTAGAGGGCGCTCTTATCATTTTTCAAAGTAATAATTTTACCTAATCCATATTAATAAGTTATTTTTATTCAATATCAAATTAAAACTGATAAATTTAAAAATTAAACACTTCATTACAAATTTCTTGGTTCTTTTCAATGCATTGATTAAAATAAACTGGTATCTGCTTGAATGAAATCATACAAAAAGTGTAAAAAAGACAAACCGTAAACCAGCTTACGATGTGTAAACTACAAAACGTAATCGATTAATTATTCGTTCCGTTTCCGTGTTTCATACTGACAAATATATTTTATATTAGCTTAAAACCCTTCAAACATTAATGTAATAGATATATTACACACTGTTTTACATAAAGATGGAACTGTTTTACTTCCAAAGTAGTATTATAGTGATATCTATGATGTACAGATTTCGACTCTCACCGTTTTTTTTCTTCTTTTACACATGCTATTCAAACTTCCTGTTGAAACATAAACAAGTTTCTAAATTGTTTTTTGTGTGATTTAAACTTATTTTTACAATCGTGAAGTGGTCTAGAATCATTTACAAGCAGTTTAAGCTTCTGTTTGATGATGGAAAACAGGTTTTTCCAAGAAAATACCGCAAACGACTATGCACGATTTGAAATTACCAGAGTTTCATTAGACCTTTTCTAACAGTAACAAAAAGTTTTTTTACCTGAAATTTCATGGGGAGAAGGGGTTGCGGACTATGTACCAGTGCGAACTATACAAGCCCGATTACGGTAAGTGTTGACACAAAAACATAAAAAAAACCCGTTTGGTGAACCAACGCATGTGAAATTGTTTTGCTTGAGTCCCTGAAGTGGATACCTTGGTATGCCGGGTTGTCAATTTTGGGTATAAAAACAAAAAAAGTACATCCATTGCAGGCAAGTCAAATATTATATTAACTATAACACACATGGTAACAACTAGAATTTCAAACTGTGACAAAATCATTGTTGAACACATTTTGCACTGAATTAGTGAATCAATAAAATTTTGCATTTAGTGTCATATATCAAAAATTCGTAAGGGTTCCACGGAACCCAGTGTCTCGCCTACTTTTGCTGTTAGTCGCAGGCTCAACAAAAATGGGGAAAAATTATTAAAAATTTTCCTCTAGATACTATCTTTTGATTGTAAGAAGTTCTGTTCAAGTTTGGTAAAAATCCAAGAAGGTTTATGAATCTAATAAATGTTTTAAAAACTTTAACTGCAGACTGTACGTAATGTTAACTGGAATAAAACTAAGTCCATTTATAAGTAATATACGGAAAAACAGGAAATACATTTTTACAAAATTTCCTTCTAGATACTAGCTTTTGATCATAAACAAGCTTCTGTCCAAGTTTGGTACAAATCCAGGATAGTTTAAGAAAGTTATTAAAATTTTGAAAGCTTTAACCATAGAGCGAATGTAATGTTAACTGGCAGAAAATCTAAGTCCATTTATAAGTTAAATACGGATAAACAGGATTTTTTTTTTAACAAAATTTACTTTTTAATGCTATCTTATGATCACAAACAAGCTTCTGTCCAAGTTTGGTTGAAATGCAGGATAGTTTAAGAAAGTTATTAAAATTTCAAAAACTTTAACCACAGAGTGAATATTTGTGGATCGCTATGTCTCGCTTTTGCGACAAAAGTCGCAGGCTCGACAAAAAGAAACTGAAATGAAACTTAATCATGTATGTTGCAGAAGGGGTTGTGTAAAAAAAATCTTACAGATCACGACATGAATTAACCAAGGACCAAGATGTATAGATGATTTGTTTACACTTAAAACTAAATAACAACTTTTAAAATATATCTTACCAGAGTCTGGTCCAGATTTTGACCTTTTACCTTTGCCTTTGTCAGGTACTTGCCTACAAAGTGTACAATATTATAGATATATAGATTTTACCTAATCTAAATCTATTCTAATCTATATTTATTTATTAAGATATTTAAATATCTTGAGTGGAAAAATATCATAATTAATAAGGAAATATTCAATAATGCATAATAATTACTAAAACTAAAAGACAACATTGTAGGAATCCATACTTTTTACTCAAAAAAGATTCCAAGATCTGAAGCCTATAGAAAAAGGATTGATTGCTTTTGTTAAATTGTTTTCTTATGCATGTCCAGTGACAAATATATCATGAATATTCAGGAGGAGAACAAATTAATGTTCACTCATTTGGCAGCTGCTTGGTCAAATTTTGCTGGACAGGATTAAAGTTTAGCTGATAGATTTCAAGATTCTGGGGATGTAATTTGACATTTTAGTTTTTTCAATCTGGTGTAAATGCTAAAATTTTGCAGTTTCTAGGAGTCTCAATTCAGTATACCATAAGAAATCGTTAAAATAGTTTTGTAAGGATTTGACATAAAAAATGTCAGTGGCATGAATGAATCATTATACATTTCAATTATTTTTTCAATCAATGTACTAAAATTCTTCAGTCATAACCATCATATGACATTATAAAGGAGTATGTGCAGTTAGGGCATTATTTGGCCCCCAGTTTCAAGTCCAAAAGACTAAAAGCATTTCAAGTTAATAAATAAACCTACGAGAAAGTGAAATACAACGTACCGTAATCTGGCTTGTATAGTTCGCACTGGTACATTGTCCGCACCCCCTTCTTGCCACGAAATTTCAGGTAAAAAAACTTTTTGTAACTGTTAGAAAATGTCTAATGAAACTCCGGTAATTTCAAATTGTGTGTGGTCGTTTGCGGTATTTGCATGGAAAAACCTGTCATCATCAAACAGAAGTTGAAACTTCTTGTAAATGATTCTAGAACACTTTACGATTGTTAAAATAAGTCAAAATCACACAAAAAAATATTTAGAAACTAGTGTATGTTTAAACCAGAAGTTTGAATAGCACGCGTAAAAGAAAATAAAAAAGGTGCGAGTCCAAAAAATCTCTACTAAACAGATATCACTAGAATACGACTTTAAAAGTAAAACAGATCCATCCTTGTGTAAAACAATGTTTAATATATCTATCACATTAATGTTTGAAGAATCTTAAGCTAATACAAAATACATGCGTCAGTATGAAACATCAAAACGGAACTAATAACCGATTAGGTTTTGTAGTTTATACATTGTAAGCTGGTTTACGGTTGACTTTTATACTTTTTTCGTTCTATTACATTCAAGCAGATTCCAGTTTATTTTAAGCAATGCAGTGAAAAGAAACAAGAAATTTGTAATGAAGCAATTAATTTTTATATTTATCAGTATTAATTTGATATTGAATAAAAATAACTTAATATGGATTAGGTAAATTTATTAATTTTGAAAATGATAAGAGCACCCTCTACAATGTCAATAAAAAACATGGCGGAACGTAAATAAACCGCCTCGCGGAATCAAATTTTTTCTCTTATTTCTTTCTTATCATACTCTACAGTCCACACCCTTGTCTGGCAGGTTCAATTTTGGAGAATAAAACCGCGGACTATACAAGCCTTTATTCGGTAGAACAATTTTGTAGAATTTGGCAAAAGAAACATTGTCATTCAGACCTAAAATATGCCAAAATTTGATTTTTTGGTGAAATTTAACAAAATTTTCAGGATTTCAATCAAACTCAATAATAATATAATAGGCCCAGGAAGAATAGAGCACAGGGTTCGACAAACTAGATATTCAAATAAAGAACACAAATCAGATATGTCATTTGTGACAACAAATATAATGTTACAAGATCATATTTTCTCTCTAGTCATTGTTTTAACTGTGATTCTTGGTGATAGTAGCCTTTAAAAACTAATTTGAACTTTTTTTAATATACAAAGGGGTAAATTGTGGCCTTATAGACAGACCCACTCCTTTACAAAACCGAACATTTCTTTATTTAAGAGTTTTCTAACTTCATACCTTTTTGCTGGTGAGGGTTCTTTTTTTATTGTTTCTTGTTTATCTTCTGGTTCAGACTTCACTAATTTATCCTTCTTAACTGGCTCTGATGGCTTTTCATTTGCTTTTGCTGTAAGATATAGTTGGATTATTTAATACACTGTATATGATTCTAATTGAATATAGTTACAGTAAGCCTGTTTTGAATGTAATATTGCTGACATGCATATTTGTATGAAGATTTAAAAATCTAAAGAATATGAGTTGTATTTCAAGAGATAATAATTTACAAAATCTACTTGGAAATGAATGCAATATTAAACATTTATAACTGTGTTAATTATGAAATAATAATGTTCCTATTTAATCAGGTTTTGGGGTTATTTTGGATTTATAGATCTAAATACTTTTATAATTTAGGGCATCACTGACAAGAAATAATACAAACAAAAATCAAACTTCACATATAAGGTATCAAATTGTTTCTGTAACTTACAACTTTTGAATATTTTTTTTCATAAATATATCATATGCAAGACAATTATAAAGACTAGTGGGTATATATGTATTTTGCAATATACTTCTATGAAAAACAGAGTTAAGCTTGACAAACAGATGCACTTTTTCATAAGATTCAATCACAGTTTTAGAAATAAGAATTATTTTTAATTTAGAATTTTAGTTAAGAGGCCATGTTTAAGTGTATAAGTTGTCAACCATAATTAAAAGGAAAGATCTCAAAATGAGTCAGTTTTTGCAGGTTTTCATTTTTAAATATATGCATGTTTGATTGGTTCAATTGGTTATGTTCTATATAAGACAGACTAATGTCCTATAAAGAACTGAAAATTGACTTACAATGCTTTGTGATTTTTTAATTCAAAGAGCAAAAAGATGACCTACTCAAACCTTCCCTTTTTTTTACAGTAATTTGCCAAATAAATGATTTTCTGCATTTCATCACTAATAAGTTTTCAGTTTCTAGTTTCTATGTACTTTTATATATTTTCTATGTTATAAATACCTGTCTGTTTTGAAAAGAATGCCATAACTCCTCCTTTTTTGTTTGATGATTCCTGTAATAATATCAGACCTTACAATAGCAAATCACAATACTTAGAAACCATAGACATCTAAGAGTAAGAATCTGTTGATCTAGACAAGAATGCCCATCTCTATTTTTTTGACATTAAATAATCAATTATTTTAACTATGCATCAAATTCAACAAAGCTGATCTAACAAAAACACAAGTGTGAAGTAACAACTGTTAGAGAGGTAAAATTTACCTTTGGTGTAACAAGAACTTGTTTTTCAGTTCATAATTCTAATGAAAATTTAGATGAAATTCTTGTTGACTTTAGTCTTGTTTTACTTCATTTTATTTAGAGTTTAATTGTTTGCTTTACCTATAATAAATGCAATTTTTGTACCTTAGCTTTTAAGGTTAAAAAGACACAATATGAATTTGTAAAGGGCAATAACTCTGTATGTAGGGAGTCTAAAGCAATAAAAATGCAAGGACTTGGAGTAAAATTTATCTTAAAATTGTTAAAGAAGCTTTAAACTGGTAAAAGTTAATACTTTTTTTTTTTCTAAAAAAGTGAAAATAATTTCAAAGGATCTGTATCTGACTATAGGAAATGCCTATTCAAGTGATGCTGGGAGTCTTAAATTACAATTTAGAGGTTGGTATTTTTCTCTGTTTTATTTTACCACTAAAGAGGATTGTATAACTGACAAAAAATAATTAGATATTCCAACACTTAAGCTTTCAAAACAGAAAAAACCATTAAGAAGCAAAGAAAAATGTGATTTTCCATATGTTTCTTGTATATGTTTCTTGTAGAGATTTATGCGGTTTTCCAATCATCAATGCCCTAAAGATTCAAAACATTTCCTCTTGTAGTTACAGAGGAGGAGACTTTAGAAAATTGGTCAATCAGAAGCAAAGGTTGTCTCTAGGGGCCATGTTTTGACGTGAACCAGATGTAGATAGTTTGTAGAGGAACCTTCAATATATTTTTCCTGACTGGTTAAGTGGTTTTAAAGATGATAAAATGTTAAATATTTATGGACAACAGGTGTCAAAGGATAGCAATAGCTCACCTTTTAGGCAAAGTGAACTAAAATTTTAAGCTGATTAAGCATGAACTTGTTTTTCTCAGTTATATTTTACCTTTGTATTCTTCTTACTGTCTTTGGAGTGTTCTTCTTTCACCTCTTTTGTGTCTTTCTCTGGTGACTTGGTCTTTTTTGCTTGATTAGCAAACATTCCAGCAATTCCTCCTTTTTTCTGAGGTTTCTCTGCTGGTTTCTGAGAGACGTTACTGTTTTCTCCATTCTGTTTAGGTTTTTGAGAGACATGGCCGTTTTCTCCATTCTGTTTTGAAGTACCATTAACCTGAAATTATGAAAAGCTTTCAAAAACATCTTTGGTCAATAGCACACAACAGTGAAAAATCGACAATATTGAACTTGACCTCAATTTGGTCATCAGTAACAACCTATTAAAAGGAATAGATTCATGAAGGGTCCAGATTGGCCCTTAAATTCTGTGAAATTTAATTTGAGTAATAAAAATAAAGAATATTTCGCAAAATATGTTAAAAATATCTATACAAATTCAACAAGCTCTTACACATTAAAACAATTTTGATGTCATTATGACGTCATAAATGAGCACTCTAATGAAGAAAATCATAATGTTGACTAAATTTTGCCCAATTTCAATAGTTTTAGCTTCAATCTAAATTGGCCACATGCAAGGACCACCATAGTTGTTTGTCATGATATGTATCTGACACATGTACATCTTTTAATAATTTTATTTTGGTATAATGGTGTTGCAAATATTTTCCAAAAGGAAAAAGACTTTGAAAATGCATAAAAACAGACAAATTTGCTAAAAACTTGTAAAATATCATTCTTTTGAAGCTGTCAACATTGTTAAAATGAACAAACAACAACAAAATTGTCTAAATTATCTAAATTTGCATGTTTAAAATCCTAAATATAGGTTTTTACATATGGTAATACTCAGTTTGATTTTAAGGGCCAATTTAAGGCCTAAGTGGCCATACTCCTCTGAAAAGCATTAGTTGAATGGTTCATAAATTATTGCATCGAAACTGTTTGCAGCCTTACTTATAGTTAAGCATCAAAACTTTTATTGTTCAATTACTATGAAAATGAGATCAGGTAGCCTATGTCAACCATTCATGTACCCGATATATTACTTATAGTAATTGGGAGGCACCTTACCAGTTTGATGTTGTAGGTATGCTTCTAGTGTCAAGCGTAAACATGGATCGATTTAGGCTTTGTGTAAGCTTTGAATTAAATAAGTTTCAACAAAAGAAGATTTTCAGGTTATATAATTAAAGTGGCAACTTAATGGAGTTTGTATTGCTAAGTCTTTAGTTTTCTATGTTATGTTTTGTATACTGCTTGTCTGTTGATTGTTTTTCATTTTTTGCCATGGTATTGTCAGTTTATTTTCGACTTACGTGTGAGTTTGAATGTCCTTTTGGTATCTTTCACCTCTTTTTTGCAACTTATGACACATGGCCGAAGAACCATACACCATCATTAATATTCAAACTTTGGACAATTTAACTCTGCTGCCTTCTTTAAATCAATGATTGTTGAAATTCATTCACCTTTATCTCAGGATCAGTGATATTTCTAACATGCAAGACAAAAATTAATAATAAATGGCTAAATGAATTCAGGACAAACTTTTTGTTGTAGAAAGACAGATAGAAGGGTAAAATTTGATATCAGGCATACTAAAATGTGACAGGATAAGCTATTGGACTATATTATTCACTCCTAACATATATTTTCAGACCCCACAATACATTAGAACGTTACCTGTTTTGATGTTGTAGGTTCAGTTCTATACCTTTTCTGTGATTCAACCTCTGCATCTGATCTAAGTTTTGCTTTTGGATATTTTATTGAGCTAAATCTGAAATGAAGATTGAATTTTACCAACAATAATTTTATAAAGTTCAACACAAGGCATATTATAAATCATTACAACATGATAACTATGAAGATTATAAATCATTACAATATGATAATTATGAAGACAAGCATCATATAACTATTTTTATTACTTCTGCAGAATCTAAAACATTTCTCTTAAAAAGCATAAATATTCAGAAAAAATTAGCATGCATTCAGTAAACTTCTTTTAGATTATTTCCCAAACTCTTTTGTATAAGGAATGATAGTAAAACATACTGTGTTATCATTTCATTGCTAAAACACAACTGTTTTCATCGGTTAGAAAATTCTATTTATTTCTAAATGTTCTTATATGTCTGGTATTACTATGTACTTACTTAAATATGTCTGGTATTACTACGTACTTACTTAAATATGTCTATAATTGTTGGTTCTTATATGTCTGGTATTGCTACGTACTTACTTAAATATGTCTGGTATTACTACATACTGACTTAAATATGTCTGGTATTACTACGTACTTACTTAAATATGTCTGATATTACTACATACTTACTTAAATATGTCTATATTTGTTGGTTCTTATGTGTCTGGTATTACTACGTACTTACTTAAATATGTGTGGTATTACTACGTACTTACTTAAATATGTCTGTATTTGTTGTACTATCTGTATGTATAGAGTCATAGTCAGCTAGGTATAATTTGTTATCATCCTAAAACATAAATACCATAAGATCAAATGAATGAATGGTTATTACCTTTCCCAAAGATTGAAAATATCAAGGTTTAATTTTTGAAGCACTGATAAAAACCAGATCATTTTAGCAACAACAAATAAAATGCTCCGCAGGGCGCAGCTTGATACGACCGCAGGGTCGAACCCTGAACAGTTGGGGCAAGTATGGACACAACATTCAAGCTTGATACAGCTCTGAATTTGGATTGTGATTAAATATTTGACACAGCATAGGTTTCTGACACAGAATGAATGTGGTCTAAGAACTTAAAAATTTTAAATTGGACATTCACCTATTATGGTCCAATATCCAAAATCTAAATACATGGTTAGATTCAGCATATCAAAGAACCCCAAGAATTTAATTTTTGATGAAATCAAACAAAGTTTAATTTTGGACCCTTTTGACCTCAATGTGGACAAAGTTGATAACGGGGCCCAAAAATAAAAAATTTAAATACATGGTTAGATTCAGCATATCAAAGAACCCAATATATTCAATTTTTGTTGAAATCAAACAAAATTTAATTTTGGACCCCGATTTGGACCAACTTGAAAACTGGGCCCATAATCAAAAATCTAAATACATGTTTAGATTCAGCATATCAAAGAACCCTAAAAATTCAATTTTTGTTAAAATCAAACTAAGTTTAATTTTGGACCCTTTGGACCTTAATGTAGACCAATTTGAAAACGGAACCAAAAATTAAGAATCTAAAAACATGGTTAGATTCGGCATATCAAAGAACCCCAATAATTCAATTTTTGATGAAATCAAACAAAGTTAAATTTTGGACCCTTTGGACCTCAATGTGGACCAATTTAAAAACGGGGCCCAAAATCCAAAAACTTAATACACGGTTAGATTCAGCATATTAAAGAACCCCAAGAATTCAAGAATAAAACCCCATTGAAATTGATCAAGAAATAAGCAATTTATACGAAGTATCTTCTTTTGCACAATACTGTGCAATTGAATATTTCTTGCTATTGCGCAATACTGTACAATTGACAATTTCTTGCTATTGCGCAATATTGTGCCAATGGATATTTCTTGCTATTGCGCAATACTGTGCAATTGAAGATTTCTTGCTATTGCGCAATACTGTGCAATTGAAGATTTCTTGCTATTGTGCAATACTGTGCAATTGAAAATTTCTTGCTATTGCACAATACTTATTATATAATAATTTACACATCCTGTTTGGCGTTTATCTCCTACCATATCATTATTATTTGCTTTTAAATATAAATCAGAAATAACCAACTTAAAATGGAAAATTTTAAAAGAAAAAAAAAGGAAAAAAAGAAAAAAAAAAAATCCCCCCCCCCAAATTTTTTGAACCCCCTTATGATTCATCACCCCCAAACTCAATCCCAGCCTTCCCTTTGTGGTATGGTACCTTGCAGTACAATTTCAGAAAGATCCATACACTTGAACACAAGTTATTGTCTGGAAACTAGAAAAATGCTTATTTTTGGCCCCCAATTCCTAAACGTTTCGGGCAATTACCCCCAAACTCAATTCCAGCTTTCCCTTTGTGATATGGAACCTTGTAGTACAATTTCAGAAATATCCAAACACTTACACACAGGTTATTGTCATGAAACTAGAAAAATGCTTGTTTTTTTTGCCCCTTTTTTTGCCCCTAATTCCTAAAATTTTGAGGCAATTACCCCCAAAATCAATTACAGCCTTCCTTTTGTGATATGGAACCTTGTGGTACAATGTCAGAGAGATCCATACACTTACACACAAGTTATTGTCTGGAAGTTACAAAAATGCTTATTTTGGCCCCTTTTTGGCCCCTAATTCCTTAACTGTTGGTACCATAACCCCCAAAATCAATCCCAACCTTCCTTTCGTGGTATTGAACCTTATGGTAAAATTTCATGGAGATCCATTCACTTAAACTAAAGTTAGAGTGCGAAAACCAATGTGTCTTCGGACGACGCCGGACGACGACGACGACGACAACGTCATACCAATATACGACCAAAAAATTTTTAATTTTTGCGGTCGTATAAAAATGAAATATACAACAAAACCAGCTGTTCATGGTTTAGTCAATATTATTATTATAGTTAAAAGATTGATTTTTTATTTTAAATGACTGGTTTCAAACTTAATGCAAGACTACATTTCTTTCAAAAGGAAACCATTGTAATTGGTAAATAATCTTAAGTTGTATGCAAAATGTGTAAGTGCTATAGAAATTGGTTCATAAAATTAAATCATTGATTGATGGCTACTCAACTTTCAGCAGCAAGTATTACATGCATATTGACGATGATTAGGTTTAGATATTAATATATTTTCTTTATACAAAACAGACATGCTGTCAGTTTTTATTACCTACTAGCTCACAAGTCTGTAAGAAAATGATCACTCTATACAGACACATTATGATTCCTGAGTCAACAAAGTCTTTGATCTTACTCCTTAATGCAACATCCTTGGCAGAGAAGCAACAAATACCAAAATATAGTCTTCGGTGTTGAACCAGTAGGAGATCAAACCAACAATTTCCCCCACATGATATCCTCTACATTGTTCCCTATAAAGTAACTTTTATCACTTTTACAAACTCATTTGTATCAGTAGGTATCTCCATAGTAAAATTAATATTGACAATGAAACTAGTCTAACTGAAAATTTTGTTTGGATTATACAGGTGTTAAATTATAACTGGTTAAGAATTTTTCTCTGTATGAGTTCAGCTTGAAATGTTTCTAGTTTAATACAGAGTTCACTAAGATTTCTTTTCTTGCATATTTATTGAAAAAAATAACCTTTTCTGCAGATTGGTAATGTATGGTGTTAATTATTTACCTTGACCTTGGATCTACCGACGCTGTAGATATGGGAACTTGTAACCACAGATAATGTTGATTTAAATGCTTCGATGTTTTCCTCAGGAACAACCATACATTTCAATGACTGAAATTAATACTATTTATTAAAGTTGAAGTCTGATACTACTAAAAGGCTATTCATAACATTTTTTTTTTCATTTTTCATTTCATTAAGCAACATGTATACAAAGCTTTCATGGCTTTATTAATATAAAGAGTATAGGTTATATAAAACTCTTTATGAAAAAAATCATGCTCCATACTACTCTCATGTTTCAAATGATGAATTTTGAACTTGAGTTAGTTCCCTTGGCATCTTTTTTGGTGGGATCTTATTTGACTAACCAAATTGAAACATGCGATTCACATTAGTTTAATAAGAGATCCTTACTAGATCGTAGTGATGAATTAAGCAAGACTAAAAGAAATAAAAATTGTTCATAAAAACACTTTTTTTAAAGTCTAGCTGTCTGTATGACAAATTTCATTTGCCTGGTTTAAGAAGGAATTTGTGCACTAAGACCTCCAACATGGCAACAAAAGGAATGTACTCTTGCAAAAATTGTCTCAACTAAAACCTATCAATTGTAACATATTAATTAGCATATTTTTATACTATGAATGATTCAGCAGGAGTGACAAGTATTCCTGTGCACTTAAATCCAAAGGGTTCATCTGACTGTACTTTTGTGAATTATATTCTTTGTGTTTTGTCCACAGCCTTACCTATCCTTAGTCAATTATATTTCTTTAATTTAAATTTTGGTTTAATGAACTAACTTTCCAATAGCTTACATAGTAAAATGTGAAACCACATTAATATTCAAGTTCAGAGCATATAAATCTTTCAAGAACTACTAATATTTATTACATCTATAGATTAATTTATTATAAGGCTAACTTAAGCATTAACTTTCAATGTCTACCCATACTAACATAGCAAATAAGATATATTATCAACAAGAAGAAATTTTTCCTTATTAAATCAAACTATTAAATTGAATAGCAACATCATGAAATGTAAAAACTTTAAACATTAACTGACATAAAGAAATTTTAAGATACTTCTTTCTTTGCAGCAGCCATATTGTTTATGTTTATAATAGCTGTGAATATGGTCCCACTACAGCTTAGCATCATACATACTGATGTTAAATCCACAGAATGGAAAAACTCAGAAAGTATGAAATATTGAAAATTCACCTACCTTAACTCCAACAACAGGATGTGACAAGCCAGCAACAAAATATGTCACAAACAAATGATCATTGTCTTTATTGTTTCTTTGATGTTGAACAAAAGAATATAACATCCTGTGTAAAGCAAACATAAGATTTGTTAAGTTAATAAACCAAGGCTTGTCTCACTTTATTTAATACAACAATTACAAACATTTCTGTCATTTATTATGGATATGTGAGGTTTTCAAAATGTGTAAAACTACATTTGCTTTGAACAAATTGTGGCATATTTCAACCTCAAAGTTTAAATTGATTTCAAATTTCATTTTACAATTTAATGTACAATAGAAGCTTGTAATCAAATAACTTTCCATCCTTAATAGTATGTTTTTCTTTTCTGCATGTTTACTAAGGCAGGGTTTGAATCGACCATTGACAATGGAAATTAAAATGGAACCCAACATCACATATTCCAACATCCTTATGTAATTCATATCAACCGTTACTCTACCAGATTAAGGATTTGATTCTTGATTCTTGGTGTTTTAACGCTGCTTTTAAGCACCGCTTTTGGGCTATTTCGTGGCGGCCAGTTTTTATTGGTGGAGGAAGCCGGAGTGCACAGAGAAAACCACGACCTTCGATAGGAAAACTGACATTCCTAGTCAATTAAGATTGAAGTCGAGTGCACCCGCACGAGTGGGTTCGAACTCACAACCTCAGTGTTGACTGGCTAGTGATTACAGTAGTAACTACTTAGACCACTTGGCCACCGAGGCCCCACCAGATTAAGGAATGTAAATACTTCATTCCTGAGGGTATTTTAATATATATTCTGGAAAATCACTGGGAAAATCAACATTGAAGGAAGCAATAATATAAATTTATCCAGTCAGTTCCAGTGATTTTCCAGAATATATATTAAAATACCCTCAGGAATGAAGTATTTACATTCCTTAATCTGGTGGAGTAACGGTTGATATGAATTACATAAAGATGTTGGAATATGAGGATGTTGGGTTCCATTTTAATTTCCAATCAATTCTTTACGAGTAAATTAGTTGATGTAATAAAGTTTGTTTGACTACTTATGTTGTATGACCTTTCGCTAAGCTTGCCAGCAGAGAAGTGTATACTTTTGTCATCAACTACATTCAATGTGTATTTCCTTTTTTGTAAACTACTCATCAATTTGAACACTTACTGTTTTGCTTTATTCACATGAACTTTTAAACCTAAACTTAACTTTTTGAATGTGACCTGAAAAAAAAAAGAAGAAAAATCATCAGTCAATAAGTCATTTGTATGTAATAAATTCTTATATTGTATTATACTTCAGATTATGTTCAACAAAATCTGGCAAGAATTGTGCATGTGAGACATACCTGTCAAATGAGCCGTATTTTGCAGGTGTGACCTGTGAATTTACCAGCTCACCAGAGATTTTTCAATACCCGTCCGGGTCACAAAATAACCCGGGATTTCATGATATGACCCATTTTCACCCTGTATTCTAGTGCCATGAGACTTCTATTGTCTAAAATGCTATGTTTTCCTCAGATAAACAGCAAATTCAAAATTGGACAGGAAGTTCGATAATTTGCCATCAATTGAATGATTTACAGCTATCAAAACATAATTTTGACACCATTTTGATTGAATGGTAATATCAATTTTGCTAGTAATCTTGTTAATTATACTCCAGAAAGGGTGAACCCAGTCAAGCTTCACATACAATTTCATGTCCTGATTTATAAAATTTGCCTTGCAAGTATCAACTATTTTATTATAAAACAAGAGGCTCTCAAGAGCCTGAATCGCTCACCTGTAATTTTTTGCTTAAATCTTTCATCAATGATTATTTTTGCTCTTCAATTTATATTTATGAATGGCTTAAAACTTCCATTGAAATGTTCTTTGTATCTGTCATATTTTCTTCAGAATCAAAGAAATGCATTTTACCCCTATGTTTCATTTTAGTCATAGTGGCTATGTTTCTTGACGTACAAGAAAATAAAATACAAAATTTATACTAGATACTCTGAAACTCATTCAGCCCAAGTTTGGCTGAAATTGATTCAGCAGTTTCAAAGGAGAAGATCTTTTAAAGTAAGCAAACTAAATTAACAAATTGTGAAAAATTGATTTTAAAGGGCAATAACTCCTTAAGGGGACAATTGACAGTTTTGGTCATCGAACTTATTTGTAGATCCTACTTTGCTGAACATTTTTGCTGTTTACAGTTTATCTTTATCATTAATAATATTCAAGATAACCAAAATCTGCAAAATTTCCTTAAAATTACCAATTAAGTGGCAGCAATCCAACAATGGGTTGTTAGATTCATCTGAAAATTTCAGGGCTGACAGAGCTTGGCCTAATAAACATTTTTACCTCTCATCAGATTAGCTCTAAATGCTTTGGTTTTTGAGATATAAAGCCAAAAACTGCATTTTACCCCTATGTTCTATTTTTAGCCATGGCAGCCATGTTATTTGACGAAACAGTAAATAAAACACAAACTTTATTCCAGATACCCTAAACATCATTCAGCTTAAGTTTGGTTGGAATTGGTTCAGTAGTTTCAGAGGAGAAGATGTTCGAAATAGTTTACACCAGACGCACGACAACGACAGACGAAGACGGACGCCAAGTGATGGCAAAAGCTCACAGTTCCTTTGGAACGGTGAGCTAAAAAAGTGTGAATAAAATAAGGGCATTGCTTTATATTTATATTTGATTTATAATAAATATTTAAAGTGGCATTAGCTGTCAAATTCATGTTCACCGATTTGACTCGGGGCCTTATATAGCGGACTATGCAGTATGGGCTTTGCTCATTGTTGAAGGCCGTACTGTGACCAATAGTTGTTAATTTAGTTGTCATTTGGTCTCTTGTGGAGAGTTGTCTCATTGGCAATCATACCACATCTTCTTATTTCTATATTTCCTAATATCTAATACTGGTATCTTTTTAGTAATATGTATTGCCAGATATACGTTGAAAGCCTACAACATACTTTAATGGTCATAGAATACTGAATTTCTGAGGTCTCTGATTGCTTTTCACCTCAGTGTCAGATATACAATATGCCAGGTCATTGTATTAAAAAAGAATTGATATATGAAACAGAATATTTATTAATCAAGTGGCCAGAATCAAATAACTATGACATCATGATCAGAATATTGTAAAACTGTTGCAGATTGTTGAAAATCTGGCTGGAAAGTGTTCACAGAATCTATTCTATCACAAACGGTGAGAACTTCATCTGTTAATGTCAATCTGAAATTTCCCCTGCTAATGTCCTTCCAAGTATCTGTTATGGGTAAAGAATATAATTTGTTGTTCACTTCTTTTTTTTAACCGGTGTCTGAATATCGTATTATGACAGATGACAACAAGGTAATCTTGCCATCCGTCTTGAAATGGATTTAAGGAACACAACTGAGGACTTCGAGAAATACTTTTCATGAGGACAGATGTCGGACAATCTCCAATTTTTTTCCAGAATTTTTTTTTTCTATAAATGCTGATGAATTTTTTTGACTCAGCGGCTTATTTTAGACACAGCAGGGGCAAGGGAAAACAAACTTAAATTTTAATTTTGGCCTGAAGGATCTTGGGAAATCAAGGAAACCATCTTCACTCACTCACTCTGAAATTAAAGTTGATCATTGCACACCTCAAATGGAATCGTAAATTATTTTATCATTACTTTTGCATAATTATGGAATTATTTTGCATTATCAAGCACAAAAAAGGTAAGACTTTGTATATATGCAAAACTTTCTAGCCAACAATGAAGATTTCATGGCAAAATAAGGGCCCAAAATTCACTCTCAAAGTCCAGACGAAAAAAATGGCTTCAGGGTTATGACGTCATAGGAAAGCGTCACAGAAAAGAATTAAAATAGCCTTTCATTATTCAAGACGTCATAATTATTTGGACTACTGAAAATCATCCATCCAGGACCTGCGTACACGCCTTAATGAAAACCCTGATATTTGCTGGTATTGGGTCCATTAGCTCCAAAAACACATTAGCACCCTACATGTTCTAACCCCACACATTCGCCCCCAGGGTCCTTTACCCTATTTTTATTCAACATCATAAATAAAATTAGTGAATTTTTTAAATGAAATTTTTTTTTAGTGATTAGATGATTAATTATTAATTGTGATTTATTTTAGATTACTATTACTTAGTATTTACAACAGTGTACAAAGCTAATTTGGTATTATCGTAATGTGTTTGGTGTAAAGTAAAATACAAGTAGTTAGCTTTGTAACAGTGGTTTGATTCCGCCAGTGTACTTTATCCGGAGGAAGAAAATCCCCAGTGATTTTTATCCACCAACAAATATTCACTAGGTTTTTCTATCCGGGTCCAGTGTAAAACATCCACCAGTCATTATAAGGTTCTAAAAAGGGTTTTTTGAAGGGGAAATATATATAAAATGTGGCTTAATAGTTTTTAGTGTATTTGAAAATTGCATAGTCGATTTATGTAAAAAGTGGAGAGTTTTCATCCGAGGAATGTTCACGCTAGTGTTTTTTAAACCAGGAATGATTACACTAGTGATTTTGTTCCGGAATGATTGCACTAGTTATTTTATACCGGGATTAATTACACTAGTGCTTTAGATCCATACATTGATGAAGTGATTAGTACTCATTTTTGAACACACGATAACACAATAATGCTTATTAACGAATATTAGATTAATTAATTTTTCTATGCAAATTTATAAAATCATATGCTTTCAAATTGTCACTAATTGTAATATTTATATGTATTGGATTGCCGAAGTATTTCTGTGTATTTGCTTTTCGGTTGACTTGGATATAAATTCATATCTTCTATGTCAATATCAAAGGATGCTTCTATAATTGAAACTTTATGTAAGAACAAATCTGCTCTTTAAATTTGGTTTATATCAAGTTCAATGTCTTGATCATTAATAAAGTATTTTGAGTAATAAAAATATCGTCCTCATCATCATCAATATTATTTAGATCTACTAGATTGACTCAGATTAATTAAACTGGTTCCTTGAAAATCATTGTAAACAATAAACCGGTCTAATATAAACAAAACAACGATATCAAGATCGACGCTTTCACACTATTTACATCCAATATTCTCTAGTGAAAAACAGTTGGTTACCCGGAATAAATACACGGCGGAATGAAAGTACGCTTACATATACAACTACAGAACTCAAATTTTACCTAGTTGATGTTAAATATCATTCGGTGCTAATTAAGACAGTTTTTATACAAACACATACTATTTGATTTTCATCATTGACCCACTCGTCTAAGTTTTCCAGATACATTTCGTCGATAGTGCCCATTTTGCTGAATATTTACTTTCGTTTTCCCGCAAAATCAGAGTCAGATAACTGCTTGGGTTTAATGACAATAAGCTCGTAGTAAAAAGTGGTCGTGCAACTTTGATGCAAACGATGTAAACAAATATGGAAGACACCAACTTTTTAATTTCAATTTGAGTTATAATTATACGCATTTTTACTCCATATGGCAAGTGATGATGCTGTTAGGGCAACAAATGATGATGCTGCCCAATGTAAACGATTTGCAGTGGAGAAAGGATACTGGAAAGACCCTTTCATCACTCTACTGACTCAAAGAAGTCAAAATAAGCATGCACCAGAAATAAGCCGTGGTTACTATGCCCGTGTAATAGCGATGAGGACACTTCTTCAAAAATTTATCAAAGTATGCACCTTTTACATGCACAGAGATCCTTTGGAACCGCACCCTTTGCCATTAGCATGAAATTTATTGAAATCTTCAATCTTGAAATTGAAATGTCCCCTTCTGATCTTCTAAAGGGGTCCAAATGATGCAATAAATTATTAATTTGAGCATAATAATGTAACAATAAGCATCAAGACCCAGCAGAACCAATTGGGGACACGGTAGGTCTTTTCACCACCGAGCACCACCGCACACTGCCGAACACCACCGAACACCACCGAACACATTAAAATACCATCTAACACACCTAAATATCATACCTGTTAACTGACCCGGATCCTGCGGGTGTAACCCGAGATTTTCACAATTCTGAGGGGTCACCCGGAATACCCGCCGTGTGACCAAATAACCCGGAAATTCGGAAAATAATCCGTTTTCACCCGGATTCCTTAGCCTTCAGACTGATTAGATATAAAGTGATTTCAATGAAATACCGGCAAATTCGTAATTCTTCCTGGACAAGAAGTTCAACTAGCTGTGTAAACTCAGCTCAATTGACCCATTTTAGTGCATGGCTTCACTTGACAGCTTTGGTGTCAAACACCAAAAAGAACAGTCTTGCAGGGCTGTTGTCAGAACAGTACACTTTCAAATCTTAACATTTTTTTAAATATATATGTATCACTCAGAAACGTGTCCATCCCCCCAAACATGTCGGATTCCCCCAAACGTGTCCATATAACGTCACTGAACCGCAAAACATGTCTAGGTGCTAAAGGGCACCAAAACGTGTCCTTTTTAAGAACGCCCTATCGTGTCCATTTTTTTAAGAACGCCCAAACATGTCCATATAAAACCTAAACGTCTCCTTTATATGAACGCTCAATCTTGTTCATATTTTTAAATGCCCATTTAGTTATTATAAGTTAATTGTTTGCCTTCAAATAGCAATAACATGTCCACCAATATTAAATATATAATGTTCTTCAATAACAAATTTGGTTATTGCTCTTTCAATGACGTATACTCCTTTTACTCTTTCATCTATTGTCCTATCCCCAAGTAAGACTAGAGAATAGAAATATGGTCACTTAGGTCTTCTTCCGACCGACAGTAAAACCTTTGCCAAAGTGGGGCGTCCGTTCGGCTGTGCGGGATGTAAAGTACGCAGCCACGTCCAGTCAGAATGGGGATGTTAAATCCGAAGCCTTGTGTAGGGAGAGATAGATCTACATATTGTATTTATTGTAAATATGTTATCATCTTGAATATGCATGAAATATTTGCCACTGGACATTAAGCAACAAACAACCAATCAATTTATTGACTTAAATATGCATGAAATAATTGCCACAAAACGTTAAGCAATCAGTTGATCCATTATTTGTGTCAGTCGATTATTACCTCTTTCACAATTGATTTAACGTAATGTGACAGTTAAAAAGATGATGCACATTTTCTATCAGCTCTTCAAAGTATGTACTGGTATTAAGTTTTAAGTTTTAAAATATTTTTGGTTTGAGTATCACTAAAGAGACATGAACAAGAGAAATAAATTTGCATGTATCATTAGCATCCCTGATACCAACCTTATAATTCATAATCGTTAAGTAACTGAAGACATAATAGCGCTAAAAGTTTTGAGACGTTGAGGCGATTTAAAGTGGACACGTTTTGGCGAATAACAAATATCGGACACGTTTGGGGGGTTAGAAATCGGACACGTTTGGGCGATTTGGGATTTTGAGGACACGTTTGGGCGGAATAGACACGTTTGGGGGAATCGGAAATGTTTGGGGGGATGGACACGTTTGGGAGTGTTACATAATTATTGTGATAATTTCACATTAAATAATATGTTTTAACTTATTTGAACAATTTATTTCTAATAATTGAAAAGTAAAGACCATAAGATAATATACAATGAAATACAGACAATGTAAATCCGGAAAAAAATATTGCTGGATCCGGAAGCGTTTTTTTTTTGTTTGATTCTCAACTTTAACATCACTAATGCACATAAAAATGTGAAAAACATGAGAATAGGATTAAATTTTACGTAATTTAATCGATTTTATTGTTTTATTGTGTAACATTACTGTTTTTCTTAAGGGTTAGTGGTCTTTTTGGGTGTTCGGTGGTGAAAAGACCGACCCATTGGGGACATCTTCGTATGGGTTAACTGTTGTGTAGGTAAGCAAAACATGTCTCCATTGACCATTAATTTTGTCAATGCATTAAGACTTAAAAAAATTTAAGATCTCTTCCACTCTGATCATGCCACCAAAAAAATTAAGAAAAGTTTCAAAGGGGCAACAAAATCTGTCTTTTGGATCACCTCATTCACCTGCAATTTCCGAGGATACTGGAAATGTTGGGGAACCAGATAAAATGAGTCTTAAAGACCTGGTATGAACATAACTATGTCCAGGGCCTCGGGCGTGACTAGAAACTTCCAAACCAGATGGTAACAGTTATATCCATGGTTATGTTAGTCCAAATAATTATGGTGTCTTGAAAGGCTATTTCAAGACGTTTTAATTATTTGGACTAGGTTAACGTTAAAATCAAGATTTAAACCAACATCAATAAAGTCCGTCATAATTTACTCACATTCATACACAATCTTGATTACTATGGGATACATCATACAGCATTTTACAGGATAAAATATATTCATGGATTCAGTCTTATGTCTTTATGAGTTTGAGTAAATCTGTTTTTGTTGGATGTTTGAGAAAATTATATTTACATATATATGCATGGATTTTGAGTTTTTTCAAGGTTTTTTTCGAATGCTCTACTATTATATATATGTGTTTAATTGTTGAGTCAATTGCTGTCATTGATCCAGGTCTATATTCTCTGTAGTTTAAAGATATAAACCTGGCTGCTGTTTTAGATTGATTGCTACAGGATTCAAAGTTTCTTATCACATCCTATCAAAGCAGTTATCCTTGAGACTTAGTGCTATGTCCCTGTTTGGAGTGTCTCAATGTTCTGTTCTGGGCTTAAGTTTCTTTTTGTTTTCTATAAATACCATACCAGTTGGCATAAATTTAGTATGTGCCTATTTGGGGATGATACCACTGCATACCTGTTAATTAAATATATCAGTGGTTGCAAATCCCTTCAAAATGATCTTGATGAACTAGATATTTGGGAAAACACATTAAAAATGTTTTTTTAATCCTAAAGAGTAACTTTCTGTCCAATATCCAAAATAAAGACCAGTTCATATACAATTATGATTTACATGGCCACATACTTGACATGTTTACAAGACATAATAGCTAAAAGATACAATACAATTCAATCCCACATAAAATGGCATAGTCACATCTGATGATCATCAACATACATCTATCTATATGCAATAAGGCTAACAGTCCTTACTCCCAAGGAATCTTAACATCATTTTCACCTAAGTAAAGGAACAGATAAACAATTCAAAAGAGAAAAATCAATGGTCTGACAGCAACCAATAACAACCACTGGATAGCAGGTTCTTGATGTGTAACAGGCACATCAAAACTGCGTCAGATTTAATATGTTTGTGAGGGATCAACACCCACATTGGACTGTGGTGTAACAATTCAACATAAGAATAAAAAAACAAATAATCAGATGGAAATAGCCTGACTCATCAGATATTAAGACACAAGGAACATGTTTATACCCACTACATTCTTTATGTGCATGTCCTAAGCCAGGAACTTGTAGTCTAGTGATTGCTGGTGGTTGTCATCTGTCATAATTTGTTTAATTGTTTTAAGTTTTATGGTAATAATTTAAATCAAGCATTTACAATGTTGATTTTTCAATTGCATCGTTTCACATTGTGTTATCTGGATTTTTTTTAATAGCTTTCCATAGGAATGGATTTTGCACACTGTTGAAGGCTGCATGGTGACTTGTAGCTGTTTTCATTCTTGTCATTTGGTCTTTTGGTGTCATTGGCAATTTGTGTATATTACATTTACCACATCTCATTGTTTTTATATTAGAAGCAAGTTGTCAGATATCATTCAGACATCAAGTAGTTTCTTTAAATTTTTGTCTGTCCTTTTTTAAGAAATATATGAAAATAAGTTAAAAGACTTTCAAGGCTACTGCAGCGTTAAAAATCCCTAAATTGTATTTAACTCATTTATAGTATTCTTTTCTGGAAATAAGAAGAATATGATACATTAAACTTAAAATATTTTTTTTTCTGTCCATATCTTATAATTTCTTAGGCCACAAAAGGTTTCTGTAGTAAGGGTTATCTTAGGATTTTTTCACTATCAACTTTCACCAACATAACAGTGACTTCTTGTAACCTCTATAAAAATAAGGAGATGTGGTATAACTTATTTTAACTAAATAAGCAATATATACCTGATGTTCAGTGGTTGTCGTTTGTTGATGTGGTTCATAAGTGTTTCTCGTTTCTGGCTTTTCATATAGATTAGACCATTGTTTTTCCTGTTTGAATGGTTTTACACTAGTCATTTTTGGGGCCCTTTATAGCTTGCTGTTCGGTGTGTGCCAAGGCTCTGTGTTGAAGGCCGTACTATGACCTATAATGGTTAACTTTTACAAATTGTGACTTGGATGGAGAGTTGTCTCATTGGCACTCATACCACATCTTCTTATATCTAATTAAATACATAAATGTAAAGCTCTCTCATTGTTTATCTCAGATAAAGATCCAACTTGTTAAGACTCCTTACATTAAGGGACAGTCACTTACCTTTTATATATTCATGTTTTGTTCTGTTACATTTTGTGGTTTTGTTAATATGCCAACATTTCACTTGTTTATTTTATATTCTTCAGATGACAGATGGTAATTGCCAGGTTGTGAACTTGGGAGCAGGATTTGACACTACATACTGGTTGTTTAAATCAAATGGAATCAAAGCAAAGTCATTTGTTGAGATGGATTTTCCTACTGTTACATCAAAAAAATGTTTTTTCATCAGAAAAGGAGAACCCTTGCTGAATGCAATAGCTTCAGAGGGTATATTTTAATATATATATTATATACAGCTGTTATAAGATTTAGAAAAAGTATTATATAAGATGGAAACCAAGTCATGGCAATATCTCTAAAAATATATATGCATAAACCAATTCATGGCAATATCTCTAAAAATATATGTGCATATCCTCTGATAGGAACATGTTATGTTATACATGTTCCTATCAGAGGATATGCACATATATTTTTAGAGATATTGCCATGACTTGGTTTCCATCTTAAATAATAATTTTTTTAATTTTTTTCTTCTGGAAACTCTGAAGACAATTTAAACCAAATTTGGTCATAAATAAATTTTGTATTGATAAGCTCGAATTTATCTGAACCAACATCATATATTTACTAAGTATAAATTAATGCATATAAAAGTAAACAGGAATCACCAAAAATAACTATAAAAAATAAAAATAAATTTGCCTGATGACAAATACTGCTTTCAGATCCATATTTATGAAAATCTTGTCGGTGAATTGCTTATTTGTATTAATTGCTTGCTTATCGCCCAATTGTAACCCTAGGCAAGGTGAAAAATGATGATATTTAGAAATCTTATGTGTCTTTATTCTAATGAGTAGTGAGATTTGACAGGTTATTATGGGATATGAACATTGAAAAATTCAGGTGACTTGCAAAATAATGTATTATCAAAATTAATTTCCAAGCAATTATGATGAAACATACCAGTAGATAAATATTGTAATGTTGACTTTTTGCCTCGATACAGTCCATGGCCATACCAGTCTAAAGACAGCAGTTAGATCTTAACTGCAATCAACTCAAAGTAATCAGAAATTTCACAGTGGTTCTTTTATAGATAGAATGTTTAAAAGAATTAGTGGCATTTATTTATTCCCCTTACATGCACAACAATGCCCCTTTTAAATTTAAGATTATTCAATGCAACCTTGGTATCTTCTTATTGTATTAATCGGTCATATTTGTATTTTTTTTCAGAAGAAGATATTCAGATAAGCAAGTCTGAAATTCATGGACAAGATTACCATTTAGTATCAGCAAATCTACGAGATATTAAAGAAGTTGAAACTAAATTACATGACTGTCATGTGGATAAATCTTTACCTACAGTATTTATAGCAGAATGTGTACTTGTCTATATTGATAGTGATAAAACTAAAGTTTTGTTAAAATGGATTACAGATAATTTTACATCAGCATTATTTCTTAATTATGAACAGGTAAACCAAGTTATAAGCTAAATTGACTGTATTTTGTTAGAATTCTAGCAGTCCTTTTCATGTATTGTTTGATTTATGTAAGGACTGAAGATCCATGTGAACAATTTCCATCACTTGGTGTCTGTTGTCAGGAGTGGACCCAGGGTCTGATGAAAGGGGGCGTAATTGTCCAAAATTGTGAGAGGGAACAAATTTGACAATTTTTCAGCCAAAACAATTAACATGATATTTTTTACCCCCCTCCCCCATGTGTCTTGGTTAACACTATTAAAAAGTCTTCTTTTTTTTCTGTCAGTTATTTTGTAAATTGTTATTGATAGAGTGAAATTGTAAACAGCAAAATTAATATAAACAAAAAAAGATCATCAAGTCGATCATCATGACAAACATTGTCAATCAAATCGTTATAGGAATTATTGCCCTCAGATAACAATATTTACAATACCCATGCTTTGTGGTGTTTTTTGGCAATTACATGTATTTTGAGAACTATATGTGGTTTCCTTGTAATAATCTTTGAACAGTCCCACCAATGCTTTTCAAATTTTAATATGTTGTAACTGATGACAAGATGGAGGCCAATTTCAAATTGATGATTTTCACTTTACCTTTCAGGATTTATGGTCCTTGACAGATTAAAATAGGCATAGATTGTGGCTGTTCAAACAAGCCTGGAGGTGCCTTCAAAATATACAAAATATTAATTTGACAGCTCATTTCTTGTTGTTTTTATTGGAATTTTCTTTACTAAGCTATAATGGAAATAGAGAAACTGTAAAAGCAAAAATAATAAGCAAGACAAGATCTACATAAAAAATAATTGATTGAAATCATTAAAGGACTCCTTTTTGGGGTAACATGTCTTTACATGGACTTAGAAGCAAATGCTTTATCTGGAGTACATGTATATACTCCTTAAATCACTTGAACATATGTACAGAAATATTCTCCGATTGGATTTGGATCAATTCTTGTCACAATCTTGCTAAATGTGTGAGAATTGACTGCCACTGTTGCTAATGATAATATTTTTGCCAGGTGAGTGATTCAGGCTCCTCAAAGCTTCTAGTTTAATTTTATTACTACAGTTGGGTTGTTGGTTTATTTTGATTATTTTAGGTACCAGGTAACATATTTGTCTGCTGATTATAAAAAAGTAGTAAACTTTCATTCCAATCCTTTTGTATAGCAAAAATATTTGTATGTAATATCAATGAATGAAACTGAAGATTTTAATAAAGGTAATTGAAAGTTTGATAAGTTGATAATGAGTTGCCTAAAAATAAAAGTCACAGCTTTGCAATATGCTGCTTTCAAATTGTTTCTTCACTGCATTAAATATGTTAAATTAGCCTATTTGAAGTTGATTAGTGGTCAGCATGGCTAGCCTATATTCTTGTACTAAAAGGTTTTGACAAGAAAGGTTGCATTCTGACAACAGAAAAGTGACGAAAAAAATTTGTACAAAAGCTTCATTTGAAATACTTACGAATAGGTAGATACAAGATTTGATAAACCATAGAAAATATATTTTTACCTTTTGCCTATGCCCTTTATGAATATAATAATCTTTGGTTTATAAATCTGTAAATCAAGATCTTTAGAATTCATTAATTTATAATACATGTAGCTGTTAATGATGGATGTGATAGAGCAGTGTATTTAAACCATGATTTTTCAAGAGTAGACCTATATTAAGTATATTTCTGTTTTTGTCACTGAATGTCTGGGCTTTATATGGAGACATATATTTGTTTATGATACAAGACAATGAATTACCTATGGGGTCTATATTTTTATTTTTAAAGGCAAAGACCTGAAAATAACAATGTCATTGCATGTTGAGGAAATTATGAAATAATAAAATTTTTTAGGTTAATATGCAAGACAAATTTGGAGAAGTTATGATAGAGAATTTAAAGCAAAGAGATTGTTTCTTACCAGGAGCTTCAGCATGTGCTAGCCTTCAATCTCAGAAAATAAGGTATTTCTGAAGTTAATTTTTATAATAAAACTTGTATATTGTATAATCAACAAAGGGGGAATAAAAGTCTTCTGTTGTGTAGTGTATTGTGTTTGTGGACTGTTGTCTCATTGACATATACTCTTCATCTCCTTTAATTCTTTTTTTATTTTCTTACAACAACCACCATATCCAATTGAGTGACATTTTTATGCCCAAGCCGTAGGGGACATTAAGTGTTACCCTTATCCCGTCCGTCTCCTCTGTCCGTCCGTACGTCCCGAAAATTGGTTTCCGTTCTTTAACTTTAGTTTGCCTCAACCAAATGTTATGAAACTTATACACAATGCTTATTACCACAAAACACAGATCAAGGTTGAAATTGGGTGGCATCACTTTTACCGTTCTTGAGTTATGCCCTTTATAAATGGAAAAATTGCAAAATCAGTCGTTTCTGTTCTCTAACTTTAGTTTGCCTCAACCAAATGTAATGAAACTTATACACAATGCTTATAATTACTAAACGGTCTGAACTACATGAATCCTGCATCTGTATGTGGAAGTTGACTCATGCATATTTACAAGCGGGGGCATCTGTGGCCCATAGACACATTCTCCATTTATTTTAGTCATTTTGTTTTGGTAGTCCAACTTCTTTTGGTCCTCATCTTATTTGCAGGTATTCAAAATAAATTCAAAAGTATCATTTATCAACACCTTAAGAAGCACAATCATCCTATTAAATATTTAGCAGTTCAACCTTTAGAAGTAGTAAATAAGCAGCCTGGTGATTCTCATTCAAAGTTTGTACGATCGCGGAAAATAATTGAATTAAATTGGATTAAAAAATTACAGACAGTCTACCCTCTCGGTCTTAATGATAATATCATGGGAATTGGTAATATATCAAGAACCGATTCTGTTAACATTTTGGATATAGTTTCTAAAACTGTTCGTAAAAACCGTTCTCATGGTCGTAGAAAAAATCGCAATCAAAGAAAATTTCGGACCAATCATACCAATATTTCGGACCTAATTTCTATTTCAAAAAACAACGGCAGACATTATCTGTTAACAAAGCTCTGTTCATTACCGGTTAATAAGTTAAATAAAATTTTAGAGGATTGCAACACAATTTCATATAGCAGTCCTAAGTATGAAATCGTTCAAATTATAATGGCATATTGTTATTCTAAACTGTTTCCCAAAATTGATCGCCCTGAAGATCATAAAAAACAGTTTATTAAAATAAAGTATGTCAATAAAGGTTTTGATTTTGTAAATATTGCCGGTATTTTTAACGACCATTCTGTTAAAGAACAAATTCCGGGATATTTTGATAATACTGAGCTCCCTCTTATTTGTTATATTTACAAGAAATCTACCCGGAAATTTGTGTTTAATTATAGCCAATTATGTAAAGATGTTAATATCAGTGAAAATACACCTACTTCATGTAATTGCAGTAATTCCGAATACATTTATGGACCCATTTCCCATGTTATAACAGGAGATCTTAACATCGTTCAAGACCGAGAGTTAAAATCATTCCTCAGTAAAGGACCTAAATATCGTCCCCCGTCAATTATTAATTTGAATGAGTGTCGTAATATCATCCACGACTCACTCCATACTTACTGTTTAAAATGGATAAAACGGGAAAAAGCTGACAAAAAATCTTTGGACTCTTTTTTTAAATCAGTAATGAACATAGTTGATATACGTATTCAACATTTTAAAGAACATTTTACTCTTAACAATAACCACAATAAACCTATTTCTCGTATCAAACATAAACTAAAAGAACTAGCCAAGGAATTTGTTTTTGTCCCGGCCGATAAAGCTGCTAATAATATTATTATTGTTTGACGTAAATTTTACATTGAGGTTCTGAAAAAAGAAAGCACCAATTCACCAACATTCCAACTGACTCCATTTTCAGAAAACGACATCTGTAACAAACATAAACTTTTAGCTACCGCTTTACAAGCAGAACCAAATACAATGAAAGTCCCAACTATGTATTGGCTTCCGAAGCTACACAAAACACCTTACAAATATAGATTCATTTCGTCTTCAAGCCATTGTTCCACTACTAAATTGTCTATTCTTCTTACCAGTACACTTGGTACAATCAAAAACCTGATAATAAATTGTTCAAATAAGGCCTTCGAAAATAGTGGAATTAATTACTTTTGGAGTGTCAAGAACTCGTTGGAAGTACTTGATAAATTGCATGCATATATTGGTGATTTTGAATCTGTTCAAAGTTTTGATTTTTCTACCCTATATACCACATTGCCTCATATTCTCATTAAGAAAAAATTCACACACCTAATTAAATGGGCATTTAAAAAGTCAGAATGTGAATATATATGTTCAAACTCTTTTAGGTCATTTTTTAGTAGCAATAAACAAAAAAACTATGTCAATTGGACATGCTTTGATACTATATATGCCCTTGAATTTTTACTAGATAACATTTTTGTTCGCTTTGGAGATTCCGTATATCGTCAGGTTATCGGAATTCCAATGGGGACTAACTGTGCACCACTTATTGCGGACCTTTTTTTGTATTGCTATGAGTTACAATTTATGACAAAAATCAGCAAAGACCCATCGAAACAACATCTGATACACAAATTTAATAATACTTTTAGATATTTGGATGATATTTTGGCTCTCAATAATGACGACTTCAGTATGTATACTAAAGAAATTTATCCTGTTGAACTTACTTTAAATAAAGCTAATACTAACAATGACCACTGCCCTTTCCTCGATCTTGATATCTATATCATTAACGGAAAGCTTAATACTAAAATATATGATAAAAGAGATGATTTTTCATTTCCTATCGTTAATTATCCATTTTTAGATGGTGACGTTCCCTTGTCACCATCTTACGGTGTTTATATATCTCAACTTGTACGATTCGCTCGTGTATGTAACAATGTTTTAGATTTTAACGAGAGAAATTTATGTATTACTGAAAAATTATTACACCAGGGTTTTCGATATCACAAACTAGTCAAAACATTTACTAAATTTTATCATCGGTATAAGGACATCATTCGTAAATATAGCTCAACATGCAGACTTCTTATACGTTCAGGTATTTCACATCCAATTTTTTATTGTCGAGCCTGCGACTTTTGTCGCAGAAAGCTCGACATAGGGATAGCGATCCGGCGGCGGCGGCGGCGGCGGCAATAGCTAACTTCTTAAAAGCTTTATATTTTAGAAGATGGAAGACCTGGATGCTTCATACTTTGTATATGGATGCCTCATGTTACGAAGTTTCCGTCAGTCACATGTCCAATGTCCTTGACCTCATTTTCATGGTTCAGTGACTACTTGAAAAAAAAGTTCAGATTTTTTGTAATGTTAAATTCTCTCTTATTATAAGTAATAGGATAACTATATTTGGTATGTGCGTACCTTGCAAGGTCCTCATGCCCGTCAGACAGTTTTCACTTGACCTCGACCTCATTTCATGGATCAGTGAACAAGGTTAAGTTTTCATGGTCAAGTCCATATCTCAGATACTATAAGCAATAGGTCTAGTATATTCGGTGTATGGAAGGACTGTAAGGTGTACATGTCCAACTGGCAGGTGTCATCTGACCTTGACCTCATTTTCATGGTTCAGTGGTTATAGTTAAGTTTTTGTGTTTTGGTCTGTTTTTCTTATACTGTATGCAATAGGTCTACTATATTTGGTGTATGGAATGATTGTAAGGTGTACATGTCTAGCTGGCAGGTGTCATCTTACCTTGACCTCATTTTCATGGTTCAGTGGTCAAAGTTAAGTTTTTGAGTTTTGGTCTTTTTTTCTAATACTATATGCAATAGTTCAACTATATTTGGTGTATGGAAATATTTTATGATCTATATGTCAGTCACGCAGGTTTTATTTGACCTTGACCTCATTTTCAAGGTTCATTGCTCAGTGTTAAGTTTTTGTGTTTTCGTCTGTTTTTCTTAAACTATAAGCAATAGGTCAACTATATTTGTTGTATGGAAGAATTGTTAGCTGTACATGCCTGCCTAGCATGGTTCATCTGACCTTGACCTCATTTTCATGGTTCATTGGTCAATGTTTAGTTTACTTGGTTAATGTTAAGTTTATGTGACAGTTGTAATAAAGCTTTATATTTAGGACTATCAACATAATATCAATGATTAGTAAAGAAGGCGAGACATTTCAGCGTGTGCAGTCTTGTGGAAATATTCTTTATAAAGCACAAAAATGTCAGTATTCACCTCTGAAGCTAACAAAACCTTTAAATAGACTTATTAAGAAGGGATATAGTTACGATACTGTTGTCAGGTCATTAAAGATTGCATATTTTGGCGTTAATATTGATTCACTTATAGGGTCTTTGCATCGGCACTAAACACATTTATTTAAAAACCAGTTGTTGGCATGACACGGGTTATGTTCTTCTCATATATGTTATGATGGTATGATACTAAACCCCTAACGGGAAGGATTGTGCCTGATATTCATATGATGAAGACATAATCTTTCAATCAGTTTAATTGAAGTCTGGAGCTGGCATGTCAGTTAACTGCTAGTAGTCTGTTGTTATTTATGTATTATTGTCATTTTGTTTATTTTCTTTGGTTACATCTTCTGACATTAGACTCAGACTTCTCTTGAACTGAATTTTAATGTGCGTATTGTTATGCGTTTACTTTTCTACATTGGCTAGAGGTATAGGGGGAGGGTTGAGATCTCATAAACATGTTTAACCCCGCCGCATTTTTGCGCCTGTCCCAAGTCAGGAGCCTCTAGCCTTTGTTAGTCTTGTATTATTTTTAATTTTAGTTTCTTGTGTACAATTTGGAGTTTAGTATGGCGTTCATTATCACTGAACTAGTATATATATTTGTTTAGGGGCCAGCTGAAGGACGCCTTCGGGTGCGGGAATTTCTCGCTGCATTGAAGACCTGTTGGTGACCTTCTGCTGTTGTCTGTTCTATGGTCGGGTTGTTGTCTCTTTGACACATTCCCCATTTCCATTCTCAATTTTATTTTTTACAGAGTTTGTCTTTAGTGCCGTGTGGAGACAGTAGAGTGCCTCCCCGTGCTTCAGGTTTATGCTCTTATAATATACTAGATTATGGAGTGTGTGTCCGAGTGAGAACTTCTCTAGTTCATTACTTTAGGAATATTTATCAAAAAGTAGTATTTCAATATTCAGCCCCATTCTACTATTTAGTCAGACGTCAGTCGCTACCCTGATATACCCTTTCTTTTTTGGGTAATTAATACGGATAGCGTTTGACATCTTTAGCCGAACAGATTTATCATTTTTACATAATTTAATTCATTGTATGCTGGTTCATATTCTGGACGCCAGTCTTTGCTCCTTTCTAATATAATTCACAAACAAAAAACAAATATGAAGCTTAGAAATGGAAAAATATTAAATACTAAACTCGTTCAAAGGGTATCTACACGTCTCAATCTTCAAAATCGCTTATCTAAAAATACTACCATCGCTAACATTTTTAACAATAAAAATCGTGGTTACCCTTCTATCGATAAGTGTCATGCCAAAAAATGACTTACATGTCCCCGTCTTTCCACCAACAATACGGTAAGGTCCACGTTTAATGGTCGCACATTTTCTTTAAATTTTGAAACTGATATAACTTGAAAAACAAACAGTATAATTTATTTACTCACATGAAACAAACCGGGATGCGGTATTCAGTACGTAGGTGAAACTGGACGATATTTATCTAAACGCACTCAAGAACATCTGTATCGTTTTAAAAGACCCAATAAATTCAAAAGTATCATTTATCAACACCTTAAGAAGCACAATCATCCTATTAAATATTTAGCAGTTCAACCTTTAGAAGTAGTAAATAAGCAGCCTGGTGAATCTCATTCAAAGTTTGTACGATCGCGGAAAATAATTGAATTAAATTGGATTAAAAAATTACAGACAGTCTACCCTCTCGGTCTTAATGATAATATCATGGGAATTGGTAATATATCAAGAACCGATTCTGTTAACATTTTGGATATAGTTTCTAAAACTGTTCGTAAAAACCGTTCTCATGGTCGTAGAAAAAATCGCAATCAAAGAAAATTTCGGACCAATCATACCAATATTTCGGACCTAATTTCTATTTCAAAAAACAACGGCAGACATTATCTGTTAACAAAGCTCTGTTCATTACCGGTTAATAAGTTAAATAAAATTTTAGAGGATTACAACACAATTTCATATAGCAGTTCTAAGTATGAAATCGTTCAAATTATAATGGCATATTGTTATTCTAAACTGTTTCCCAAAATTGATCGCCCTGAAGATCATAAAAAACAGTTTATTAAAATAAAGTATGTCAATAAAGGTTTTGATTTTGTAAATATTGCCGGTATTTTTAACGACCATTCTGTTAAAGAACAAATTCCGGGATATTTTGATAATACTGAGCTCCCTCTTATTTGTTATATTTACAAGAAATCTACCCGGAAATTTGTGTTTAATTATAGCCAATTATGTAAAGATGTTAATATCAGTGAAAATACACCTACTTCATGTAATTGCAGTAATTCCGAATACATTTATGGACCCATTTCCCATGTTATAACAGGAGATCTTAACATCGTTCAAGACCGAGAGTTAAAATCATTCCTCAGTAAAGGACCTAAATATCGTCCCCCGTCAATTATTAATTGGAATGAGTGTCGTAATATCATCCACGACTCACTCCATACTTACTGTTTAAAATGGATAAAACGGGAAAAAGCTGACAAAAAATCTTTGGACTCTTTTTTTAAATCCGTAATGAACATAGTTGATATACGTATTCAACATTTTAAAGAACATTTTACTCTTAACAATAACCACAATAAACCTATTTCTCGTATCAAACATAAACTAAAAGAACTAGCCAAGGAATTTGTTTTTGTCCCGGCCGATAAAGCTGCTAATAATATTATTATTGTTTGACGTAAATTTTACATTGAGGTTCTGAAAAAAGAAAGCACCAATTCACCAACATTCCAACTGACTCCATTTTCAGAAAACGACATCTGTAACAAACATAAACTTTTAGCTACCGCTTTACAAGCAGAACCAAATACAATGAAAGTCCCAACTATGTATTGGCTTCCGAAGCTACACAAAACACCTTACAAATATAGATTCATTTCGTCTTCAAGCCATTGTTCCACTACTAAATTGTCTATTCTTCTTACCAGTACACTTGGAACAGTCAAAAACCTGATAATAAATTGTTCAAATAAGGCCTTCGAAAATAATGGAATTAATTACTTTTGGAGTGTCAAGAACTCGTTGGAAGTACTTGATAAATTGCATGCATATATTGGTGATTTTGAATCTGTTCAAAGTTTTGATTTTTCTACCCTATATACCACATTGCCTCATATTCTCATTTAGAAAAAATTCACACTCCTAATTAAATGGGCATTTAAAAAGTCAGAATGTGAATATATATGTTCAAACTCTTTTAGGTCATTTTTTAGTAGCAATAAACAAAAAAACTATGTCAATTGGACATGCTTTGATACTATATATGCCCTTGAATTTTTACTAGATAATATTTTTGTTCGCTTTGGAGATTCCGTATATCGTCAGGTTATCGGAATTCCAATGGGGACTAACTGTGCACCACTTATTGCGGACCTTTTTTTGTATTGCTATGAGTTACAATTTATGACAAAAATCAGCAAAGACCCATCGAAACAACATCTGATACACAAATTTAATAATACTTTTAGATATTTGGATGATATTTTGGCTCTCAATAATGACGACTTCAGTATGTATACTAAAGAAATTTATCCTGTTGAACTTACTTTAAATAAAGCTAATACTAACAATGACCACTGCCCTTTCCTCGATCTTGATATCTATATCATTAACGGAAAGCTTAATACTAAAATATATGATAAAAGAGATGATTTTTCATTTCCTATCGTTAATTATCCATTTTTAGATGGTGACGTTCCCTTGTCACCATCTTACGGTGTTTATATATCTCAACTTGTACGATTCGCTCGTGTATGTAACAATGTTTTAGATTTTAACGAGAGAAATTTATGTATTACTGAAAAATTATTACACCAGGGTTTTCGATATCACAAACTAGTCAAAACATTTACTAAATTTTATCATCGGTATAAGGACATCATTCGTAAATATAGCTCAACATGCAGACTTCTTATACGTTCAGGTATTTCACATCCAATTTTTTATGGAAATATTCTTTATAAAGCACAAAAATGTCAGTATTCACCTCTGAAGCTAACAAAACCTTTAAATAGACTTATTAAGAAGGGATATAGTTACGATACTGTTGTCAGGTCATTAAAGATTGCATATTTTGGCGTTAATATTGATTCACTTATAGGGTCTTTGCATCGGCACTAAACACATTTATTTAAAAACCAGTTGTTGGCATGACACGGGTTATGTTCTTCTCATATATGTTATGATGGTATGATACTAAACCCCTAACGGGAAGGATTGTGCCTGATATTCATATGATGAAGACATAATCTTTCAATCAGTTTAATTGAAGTCTGGAGCTGGCATGTCAGTTAACTGCTAGTAGTCTGTTGTTATTTATGTATTATTGTCATTTTGTTTATTTTCTTTGGTTACATCTTCTGACATTAGACTCGGACTTCTCTTGAACTGAATTTTAATGTGCGTATTGTTATGCGTTTACTTTTCTACATTGGCTAGAGGTATAGGGGGAGGGTTGAGATCTCATAAACATGTTTAACCCCGCCGCATTTTTGCGCCTGTCCCAAGTCAGGAGCCTCTAGCCTTTGTTAGTCTTGTATTATTTTTAATTTTAGTTTCTTGTGTACAATTTGGAGTTTAGTATGGCGTTCATTATCACTGAACTAGTATATATATTTGTTTAGGGGCCAGCTGAAGGACGCCTTCGGGTGCGGGAATTTCTCGCTGCATTGAAGACCTGTTGGTGACCTTCTGCTGTTGTCTGTTCTATGGTCGGGTTGTTGTCTCTTTGACACATTCCCCATTTCCATTCTCAATTTTATTCATGTCATACCAACATATCATTTTACTAAATATTGAATCATATTTTCATCAGACAAATAAATGACTTATTTTGGGGGTCGCAATGAAAAATTGGAACTCAAATAGGAATTTAACTAATTTCCAATGCTTGTAAATGACAGTTTGCCAAAATTGAGTCAAGTTCAATATGTTAAATGCACTTGATGTTTTGATTAGAAGCAAGTTTCCTAAAACTAAAAAAAACACACAACCAGAACTGCAATGATTTTTAGATTTTTAAAATAAGCATATATACATTCAATTTTAGTGAAGACATTAAGCAATGAAGTTCAAAATTAGACATATAAAAACAAAATTTGTATATAAAGCTATTTAGTTCATGATATGTTTGAGATGGTATACAAACATGTATTGATTTATTTTCAGATTTACAGATACAGGATGGGAAGCAGCTGATGGTATGGAGATGACAAATATTTACAAATGTCTTCCACATGCTGATGTTCACAGGTACATGGCATGATTTTACATTCTGCCGATATTATCAAAAATTATCTTGCAGTTTCAGAATATGAAGTATATGGATAATAACACAATTTGAACTCAAAAATAAAAATAAACTTTGTTCATGGAAATAGCCACCAGTTTCAGGGGAGATAATATTTAGATATTTACTTTTGGAGATGTTTTTGTGTCAAGAATGATTTCCCTAAGAGAATGATCATTTGTTTTGGGCAGGAAACACATACACACACTACTTAATTTCAATGTAAAGACATCATTACTTTTTTCATAGTTTTCTTGGGTACAAGATGGGAGAACTGTTAAATATGGCATGTTTTCTATATTTCTTAATAACCTATTCCATGACATATCTTTTGTCAAGGTGCAGAGAACATAGAAATATAGGGCATTTTTTTGTATGTCTGTCTTTTCCTTCAGACTTGTAAGCACTCTCACATGTTAAATTCAGGCAAAATCTTTATATAATTAATATCAAAGGTTTATATCAGCAATGTCTAGTACAAATTTGAAAATCATTGACAATAAACTCTATTTAAAGCAGTTTTGCCACATGGAAATTAAAATGTATGGAAAATTGCATTGTAAATATTCTCAAGCCTACATTTCATGCAGGATTGTTATGAAATTCATGTAACTGGTTAATATTAGCACTGTTTGGGATGAGTTTGAAAATCAGTCCTGTTCATTTTTTTTACACAGGAGTTTATCCCTTCGAAATCTAATTTGATAGGAAATTTGATTGTAAGTCCTCCCAAGCGTACATTTCTTGTCAGGTTAAATCATATCAGTTATGTCCTGGAAGAGTTTGAAAATGAGTGCCTTTCAACTATGTTTACAGGAATTATATCCCTTTGATATGTAATTTATATTGAACATTGCACTGTTAGCACTCTCACAACTACAATTCTTGTCAGATTTTTAATTTCATGAAATTTATCTATAGAAGGTTTATTTCAGATAGGTCTTGAATGAGCTTGACTTTCAGAGCCGATCAACTATTTTTACAGGAGTTATGTCCCTTGGAAATATTAACTACATGATAAATAACATTTCATGTCTTCATTACTTGTAGGATGCCTTTAAAAAAGCTTAAAAGAACCAAACAATTTGTTTGAATTTTGAACTTGGACTGATAAAATATGTGTAATGGCAGTGGACATTGAAATGCTGTTTTATTCTTCATGTTTTGAGATTTAATATGTTTTGTTGCTCATGTGTGAAAAATGACAGCATTTCCATGTGAGTTTCAACTACTGGTAATGGGTGTGTCCTTAAGACATTGATAACCAAACATAATTTAATAGTATACTGTAAAAGCAGAAATTTTCGTGGAAGATTTAATTTCGTTTATTTCGTGGAAAGAATATATCCACGAAATTAAAACCCCCACGAAAATTTAACTTACATATAATATCACTTCCATTTAATAGAAACCATGAAATTAAATCCCCATGAAATTTTATATAGACAAAACCACGAAATTTTAACCCCACGAAAATTAATGTTTCTACAGTATGTCTATAAATGATTTCTATTATACCTTATGTTCTGAAGAGAATGTAATGATTTTATCTGTGTGTGGATGTATTGTATTACGTGAATATAATATTTCCAGGCTTGAGTCATTTAGTTGATTGCTCGACTCTAAGGTAGGGACGTCCAATCTGGATAAGAACTGGTTTATGACTGTCATATAAAAGGAACTCCCAAGACATGATGTAGTAGTCCCCAGAATGTACTTTGATACAAAATAAAGCTAAGTAAAAATAGTTCTTAGTAAACTGATGTTATAACATTGTTCATAACATTTCTAAATAAAAGAACAGAGTTCCATTGTCCCCCATGTAATACTTTTTATAAAAATCTTAGAGAAATGAAGGTTTGAAAGCTCCAACAATACAATTTTCCATACAATTAATATTTCCAAGGGACATAATTCTTTTAAAATTTGTTGATGGGCACTGATTTTTGAAATTGTAAGAGACATTGCTGATATAAACTTTTGATGTTAATTTAATATATATCTGAAAAGAATTGTACACACGAGAGCACTAACAATACAATTTTCAATATTGATATTTCCAAGAGGCATAACTCTTTTAAAAATAATTGATCACCACTGATTTTCAAACTTGTCTGAGACATTGCTGATTTAAACCTATGCTATAAGTTTCATAAAAATCTGGCATGAATTGTTCATGTGAAAGCACTAACAAGACGGGACAGACAGACACACACAGACAAACACCTGGTATTTCTATGTCCCCTGTAACATAATGCGCGAGGGACAACAAGCTGTTTGAGTGTTTATTATGCAGTAAATTTATAAATGTAAAAAATCAACTAACTATTTACTCTCAGTAGTTCAGACAGGAACTTATTTTGAAGGTTATTCTATTTACATTTGTAATGTGATTGTGTATGTTTTAACATAAAAAAAATGAGTTGATTTGTTTTTGAAACATCAGTGAATTAAATTAGGACCTGACATATTATTTTTACTTTATGTAGAATAATGAATCATTAACTTTTGAAAAATCAATAATTTCAGTGGTTTATATATAGATATAAGAAGATGTGGTATGAGTGCCAATGAGACAACTCTCCATCCAAGTCAAAATTTATAAAAGTAAACCATTATAGGTCACAGTACGGTCTTCAACACGGAGCCTTGGCTCACACCGAACAGTAAGCTATAAAGGGCCCCAAAAAATTACTAGTGTAAAACCATTCAAACGGGAAAACCAACGGTCTAATCTATATAAAAAACGAGAAACACTTATGAACCACATCAACAAACGACAACTACTGAACATCAGATTCCTGACTTAGGACAGGTGCAAACAAATGCAGCCGGTTTAAACGTTTTAATGGTACCAAACCTTCACCCTTTTTCTGAAACAATAGTGTAACATCACAACATAGAAAGACACACTATAAAATATCAACTGAAATAGCTTAACTCAATCAAAGGACATATAACATGTTCTTAATTTGTTCCTTATTTTATTTTAGGGTAGAGAAGTTAGAATTTATGGATGAAAGAGAATTACTTGACCAGCTGTTCTCCCATTATTGCATTGTATGGGCATGGAAAGATCCAAACAATATAGGATTAGGAAGCATCGATTTGACTTAAGCACAAATAGTAATTTGTGTTGGTATTTTAAGCTTGCTTGGGCAAGTACAAGCTGTTTTGAAAAGCAGATTGCTTGTCGTCTAACAGAGGTATATCCAACTGTGCCAACATGCCTTTTGTTGTTATGCAACCAACAATCATTTTTGTAACCTTTGACAAAATATTTAATTACAAACATGCTTAATAAATGGATGTCCATAGATGTTTAAGATTTCTAATATATCATTCCAATCCTTTATTTCTTTAAGGGTTCATCAAATTATTTGTTGTTATTCAGAATGTAAAACAAATTGTGCAGTTGCCTTAAATGGCATAAAATAGAATTCTAATTATTCTTACTGTCGTCATTTTTATGATTGAAAATTTAAAGGAACCTGTGATTTGATTATTTGTCAATAAACCAAACTCTACACCACTTGATATAATGAAGTAATTAGATTTTGATACGATAAAAAAGAAAATAAGCTGATTTAATATTGTATATGGTATTGTCATTTCAAGAATAATAAATTTTAAGCATTAAATGTTGAATAATGATGAAATAAAACCTTTTTTTTTAAATAAAAAAGCATGACAGAATTATAAACAAAACCAAAAATGTTTTGTAGGAAAATTTCACTTCACTTCAATAATCTTACTAACATAAAATAATGATTGGAGTGTAGTAAAGAAGAGATCAAAATTTAAGTGGTGACATGGTGTCGTGATAGCTTCTAAAAATCAAAATTTTGACTCGGCCGGTTTCTTTCCCAGTCATATTGTTTCATATTTTTTCCCTCAATGGAGAAGATTAAGGGTGATGATTATAACATAATAAATGTATTGTTTATTAAATTGTAATCAGAGACTTCCTAAAGTTTGTTTAATAACAATGAATGATATAGAGTGGGGCGCACATATTCACCGGGGACACAATTTCGTCGTTTTATGATTTTGAGGTGTAGAAACTTCAAAGGATTGCTGAAATGGAAGAAATATGCCGGTAAATTATATTTTTATAACAAATATGATTATTTTTTAAACTTAGAAAAAATTTCCCACTTACTGCAAAGGACTGAAAAACGGACAACAATTTTTCGGCCAATTTCCTGAATGAAAAAAAAAGATTTCAAAGAAGTATTTCTTAGTAATTCTTGGACTGATTGTCCTAAATTTCAGTTCTTTACACCTTTGAAATGTCTGCTATTCATCTGTAATGAAATTGGTTTGATAAATATTGTTTATAGCTGCAGTTATTTGGTTTTAAATAGATGTGTAAAAACGGTGAATATGTGTCCCCTTATGACTAAACATCAGGAAATTTCAAATAGCCTTTAATCTAACTTTTCAGAAAATATTTTATTATAGCATAATTTGAATGATATGTTCAATTTTCAAAATCTGTCTGTTAAAAGTTGGTTCTTGGAAGCTTTTATGGTTGTTTTTACTAATTTAAAAGTCGGGGAAAAGCTAAGTATGGGATAAAATGTATACAATTTAAAAATTTGATGGTGTTGACCAGTCACTTTTGTTTGGTTATATATAATACATAAAAATCTATCGAGATAAACAAAACATTTCAATTTGTCAGTGGTTGTAGTTGTAAGACACTTAGAAATATGATTTATCAAGATTTAGGGACGGGGTGCGAAACAGCAAGCTTTTTAAAGCCAAGGAGCAGACAGGAGTATTCTAAAGCACTTCACTACAAACTGCTCAGAGTCTGAAAAGACCAGTTTTTGTGCTCGACCAGTAAAGTCGAGCACAGATTTTACTCGACTTGTCTCGACAGTACTTAACTGTACTCGACTTTGGTCTCAACTTTACTTAAATAGTCTGAAATGGTCTCGACCAAGGCTCAACCTGTCTCGACCAAGGCTCGACCTGTCTCGACCAGTCTTGACCTGTCTCGACCAGTCTCGACTCAGTCTCGACCATTCTCGACCAGTCTCGACTCAGTCTCGACCAGTCTCGACCTGTCTCGACTAGTCTTGACCTTCAATTTTAGTCTCAACTGGTCTGAATCAGCCCATCTAACTAAATTAAATATTGATCTTACAAAATTCCAGGTTATTTGGTAGTTGGTTCATTGCTGGGAAATTAAAGAAGTAAATTAATAGGTAAAAAAAAAAGCAAGAATTTTCATTTTTGACTAAATTCAGATAGTCGTCTTCAAATCAACTTGGATTTTCATAAAACTCTACACATGCTACAGCTATCTCAATTATACATTGATCTTACTGAATCCTAGGTCGTTATGTAGTTTGGTGTATTGTTGTCAAATTTATTTATCTTACAAAATACTAGGGTATTTGTTAATTTGGTTTATTGCTGTCAAATTAAAATATTTCAGCCTTTTTTACCTTTTACCTAAGTCCTTAAATTTGACAGCAATACACCAACATACAAAACAACCTGGCATTTTGTAAGATAAATATATAATAAAGATAGCTGAAAAGTTTGATGAAAATCCAAGCTGATTTGAAAAAGTTATAAAAATATTCAAAGATAATATCTGAATTTAGTCCAAACTGAAAATTCTAGCTTTTTTTACCTTGATTAATTAAATCCTTAAATATGACAGCAATATGCCAAACAACATAACAACCTGGAATTCAGTAAGATCAATATACAACTGAGATAGGTGTATAGTTTTATGAAAATCCAATTTAATTGGAAAAAGTAATAAACAAATTTGAAATTGACTATCTGAATTCAGTCGACTGAAAATTCTAACTTTTTTTTACCTATCAATTTAATCCTTAAATTTGGCAGCAATAAACCAAAGTACTGCAAACAACCTGGCATTCTATAAGATTAATATATAATTGAGGTAGCTGTATAGTTTGATGAAAATCCAAGTTGATTTGAAACAGTTATAAAAAAATTTAAAGATGACTATCTGAATTTAGTTTCGAAACTGCAAATTCTAGCTTTACTGACCTAGATTAATTAAATCCTTAAATTGGACAGCAATACACCAAACTACATAATGACCTGGGATTCAGTAAGATCAATATACAACTGAAATAGCTGTATAGATATATGAAAATCCAAGTTAATTTGAAAACATAATAAACAAATTTAAAGTTGACTAGCTGAATTCAGTCCCACTGAAAATTCTAGCTTTTTTTTACCTATTAATTAAATTCTTAAATTTGACAGCAATACACCAAACTACATAACGACCTGGGATTCAGTAAGATCAATGTATAATTGATATTGATGTAGAGTTTGATGAAAATCCAAGTTGATTTGAAAAAGTCATAGAAATAATTAAAGTTGACTATCTGAATTTAACCAAAATGAAAAATCTCTTTTTTTTTTACCTATTAATTTAATCCTTAAATTTGACAGCAATACACCAAGCTACATAATGACCTGGGATTCAGTAAGATCAATATACAACTGAGATAGCTGTATAGTTATATGAAAATCCAAGTTAATTTGAAAACATAATAAACAAATTTAAAGTTGACTAGTTGAATTCAGTCCCACTGAAAATTCTAGCTTTTTTTTACCTATTAATTAAATTCCTAAATTTGACAGCAATACACCAAACTACATAACGACCTGGGATTTAGCAAGATCAATGTATTATTGAGATAGCTATAGAGTTTTATGAATATCCAAGTTGATTTGAAACATTTATAAAAAATTTAAAGATGACTATCTGAATTTAGTTTCGAAACTGCAAATTCTAGCTTTACTGACCTAGATTAATTAAATCCTTAAATTGGACAGCAATACACCAAACTACATAATGACCTGGGATTCAGTAAGATCAATATACAACTGAAATAGCTGTATAGTTATATGAAAATCCAAGTTAATTTGAAAACATAATAAACAAATTTAAAGTTGACTAGCTGAATTGGGTCCCACTGAAAATTCTAGCTTTTTTTTACCTATTAATTAAATTCTTAAATTTGACAGCAATACACCAAACTACATAACGACCTGGGATTCAGTAAGATCAATGTATAATTGAGATTGATGTAGAGTTTGATGAAAATCCAAGTTGATTTGAAAAAGTTATAGAAATAATTAAAGTTGTCTATCTGAATTTAACCAAAATGTAAAATCTCTTTTTTTTTAACCTATTAATTTAATCCTTAAATTTGACAGCAATACACCAAGCTACATAATGACCTGGGATTCAGTAAGATCAATATACAACTGAGATAGCTGTATAGTTATATGAAAATCCAAGTTAATTTGAAAAAATAATGAACAAATTTAAAGTTGACTAGTTGAATTCAGTCCCACTGAAAATTCTAGCTTTTTTTTACCTATTAATTAAATCCCTAAATTTGACAGCAATACACCAAACTACATAACGACCTGGGATTCAGCAAGATCAATGTATAATTGAGATAGCTATAGAGTTTTATGAAAATCCAAGTTGATTCGAAAAAGTTATAGAAATAGTTAAAGACGACTATCTGAATTTAGTCAAAACTGAAAATTCTTGCTTTTTTTTACCTATTAATTTACTTCTTTAATTTCCCAGCAATGAACCAACTACCAAAATAACCTGGAATTTTATAAGATCAATATTTAATTTAGTTAGATGGGCTGATTCAGACCAGTTGAGACTAAAATTGAAGGTCAAAACTAGTCGAGACAGGTTGAGACTGGTCGAGACTGAGTCGAGACTGGTCAAGACTGGTCGAGACTGAGTTGAGACAGGTCAAGACTGGTTGAGCCTTGGTCGAGACAGGTTGAGCCTTGGTCGAGACCTTTTCAGACTATTTAGGTAAAGTCGAGACCAAAGTCGAGTACAATTAAGTACTGTTGAGACAAGTCGAGTAAAATCTGTGCTCGACTTTACTGGTCGAGCACAAAAACTGGTCTTTTCAGACTCTGAGCAGTTTGTAGTGCTTGTTATTGATTGACAATTTAACCAACTCACTATATTGCTGTAAAGAATTACAGTTTAGCATTTTAGCAGTCTAAGGGATTAATAAAGTTTGTTTCGTACCTTAGAGGAAAAAATAATATCATCATATATGATAAAAAAATGTTCTACATGTTTAGTTATTATTGTATAAAATATGGAAATGTGTTTTTGCCAGATGTGTAAGACATTCAGCTGCATTGTTATAGTTTTATGTAAATGATTTTTTTGGTATCACTTAAGTTGTGTATTGATTGTTGAAGTGCTTTATCATGTTTATGATTAATAAAAGATACTCATGATTGTGAATAGTCCTAACTAATTATTAATATATTATGCCCCTCCTTTCAATGGGTGGGTCATTATGTTTTCCAGTCTGTGTGTCCATACCATATCAAGTTAAAGTTATGGATTAAGGTTATTTATGATGAAGTTGTAGTCCCATCAACTTAAAACTAAGTACATATAATTATGATGTTTGTATGAACTTATAAAAATATATGCCAAATAAGGATTTTGAATCATATTTCACAGTTCACTAAACATGGAAATGTAATAGTGCCAGCAGGTAATTGTTTCGTTTGGAGGGTCTACAACCTTCAAAATCTTTGTGCATTCCCTTGTTCATGTTGTTGATTATCTCTGGCCTGTGTTAATTTTTCTCTAATGTTGTGGTACTTTTAAATAAGGATAAATCTATGAGAGACTGTCTGTTTCCCTCAAACTAGTCACCTTGACCTACAT